CCCCCCCCCCCCCTCCCTTCTCCCCCCCCCCCCTTCGGCCCCCGCGGTCCAGGTCGCCACCAGAGTGAAATTCAGATAATGACGCTTGATACAACTTTCGGCCTGAATCGTCCTCCTTGCCTTTGTATTACCTGGTTTTGTCATTAATCAATCTTGCTCGACTCCCACCACCGCGTGCAGGGAGCTTGTCCATGGCCGAGGGCCTGGCCAACACACAACCACCACCGGGCACGGTGATCGTCGAGGAGCCGGGAAACGGTGCCCGTGGTCGGCGCAACAACTCGATCGCATGCCTCAATTGCCGGAGACGAAAGGTCAAGGTATTGATTGGTCCCGCTCAGCTCTCCTCGTTATTTCGCTGGTGCTGATGCAGCAGTTGCCACCGGACAGTGTAGCAGTGATGTACCAAAGTGCTCTAACTGCCACCTCTATGATGTCGAGTGCACCTATGTTCAAGATCGACGCAGGTCAGTACAGAAGTCCCACGCTCTCTCTTTGCTAATCCAGCGCGCAGAATACCGGTTCAGGGACCGTCGAGGCAACGGCTCAACGGTACTCAGTCACGGACCGTCAAAGGCTTCACAAAGGGCTCGACTCCGCCGCCACACCAAAACTTCTCGCATTTCAATGTCGATCTCGACTTTGGAGACCTGGCGGAGGAGGCGAGCGGTGACGCCCGGGTCTCCGACGACATCCTCCTCGCCATGGCCTCGACGTCGACTCAGGACTGGCCGGGCTGGATCGAGGGCGGCGAGACGTCTGACCCTTTCCATGACCTCGCAGGCGTCGTCCCCGGCGACGGCCTCCCAGCCGAGCTCTGTCCCTTCAACATCGAGCTCCCGTTCAGCCATCCCGAACATGACTCTTTTCCCGAATCCGAGCATGGCGAGTACCCTGGCGAACGGCAGGACACCCTCTCCCCACCCATGAATCCCCCCGCCGCCGGTACAGTCGGCGCTCCGTCCAAAGACGATCGGGCCCGCAAGTGGTCCGTCGTGACATCGGCTCCTAGCCCCGACGACGACGCGAGCGACGTGACGGAGCAGCTGACCAACCGACTGGGCCGGCTCCAGATTGCGGAAGACGGCCATCCGCGCTACTTTGGCTCGACCAGCAACCTCTACATTCTCCATCACGGACCCAAGTCGTTGCACAAACCCAATATCCGCGACGTCATGACCTTGGGCGACGCGGCGGCCGACAAGGCCGGCTACCACTGGACCCCCGCCGCCGAGTACGAGGCCGAGTTGATCACCCTCTTCTTCAGCTGGTACAATGCCCTGGTCAACGTGGTCGACCAAGACATCTTCTTCCGTGAGCGGGCGCTGTTCAAGTCCGGCAAACGCAGCGACTTGTACTCTCCAGCCCTGGAGAACGCGGTGTGAGTCTCCCTTTTTGCTTTTTGTCCCTTTGTTCCCTCTCCTGCCACACACACACCGAGAAGATCCCGACAATTGACTCTTCTAGTTATGCCATCGGCGCCATGGTTACCACGACCCCCCATCCCGACATTCCGGGCAGTGCTGACGAATTCTTCGGCTTTCGCACCAAGGCATGCCTCGACATCGAGATCGACAGCCCCACGCTCGCCACCGCGCAAGCGCTCCTGATCCTGTCCGCCCTCGAGGCGGCCCATTCGCGCGACTCCCGTGGTTGGATCTATGTCGGTGAGTCATGTTGCGCGCAGACTCGGGACGTGTTTCTCACCCAAAGAACCAGGCATGGCGGTCCAGATCGTCTCCGACCTCGGGCTCCACCTCGACCTTCAGCAACAATATGCCGCCCTGTGCGGGTCGGGAGGCAGCAGCAGCAGGACAGGCAATCCGGACGACGTCAACATCCTTCGCATCAATCTATTTTGGGCCTGCAAAACTTTGGACACGTGAGTCCTATTGTTCCCCCCCGGTCTTCCCTTCTTCCTCCTCCATTTGTGGGGGCTGGATAGTACAGGCAAAAAGGCTCGAAAAACTAATCGTTTTCCCTCACCACCACAGGCTGTGGGGTGCTCTGAGCGGGCGTCCCACGTTGATGGGCAACATCATTAACAACGTGCCGAGTCCCATTCCCTCGCGCACGTATACGTGGACGTACTACACCAACAAGTTCAGCACCATGACTTTCCCCCCCGACTTTGACTTTGGTGTCGCCGCCCACGTTCCTGTTCATCTGGCGAGCCTGGCCATGATCATGGGCAAGATCTCCGAGACTTTGTACACATCCCTCTCTCTCTATTGATACACTCCTCGTGGGAGGGGAACACCTTTCACTGACAAATGTTTGGCTGCTCATAGATACTGCGGCGTGCCCAACAACATTTCCAACCTGACGTCGTTTGTGGAGGACCGCGAGTCCGAACTTCGGCGGTGGTTTTGCTCGTTGCCGCCAGCATTGACCATTGACAAGACGACATCGTTGTCAGCCGTCTATCTGCCGTGTGTGTTGGAATTGCAGTAAGCATCAGACCCCCCGCCCCCCTCTCAAATCACCGATAGATGGAAATGACTCTTTTTTCCTTTCTGTAGCCTCCAATACTACGACGCCACCATCCTCCTGCACCGCCCTCAGATCTCGGCCTCGGATCGGTCGTCGCCAACGCGGACGTCCTCGCTCGACAAGTGCATCAACGGTGCCCGCGACATCTGCCGGATCCTGGTCCACTACCGTCGGCGCTACGGCCTCCAGCGCATCCACTGCTCCATGGTGCACGTCACCATGACCGCCAGCCTTATCCACGTCTTCCATCTGTACCTCTCCGACACGGCAGGGGTGGACAATGCCGAGGCGCAGGGCTACTTTTCCACCTGCATCCAGGCGCTGGGCGAGATGGGCCAGACGTACAAGAGCGCCCTGAGGGCGTTGGACGTCCTCTTGTCCCTGCGGCAGAACTGGCAGTACGCCGCCTCGACGAATCCGACGGCAAAGAAATTGCGGTCTGGCTGATATCTTTGGTCGGCCCGGCTGGAAAAGCGAAAGTTTTTCAGCTTGGCCGCGACATCAGCGCGGAGGTCAGGCGAACAAACAACAAAGATCAGAATACTCTTCACGAAAGAGAACACTCGCTGTTAGTTGAAATCATGTACGTTGTCGGTGTTTGGTGGCCAAAATCTTGTTTGTATCATCTATTCAAATGTATTCTTGACCCTGTCTCCCGAGATATGCTTTGGATGGGTATTACCATAACTAAGAAGCAATCACCGTTTCTTTCTTTGAAATGGATTGTATATACAACGCTCTGAAACACTTGTGGCCCCCATCTCGCCCTCTCTCAACTGACCACAAAACCTTGGTAGCCATTGGCCGCACAAGCCTTGATCAACTGGATGTACCGGGGCATACCGCCCATGTAATTCAGGGCCTCGCGCGGCTTACCCGGGATGTTCGAGCCCATGTACCACGTGTTGGCCTTGCAGAGGAGGCTCTTGTTGGCGAGGTCGTTAGTCTCCCGCCGCCATTCCGTCTAGGCAGCCGCAAGGGCTTCGATCCGACGCCCGTGACGACGCTTCAAATCCTCCAGACACGAGATGATCCAATCACCCTGTGCCTCTGCGATGCGAGGACCGATGGCAAACGCCGTCGGCCCCTGCGGTCCGTACATGAAGAACATGTTGGGAAACCCAGCCGTAGCCATCCCGAACGAGGTGTACGCCCCGCGCGCCCATTTGTCCGACAGCTTGACTCCGTCCACGCCCTGGAGATCGATCTTGAGCAGACTGCCCGTGACGGCGTCGAACCCGGTGGCGAGGATCAGCACGTCTAGCTCGATCTGCTCGCCCGACTCCATCTTGACGCCGTGGGGGGTGATCTCCGCTATCTTTGTCTTTCTGAGATTGTAGAGGTTCACATTCGGTTGGGTGTAGACCTCGTAGTAGTTTTGCTCCAGGGACGGCCGTTTGGTCCCGAAGGGATTTTCCGGCTCCCACGGTGCCAGGCTCTCGACCGTGTTGGGATCGACGTTGACCAGCCTTTCGCGCACCTTGTCACGCCAGAATCCGTAGACGGAATTGTTAAAATCGGCATTGAGCAAGAGGTCCCTGTAGTTGCCCAGCCACATGTGGAACCCTCCCTTGGCCCAGAGGGACTCGAGGTGGGAGACCCGTTCTTCAGGCGTCGCGTCGCTCGAATCCTGATCGAGCCCGTCATAATCCCATCCCGCGTAGGTCGACATGACCTTGTTAAACAGATCTTCGTAGCCTTGCTTCATCTGCTCTTGTACTTGGATGCCGCCTTCGTCGTAACGCTCCTGTCTCATCGGCAAGGCGTTATTGGCCGTTCGCTGAAACACGGTGAGGTGCTTCACCACAGGGCCGATCTCCTGAATGACCTGGACGCCACTGGCTCCGGTCCCTATGATGCCCACCCTCTTCCCTTCCAGGTCGAGACCCTCCTTCGGCCAGAGGGCGGTGTGGTGGCAGACACCCTGAAATGATTCGAGACCTTTGAGTGGCGGCACATAATGCTTTGCGGCAAATCCGGTCGCCAGAAGGAGGAACTGGCTTTTTGCGACGTAGCCCGTGTGCGTGACGACGGTCCACTGATTCTGGTCCTGGTCGTAATAGGCTTTAGTCACGGTCTGTTCGAAGGTGATGTCCTTCTTGACGTCCCACTTCTCGTCGACGTGGGCGAAATACCGACACAACTCGTCGCGGCCAGGGAATCGTTCGGTCCAGGTCCATCCCTCCCAGAGCTCTTTGGCCGAGAACTCGTACAGTGGCCAGTACGTGTCGACGCGGGCTCCCGGGTACGAGTTTGCCCACCACACCCCTCCCAGGTCTTTTCCCGCCTCCAGCACTTTGATCTTGTACCCCAGTCGGCGGAGGTGGTACAGCAGGTAGATGCCACCAAATCCGGCACCGACGACCACGACGTCGAACTCTTCGACATGGCTTTCGCCGTTCGGAGCCTTGGAACCGTTCGTTCTCATGGCTGCGATTCTTGGTTGCAACCTGTCCTGAGTGATCTATGTGTGACTGAAGTGTAGGCGGCATGAAAAAAAAGAGCCGACTTTGAACCATTCAGGCCCCCTTGCAAGGCTCCGGGGAAGCGGGGAGTGGATGAGTGTGAGCACATGGACCATACTTCCTTCCCCACCAAGTGCATCTCTTGGCTCGGGCATGTCAAACTTCCACGGTTGTCTTCTTTTGGGTGATACGGAACTCTTGTGATCCAAACTCCAACTCCCGCTGGATACCATGTCGCCGCCCCGCGGAGTTCTTGCTCGGCGCGTGCGGTTAAGCTTCAATGTCGGAAATGCGCGCCGTCTGAAGACATATTTCCATGCTCCCGGTCACGTTCAGACCCTCGGTCTGGGCGCTGGGCAATTTCGAATGGCCTCAAGTATCATCACGCAGGTTGCGGGTGTGAGGACGGCCGCAAAGGGAACGAAACCTCCTGGTGCTGGGGGACGAGCGCTCGCGTCAGCTTCTCGACCATCCCATCTCCCACAATGACAATCGCGATACCGCACTCGGCGCCCATGCCACCAGGACTGAATGACGTATTGGCCGGAGGGACTGTGTCCAAGTCGGTCTTGATCAATGGAGTAAACACTGGTCGTACGGCACCAGAAGAGGAAGAAGAAGTGGAAGAGAAAGGGAAAGAAGAAGACCATTGCCTGCTCAATGGCGCCGCCATTGTATTCCATTCCCCAGCCTTCCCAATCTTGTCCTTTTGAATCCGGAGTTCACACCTGACGCTCCGGCCGAGCAGATTCCTCTCAAGGCACCCGAAGATCTCACCAGCGCCTGGTTGGGGTCCTTTCTCGATCGCAATATTGCAGAGGATGGATTCCTGGTCAACCGCATCGGCCAGGGTCATATGAGCAACACCGTTCGCGTCGACTTTCACGAGGTCGATCAACCACATCGTCGGCAATCGGTCGTGGTCAAGTTTGCAAAGGATGACGCTGCCATTCGCGGCCTGGGGCTGAAATTCGGCCACTACCTCCGTGAAGCCATCTTTTATCGGCGCTTTGGCGATCTTCTGGCGGCTGCGCTGCCCCTCTGCTACGGCGCCGTCGTCGACAAAGATGCCTGGTTCACCATTGTTCTGGAAGATCTTGCCATCCACGGCAGCTACAACGTCAACCAGATCTTAGGGACCGACTACGAACACGCAGCTCTCGCTCTCAAGACACTGGCCATGTTCCAGGCGCCGTTGCTGGGGGCCTCCCCCCGGAACGGCGACGAGTGGCTTTTGGCGCCACCGGCACTAGACCAAAAACTCTTCAGCGAGTCCCTGCCCGCCTTTCGCGCCAAATACAAACTAGAGCCGGAGCACGATCGACTCCTGGATTGGATGGACCAAAACCTCGACGCCTGGTGGGCGACACGCGACCCCCCCTTCTCTCTCTTCCATGCAGACTACCGTCTTGATAATATCATTTTTCTGCCTAAAGGTGATCGTCGAGCGGCGGTTATCGACTGGGGTGGCGTCAGCTGGGCCTCACCATTGAGAGATGTGGCCTACTTCCTGGGTAACGGCTTGGCCGTGGAAGACCGACGCAGATGGGAAAAGGATCTGGTGCGTGTCTATCTCGACGAGATGAATCGTCTGAGTAAAGTCAAAATGACCTGGGATCATGCTTGGACACAGTATCGGTTGGCCGCGATTTATGGCCTCGCCCAACAGTAAGTCTTGTCGATTACCCCGGCTGATCTTTGCCACTCGTGCTAATTCTGTCACGGCAGCATCCCTGCCGCCGCCATCGAAGAGCCGACAGATCACAACAAAGCCTTCTTCAACACGCTGATCCCGAGACAAGCCCAACATGCCCTGGACATGGATGCCACTTCGTTGGTGAGACCTCACACCACCTCAATATCGGCGACTGTCGGCGATGAAAGTCAGCATATCCCGCCCGATGGTTCCGGTCCCATGTGGAGCGAGAGTTGGTATTTTGACTGTGTCTCAAGCGACGGGGAGTTGGGGTTTTATGGTCGACTTGCACGGTTGCCCAACCAACAGACCGGCACTTTCTTTGGCGGAATCCTACGGCGCAACAAAGATCCGATCGTTTTTGTCGACATGGACGCTGCTCTTCCCACATCCGATGTGACCACGCAAACGCTCTGGACCGACCGATTCACCGTTGAGAGTCGGTGTCTGGACCCGTTGAAGAGATTCGCCCTCACGGTCCGAGGCACGGGCGCCGCCTTCTCCGACCCGTCAGCACCGTTCCACGGGGGAACGGGCGTAGACGTGGACGAGGTGGTGGTCGATCTCGTCTGGGACACTGCCGGCATCCCATATCAAAAGCGGGGCCTGACCCGTTACGAATTTCCCTGTCGCGTTTCCGGCGCCGTCAAGATCGGGGCCGAGTGTCTCAGTGTGCAGAACGCCCCGGGAGAGCGCAACCACAGTTGGGGGGTCCGGAATTGGTGGGTCGCCGACTGGGTGTGGTCGGGCATCCACTTTTCAGACGGGATGGACGTCTTCACCATTGCCTTGGGCAGGGGTCCCGAGAGTAGCGGCGCGTGCGGCGCCATCCAGGAGAACGGCGAGCTCACAGAGATTACGAGTGTCGTCAACGAGTTTGACCCCGCAGACACCGGCGCCCCCAGCCATCTCACCCTGCGGATTGAACCCAGCGACCTGGTGATCGAATGCGAGATGATCGGGCAAGTTGGCCTGCGCCTCCTTGACCAGGATGGCCGGGAAACGCATCTTCCACGCGCCATGTGCCGGGCCCGGACGAATCGCGGCCAGACAGGGGTGGGATGGCTGGACTTTAACATTGTGGTCAAGAAAGAGCCCGACACTGCCTCGGGTGTATGTGGCAAGAGACGAAGCGTCGATGCTGTTCCCGACTCGGATGCCGGAACGGATGCCGCAAGGCCGGCGAAAATAAGGGCAACAACAGGAAGCAAGTGTTAGTTAGATGGCAACGACCAGTACGGGCCGTCGTATTGTGGCTGCCGGACGCCATTGTCCAGATATAGAAGACGGTAGCATCATGCATAGTCCATACAATTGCTCCCACTGAAGCTCCTTTAAGAACAAGGAGTGGGAATGAGTATTTAACGTGAGGAATTTGAGAAGTGACGGGCATTTTCAAAGCTTCTCTTTTGTATACGTGGCGCGTGATATGACAGGGGCTGTGCTGAATACCATCAACGACAGTCCCAAAGCTGATGTGAGCAGACTCGAACACAAAGTAGTGCTCTGCCCATGGGTGCAGTGCTGTTGGACATTTCCCTGCACTTGCGAGCTGCGCTCATACGTAACAAGGAGAAAAAAAAAGACGGGGAAAACTCGCAAGTCATACGAGAGAACGGGTATGGCCTCAAAGGCAGAGCGTCCTTTCGTGGACTTTGAATCGTCCTGATAAAGTGCTACCTAACTTCCATCTCCGTGTGGATGATGGCCCCAAATCCAGAAACCCATGAACCACGCGGCATGCAACCTGGCCGACGGAAGGTCCTTTCTCCCCTTTGCAACCCCGATTGTACGCCATCTCACGCCTCAGACGAGCTCTCAGACCTTGTGCTCGGCATGGACGACCTGTGTCTGCTCGGTTTTGGCCAGGGTCGAGTCCAAGTTGTCGACGTCCATGTCTCGGAGACGCACCACGGGCTCCTCGCCGAATAGCTCGCCGATTTCCTCCAGCGACAGGCCCTTGGTCTCGGGCAGGACCAGCAGACAGAGCGTGCCACACACGACGCCAACAGAGATGAGGATGAGGTAGTACTTGTAACCGATGTTCTGGAATCCGGTGCTGGCGGGGGAAGCCCACGCGATGGTCGCGCCAAAGTAGGTGGCCATGGCCAAGCTGACGCCCTCGGTCCGCAGGTGGCTGGGCCAAATCTCGGATGTGTAGACGAAGCACGAGGGGTCCATCCAGAAGTTGTAGAAGAAACCAAACAGGAAGAAAAAGGCCACTCCCGTGCGCAGGCCAGCGATGTCGTTGGCTGGGATCCATTTCGCCGCGACCACGGCTTCCATGGCCAGGCAGAAGGCGCAGGTGTAGGCACCGCCGGCTAGTCAGAGAGAAGTAGACCGTCAGTGAGGGAACTTTGGACATGGGGGGGAGAGGGGGAGAGAGAGAGAGAGATGCCAGGGGAGTCGCTTACCCATAAGACGAACGCGACCGACGCTGTCGGCCACGATGCCGCCACTGATGGCACCGAATAAGACAGCCCCAAGCCAGGCCACGCTCAAGCCCAGTTGCAGGCGGTAACCGTAGCCTAGACCGCCGAACAAAATGGGGATGTAGTTGGCGAGCACCAGGATCCCGGTGGACATGGCGGTGATCCAGACCAGGACAGTGCACAGAGCCCTCCGGCGGAGTGCCGGGGTCCGCCAGATGTGGCGGTACCCGCGGGGCAACGTGTTCTCGAGGCTGACCTGCTCGCGGATCTGGATCATCTCGGCCTTGGCCAGGGTGAAGTGGACGTCGCTCGAGTGGCTGTGGACCTTTTTGAGCACCGCGAGCGCGTCCTCGTACCGTTCCTGCTGCACCAGCCACCTGGGCGACTCGGGGATGAAATACATCAGGCCGGTGATGAACAGCGCAAAGATGGACATGAGGATGAAGTTCAGCCGCCACTGGACTGGCTCCGTGACCCAGCTGAAGCCGAACGCGGTCGCGGCCGAGGTGACGTAACCCAGATCCTGGCCGACCACGTTCAGGGACACCAGCCAGCCGCGGGAATGGGGCGGCGACAGCTCGCCGATGAATTGAGGAGAGACAGTCAGCACCATGGCGCCGCCAACCCCGGTCAAGAAGCGAAACACCAACAACATGGGCAGGTGGTAGCTGGCCGCACACAGCGCGCCCGAGATGCAGACGATCAAGGATCCCATGCCCATGGCGACGCGGCGCCCGTAGCGGTCGGAAATTGGCTGTTGAAGAAACGAGCCGATGAAGGCGCCGCCATAGTAGATGCCGACCAATGCGCCCTGATACGCCGCAGCCTTGTCCGCCGGCAGGAACTTTGCGATAAAGGTCGTCTGGGCGAAGGAGCCGGCCATGACATTGGAGGCATAGCCATAGATTGACGTCGCCAGCGCGATACCTAGAACAACCTTTGTTAAGTCATCGCCGTCAGCCTTGCACCGTGACGTTCTCGGCGAGGGAGGAGAAATCATGGTACTTACGATGATATTCAGAAAGGAAGTATAGACCTCAAGGTGATGAACCTCATGGGAGAGGCCCTCCACGCCAGCTTCCATGCTTTCACCGTTTGTAGGGGTTATCTGGGAAAGTCGTGGTAATGAGTGACAAACGTGGCCACGTGGAGGAAGGATTTGCTCCTCCTGGGTCAATCCCAGTGCTGCCTTTCGAATATGTGGGGTTGGAGATGGACATGAACTTATACTCCAGCCTCCCCAGATCAGGAACTGTTTGACCTACAAGTATGGTACGGAGGTTGTGGCTCGACTTCTTTCTCCGCAAGAAAAGATCATAGACACGGCCGGGGGTGCAAAGATGGACCCACCTCTCCCCCGGTCCCCAGGATCTGGTAGAGCAATCGGATGGGTTGCCGAAGCCGCAGCCCCCCCCCGGCGGTGGGCGTTCTCTTTCACCCCTGACGGCACGTGCACCACGGAATTCCTATTCTAGTCTCGGGAAAACGGTCCAGTGCCCAGTGAGCTACAGACTCGACTCCGTTCACTGCCTTTCCCAAAACAAATTTCCGTGGAAAATCAAGTCTGCCATCACCACCGCATGACCTGTCGAGCACCGAGTGGTGCCTTTGCCGTTGATCCGGGTTGCACTCCCTCTCCGCCAGAGTGCTGAATGAAGTCCTACAGGACTGCGAAGTCGACTTCTGATCTGGCAAAGGTATATTTCTAAATTGTTGCATTATCTCTGCATTGGTCCTAAACATCCACAATGTCACGAGACTGAGATTTCTTTGCGATCCATTGAAGAGCAGGGTACCGTTGTCTCAGAACACCAACCGCCACTCAATCAGCGACATTACGGAAGCTTTGCTTAATGTCCCGCAGTGTTTTCATCCGGATGAAGGGAATGTAGACGTGGACAAAAAGGTATTTCTAATTTCCCTTACAAACAAGATATGTCCGTCGATGTGATGTTGGACGGAGGATCCTGGACTTGTCCTCTATGGTGCCTCGTCGAGGGACCTTCCAGCTTTGTCAGATGTGGTCGAATTCTCACGCTTGACACCCATCACACAGGTCTCTCCTGTCTCGGGGAGACCATCTTGTTGCTTCTTAGTTTAGAAGAAGATCTCTTGCCATCATCTGGATTTTTTTCTCGGCTGATTCTTGTGCCTTTTGAGAAAGCGAGCCAGACAGAGTGAAGGCACGGCGATGTCTCGAGGAATTGCATGTCGCTTACGTCCCCCGTCCTTCCAAGGTCAGGACTAGTTTCCATGCATTGGACAGGTCTAGACGCTAAACCTGACTCTTTGGACTCGACACTAAAAGAGACACGACTGCAGAAAGAAAACAAAAAGCGTCGGAGGCGTCGGCGAGTCAAGGGTCATTGTAGGTGAGAAGAGGGATGAGGAGAGGGTGGGATCCAAAGTTGAGCACAGGGCGGCATCACCCTCGTCCCGATCGGGGGTGAGGCGGCTGCGATGATGAAGTTGTGCAGGAGGAAGCGAATGCACATGCGCTGTTTGTCACTCGGTATTGCGCGAGATTCGGCGGCGGGATCGGGTATCGCAGCCCTCGGCTCTTTGTGCCCTTGGCCCCTAGTCAACAAGGATAGTTAGTTGAAACTTGGTGTAGATCAATAAAAGGGGCCAAATATAGGTGCCACGGTTCTAGAACAAACAGTAGTTTCAGCTCCTGCTATATACTCTGAGTCTATCACCCTCCAGGTAAGTTCCAACAATGCTGGAAGAATGACGCTGTTCCACCCGGATGGACCGCCGGCAAAATCAGGTCATTGCAACGTTGCCACCCTTGGCGGGTCATTTGTCGAATGCAAAACTATTATTAGACACCTGAGCGACTTTGATCGTAAATGTCATCTTTTTAATGCTCGGACAGCATGATTTACTTCAAAGCCTTGAAATCTCTCATGTCGACACTGCTGCATTCCAGCGGCACCTCTGCAGAGCCTTTACTTCATTACGGCTGCTTAGCTAAACCTCACTCTCAGGACTTCCAGTTCCACATAATCAACGGATGAGTCGCATATTCAGACCCTGATGGCCACTTCTGGAAATGCGGCAAGAAACATCGAAGTCGAAGAAAACCAAAAGAAAATATCTGAGGACATCACGCAGGAGGGCAACTGTCAAGCCGGCCACGACACGGAGAAATTTCTTCCGGCATCAGATTGGGTCACCTTAACCGAACGACGCGGTCGCTATAAACCATTGCACCCAGGCCGGTTGAGAAACAGTTTGCTCGCTGGGGTTGGATTTCTTGAGCTAGGAAATGCAGGAGACTTCGCTGCTAATGTCTGGAACGAAATTCCGGTGAAGAAATGGGTCGCTGTCTTGATGGCACTTGGGGCAACATTGGCCCTGGTGACCTCCCTATTTGCCTTTCGCGATATCACACTCAGCTGGCGCAACATACGGGTCTTAAGGGAGGAGAGATTACACCTGAGGCGAGAACAAGCGCGATGTCGCAACAACAAGGCTTGCTTGCGAAGTGTGGAAGCCTTGCTGGGTGTCAACTTCCGTGAAAGTGGCACTGAGCTGCTGGACCGGCTCATCGTGGATGTGCTGTTGGGCTTCGGTGCCCTTCTGGTCAGCATTGGTACTTATATGGCTATCGGTGGAGCCAATCCTTCCGTCTTCGCCGCCAGCAATCTGCTCTCAGGGTACATCGGCAACGCCGCAGGAGCACTTTACGGCCTTATCAATGCAGCATGGTCCACCTACGTTTCAATACGGGCATATCGACATCGCTCTGCAGGGCTCGTCAAATTGCAATCAGATCTCGCCAAACGTCTGCTGCGGCATCGCACGCGCCAAGTACAGACTCACGCGATGGTGCTTGCAATTACGGGTCTTGCAGCGGGCGCAGGAGGTCTTATAACTGCCACGATGTGGTGGGGTTATATCATCCTGGTCCCTTGCATTGTGTCCAACATCTATTGTAACTGGATGTGGCGGCACCAAATCGGATACGAACGACCAATAGCTGCCAACATTGTCGAAATCGACCAACAATCGCTGATCAGAGAGTTGGAACGGGTCGATGCTATGAGAAATTATCTGGGCAACCGGAAGCCGTCAAACTCGCCCAAAGGCGACACGACTCATGATTTCACATCGATCGTCTCGATCATCCGGTTCATGATATCCATCGACGTTTTCGAAAGCTTCTGTGTCCGCGTCATGCGTGATTCACGGCTATCTGCAGCTCTATTGCAGGCATCAAAAGGAGATCTCACCATCCATGAACAAACGTTCCGGGAGCTGGATCGAAAATATTTACCGCCGCTAATAGAGATCGCAAGATTACATATAGAAGAGAGGGGTCCTGTGCAGTTGAGATACCGAGAGAGGTACCTCCTGGAGGCTCTGGGGTGTTACCTGCGGGTACAAGGTGACACACCCACCAGCAAAGAGCTGGAGCATCCGCTTCCAAAAGAATCAGCATAGTATATACACTTTCACAAGAGCGATATCTTTTCCCTTTCCTCCCCTTTTTCATTTTCCTGGACCAAATCTGCTCTACAACGCGAGGCAAACAGGATTATCTGGAGCACCATCTTTCACAGGCAGGACTGGACCATCCGTCGCTCAGAAGACAGCCGCAAGTCCAGAGCATACCGTCGAATTTTCTTCCCAACTTAGCATCAATATGTCAACCATCTCTTCCCACTGACGAACCTTCGCTTCTGAGGTAGCTCGCTGCTTTGGCTGGGATATTTCGTAGACGAACGGAGTCCACGGTCATTGTGCCAATCCATCGTATGTCTTAATAACCGAATGAACTAAATCCATAAAACAAGAGTCCATCACACTCAATGTAGACGCCATTCATCTATTCATTACACACGCAAAAGCACCGAAAAAGGCTGAGCAGTGAGCATCTAACTGGCACCTAGCGGGGAGGATGTCGACAAGGCGGTACGGCGGACATGTCCGGGCACCACCGCGCCCCACATCTTTTTCAAAGAAATATATTTTACAATCCCCAAAATTCGCAAGAAAATCATCTCGATTTCCACACGGTTCTATAGTGTAGTGGTGATCACTCCGGATTTTGATCTGATGATGGACACTCGTGTTCGCCATCATCGCTGAATTATCTTCCGGCAACCCCGGTTCGAACGTGAGTCTCTTAATGCCGAAACCTCAATGACAAGTCAACATAAATACTGATAATGTACCAGCCGGGTAGGACCTTTCTTCAAAATACACATTTCTTTTTTTTCCCCTTTGTGCATGTTGTGGTTCAGTCTGTTAGTGGTGGGTAAGGCCTGTTGAGTTTTTTTCCTTCTGGAGAAATACAATGTGGGCATACAAACCGTCAAAGTTTTGGGGACCTATGACGGCATGTTATTTTTCCGCTCCGGGGTAACATTAACTATCAAGGCGCCTTTCGGCCCTTCAGTGCCTGGGTGCTATAGCACACAAGCATTCAACATGGCATTGCTGAATGCAAAACAAGACCCCATCTCTCCATCGACTCTATCGAGTAAATTCATTCCCAGAAACTGTGGTCGCATTCTTGATGTGAAAAGAGAGGGTCTGACTAAAAATTGGGTATTGCCTACTAATCTCCAGCAGCTCCTCGACTGACCGAACCAGACAAAGCTGAATGTAAAAGGAACGGTGCATTTTCGACATCAAGACTTCCAACCAGCCTCTTTAGATAAAGTATAGACTGTCCCGGCTTTCGCCACCAGCGACTATGGCCCAATCCCCTTCCTCCTCGAGACTCTCGTTGCCAGGCTCAGGATACTTCTTCAGATGCTCAATGGCCCATCTCGTCTCATCCCCCAGCACGGGCGGACACCTCCCGCGGTCCTCGATTAAGGGTAGACCAGCCAAATCAAACAGACCTCGAAGCCAGTCCATCGTCTCCCCGTTGTCCCAGGGAATGTCGTGAAACCTTCTTCCCTCCCTGCTCACAAGTCTCCACCTCTCTTGCTCCCATCGTTCCTGTGCCTCGCGCGGCGGGAGAGGTTGGGCGTTTCTACCCGCAAACAGGCGTGCCAGGGCGATTGCCTGGTACTCAAACGAGCGGAAGGTGAGGACACGCGGAACTCCGACAATGCCTAGCGACGTTGGAAAGTCACGGTGGAATGTATGCCAGTAGCTGCCGATCAGTCGGTTTTCCTTGTAATCCCACAGCGGCCCACCATTGGCGCGGACGTTCCAGAATGGAAATGATGCTTTGTAGCCTGTGCAGTAGAAGACGACGTCAATGTCGCCGAGGACGGAGCCATCCTCAAACACGATGTCGCCACTCGCGAGGTACTCCTTCACAACAGGTTTCCATTCAATGCCTGGAGGTGGCTTTTTCCCATCCCAGCGCGAAGGTGACCTACGAGACTGATAGACGGGAAGCCGCGCAGAAGTGACCAGCGCCGCCGTGATGTCGTGGCCAGATGCAGAGTTGCCGATGACCAGCACCCGTTTGCCGCGATATACCTGTGGATTGCGGAATGATTTGGAGTGAACCACCCGTTCTGGGAAGAGACGGATGTATGAGTCGAGACCATCGACTTTGGGGACCTTTAGATCAGGTGGTGATTAGCAAACGTGAACTTTATAGCCTTTGGGTATGTACTCAAATGACTGGGCCAGACTTACGTATGGTATGGAATAGTGGCCATTTGCGATGATCACAGCGTCGAACCTTTCTTCCCACCAGACATCCACGTGCCGGACTGAATCTCTTCGTCGAAGTGTGAGGTTCCACCCCTCCTTCCCTGGTGTTCTAGACAAATCTTCCACCGTGGTGTTCAACACAAGAAACCTGTCTGTTTGGTGTAGCGAAAAGTAGTCTGCTATGTATTGCCTTGGTATCCAGTGAGGTGCAAAGGGTCCATACGCAAATCTATAGTCTGAGAAAGACATAGCAATATCCGGGACATTGGTCCTATCACTATTGTATCAATAACCTTGGCTGAAGCAGAGGCTCACCTTACTTACGTTAAGTCGTCGTAGATTGGTGTTCTCTCATACCGTTCTTGGAAATTGGGGGGCGTCATCCTAGGAAGTGCATCAGGAATATCTAGAGGTGGGTCGATCTGCGGAGGGATGCCACCAGGTAGCAGCTTGTAGCGAGGCCCTGGGTCAGGATCGTATATCCTAATCGTTGTTTCTGTCATCTACAAGGCTGCGAGGGCCATTTGGGGATAGTCTAAGTCCTACCATGTTCCGCCCGGGGCGTCTCGCCGTTCGAATACGCGGATTCGACTGAAGCATTTTTCCGCTGCAAAAGCCGCCGCTGCCGCAGCTCCTTAATCCCTCAATGTGAGCGACGCATGGCTTGGTAAGGGGTAACAGGGATCAGAAAAACGAGTGGTATTACCTGCTGCACCAGCACCAATAATGGCGACAGACTGAACTGGGAGTGTTTCCATAATTCCTGAACAGGATATCTTGGCCGAAAAGTCAGTGTGTAAGCCTCAGTCCAGTACATTTAGAAGTCAACATTGTCGACGTTGAATAGTTGGAAGAGATTCGCCATTCAGCGCAGGATGGCGTGCTCGAGGCTCAAGGCATGAGGCGAGTTACCGAAATCTAAAGCTAGCCTCTCAGAACCGCTCATACAGGAGAGATCGTGGCAGCAGGACTTCGACATTATCCTCAGATCGTCAACTGGAGGTGTTTTCCTCCAGGGTCTTTCCAGATATGACTGTCCTCGCGTAGCCCACATGCAGCATCTTAACGCCAGATCTAGCAGACCCACTAGCCAAGGAACCATTAAGATGCTCCGCAAGAGGACTTATTGGGAATGCCTTCTCACAGACTTGATACTCGTAGGGTCGAGGTATTGTGTGGCTGGACATGGAGGGTATTTCCTTAGAGCCTTGTCGTTAGCCGCACCGATCTTGGTCGCCAACCAGCAGGGTTTTTCATGGCATGCTTGAGCATCGATGTAAGACTCGCAATCACGTATGCATGTAGTCTTTGACGACAAGAAATATTGGTGCTGTGGAAACGAGGTGGGCTTGGGGCGAGCAGAGACTCGGGTTCAGTGAAGGGATTTGACCTCGAAGTCTACTCTTTCGAATCTGTTGCAAATAGACAGCACTGGTGGCACCCATAGGGGCAGAGTGATACAGCCCGTACGAGGCGTCATGATTCGTTGTGAGAGTGAGCGCAAGTGGAAGGATCAGGTTACCCAAGACGAGCAGCACGTGAGCTCCGAGGAGTTTTCGCCCATATTTGTTGCCGCCAAGCCCAGTTGCCCGATGCGCATCCCAAGCTCCGGATACAAAGTCGAATCTCGCATGTTTTCGAGGCCAGCGTCAACAGGAACAATTGCTCGACGACCACCCTCAATATGGCGCGAATAAGGCTCCTGCGAGCTGTAAGTGCCCCTTCGCAGACCTCTCCAACAACTCTCTAATCATCATCTAGTCGAGACATGCCGCAGTATTCGCCCTGGGAGCAACCGCTGCGACCCAAGTCCATGTGATTCCCTCACCATTCCGTACAGTCTATGCAGAAGCTCCCTCAAAGGACCAGGTACAAAAGACCTGTTTGCAATTGCTTGGCTAGCTTTTACTGATGCTACAATAGCTCCCTGACAAGAAGCCCATATACTCCGACTTCCCCGTTGCGCCCACCACTCCTGAACCCTCCCCTACGTCTCCCGTCTCGAAACCAAACCCGCACTCACCTACACCCACAGACCGACTCGCAGAGCAAGTAAAGAAAGCCCGCCTATTTCTGTACGATCAGTCTCTTTCCGCGGAAACGTCCTTCAATAAACTCCTGTCATGGGCGTTCCGTAAGGAAACAGACTTCAGCAACACCATTGCTTCCTTGGCCCCGGCTCCCGAAACCGGAGAACAACTTCTCCCTGGAGCTATCTACGTACTGGTCGCCACGCTCACAGGCTCCATCGTAAGCCGAAACAGGGGTATTTTCTTGCGGACCACTTTCCCGCTTGCCGTGGGCATTGCGGCGGGCTGGTACCTCATTCCCGTGACGATGCAGAACACCTCGGACTTGATCTGGGAGTATGAGAAAAAGGTGCCTGCAATCAGCGAGACCCATGCTCAGATAAGTGGGTTTGCAAGGGAAGCATGGAGACAGACGAGGTTGCACACGAAATTCGCGACGGACTGGGCAGATGAGAAAGCGACCGAGGCGAGGAAAACTGTCGAGGACTTGGTTTCGAAGGGCAAATAAAAAGCTTCCTGTGCCGCAGGGCGGGTTCATAAATAAAAAGAGAAACTTGAAATAACTGAAGACCAATATGGGGTATAGCTCCCAGAGGCAAGCCAGGACCGTTTACGAGACGTGGTGGTAGGTCGGTTTGCCCAATGTACAGAACAACGGCGTTTTTCGTCCCTTTCACGTTCCAAGCCTTGCACTGTGCCTGCTCGTGTGACCGCTCGAGGCCGGCGATAAAATAGCATTAAGATGACCGAATGTTAACCCAGCTTGTAAATCAGGGGGACGAAATATCATCTTGATCTATACGTAGAGCGGGCAAAGCACTAGCGAGGCTGTGTGGACGATATGCATACACAAGACAAGATTGATAATTCCCAGAGCTCAGCCTGGAATGTATTGGCAACTATCAGCTCAAATGTCTGATGGTTTTGTATATGCCATCTGTTTTCCGTTCGAGAACTCCTTGAGAGTGCACGCGGCGGTCAGATGCTCGCCGTTAGGAGAGTGACAACTCCATGAGAGGGCGAAGAGGTCCAGTCCGTGAGTCAGGTAAACACACAAGGGCTCGGTGTGGGGAGATATTCGCCAGATATTGTGCTGGACCTCCATTTTCTCGCGCCCTCCACACTCTGCACAACGTCTCGTCTCATTCCTCCGTTCGGCATTGACTCCAATCGACCAATTCATGGACAACAGCCCCTGCACGTTTCCCACTCAGAATACGCCCCTAGATACATATTCCAGGTCCATCACGTATGCAGACTTCGGCGTACATGCTGTCGCTATCACCTGCGAACGCGGGCATTCCTTTCGAGCATCGGTTGACAAGATTTTGGATATGTAGACGGCATCGCGCTCGAAGCTACCCGCTTTCAGCAGTACATGCTTCCGCTTTATGCCGGGGCTGTCCTGAGGTCAGAAGCTAGGATGGTGGCATAGGAGTCGAGTCCCTTGCCATGTCTCTGTTGATGGTATGGAGTGATAATAGCCCTCTGCTTGCTGACGGTCCTGGCGATTCCCCACTGTCCAGTATGCTGTAGTGAAGACGTCATCTTATAGCTCGACGCTCAAGTCGTGAACAAAGTATCCTCCTCCCTCAGATACTCGCCAACATCACCCTGCCGGAACGCGACAATGCTGGTAGGCTCCAGCTTTCTTGCCTCTGCCGTGCTCCTTGCAGTAACGCCGAAGCCCAGAGGGGTATCGTCCATTGCGAGAATAACGACGCCCGAATGCTCGGGGCAGTCCTCGCTCCAGCGGCCCACATGGGCTTTTACAACGTTCCCGCCATACAAAAACGGCATTTCGCCATTCGGCTTGATCCATAGCTTGTAACGAGCGTGCGGAGCAATAACATCCAAGGCGGTGATGTGCAGGCGGAATTTGCCTGTCTTGGTAAATTTTCCAATGCAAGTGCCGAGGGAGAGGAGGTTGTCACGAGCAATGGAGGTGGCTAGATTTGCGATCGAGAGACGGACATAGTAGACGCGCGATTCATGCAGGCGGAAGACATAGCGGCCGTCGTTGTCGGAGGAGTCGCTCGGGGCAATGAGTTGGGTCAGGGAGCGGCCAGTGTAGTTTGCCAGTTTGGTGAAGAGAGTCTGTGTCTCGACATCGGTGAGTGGCCTCATCTTGACTCCTTCGCCTCGAAGAAGGCCGAAAATTTCAAAGGGTACGTTCGGAAGATATGTAGTGCGCAAAGACTGCGGACATCAAAATTGAGACCGAAATAATTTTTGCGGAGCGGCAGATCCTCGGGCCAACTTTTTTCTTTGGTGGTTGACCGAAATTTGACTCTCTGCATGCAACCTTTGCTGAGAGCACAAGGCCTGTCGAAAGTGTTGCAATGCCTCACGGTCGTCCAGTGAAACGGAGACGCCTCTCTCCTCCCGTTGATGACAGCAAATCCTCCGAGACTATAAAGGCATCCGACCTCTTCGTGCGCGCTGCAGATTGGGATCTTGAGCAAGAGTACGAAAAGAAGTCGAGGCAGAAAAAGGCTAAAGAATCAACGAGACTGCCAATCAAAACTGCCGAAGGCAGACTTCAAAGGATAGAAGAGAAGGCACCAATTGAGAATGAGGACGACTCGGATAGTTTCCTGGGATCTGGCACAGACGAGGAAGACGAGCAGGGCGACACTCCTCCCTCCGAGACAGAGCCCACCGTTCCACAAGTCCCTTTGAAGCAGCAAATTGTCGCCGCCAAAGAAGAGATCGCACGGATTGCTGGCCTGCTGAACGAGGACCCCGAAGAACATGCGGGCTCCTTCAAAAAGTTGGCACAAGTCTGCAGTCCGACTTCGCCGACTGCGGTGCAAAAACTTGTCCTTGCGGCACAAACAGCGGTCTACAAGGACGTAATCCCGGGCTACCGGATACGGTCTTATAAGGATGAAGAACTGGGGAGTAAAATCTCCAAGGACGTGCGACGAACGAGACAATACGAGCACGCTCTCGTGACAGGGTATCAAGCATACGTGAAGCAACTGAGCAGTCTTGCAAAGGCCCGTAAGGGTGATGCAGAGATACAGTCCTTGCGGAGTGTGGCGATCAACTGCGCATGCACTCTACTCCTCTCCGTACCACACTTCAATTTCCGGACCGAGCTGCTGAGTATTCTCGTCCACGAGGTCGCCAGTCGGGAATCGTCACCCGACTTTATCAAATGCGTAGAGACATTTGAAGAGTTCTTCTCCCACGATGAAGACGGCGCGCCGTCCCTCGAAGCCGTCAACCTGCTCTCTAAGATGATGAAAGCCAAGGACTACCGAGTAAGGGAAGAAGTGCTGAATACCTTCTTCCATTTGCGTCTCCTGTCTGAGCTGCCACCACCTGGCTCGAACGACAAATCGGATCGGCCAGAACACCCGTCGAAGCTGCACGGACGCAAGGTGAAGCAACAGACCTCACAGCATATGACCAAACGCGAACGAAAATTGCTCAAACAGCGCCGTGAAGTCGAGAAAGACATGGCCGAAGCCTCTGCGCTCGTAAACCACGAAGAGCGCGAGAAGATTCAGTCTGAGACGCTAAAAATGGTGTTTGTCACATATTTCCGTATCTTGAAGGCGAGGGTACCCGAGCTCATGGGTGCTGTATTGGAAGGACTAGCCAAATACGCACATCTGATCAATCAGGATTTGTTTGGAGATCTCTTGGAAGCACTGAAGGAGATTGTGAGCGCAGCTGACGAGGCTGTGAGGGGCGAATTGGATCTGGACGGAGTCGAAGGAGAGAGGGCACCGACAAACCTGGACGGCGAGGCGATCCGCAACAGGAAACGCGAGGGCCTTCTTGCGACACAAACTGCATTCACGCTGCTCTCCGGCCAGGAGGCTTCCAAGGCCGCCTTAAACTTACATCTCGACCTGAGTTTCTTCACAGCGCATACCTACCGCTCACTGTACCCGCTTTCGCTGGATGCGGACATTGAACTTGGACCAAAATCGCTGCGCCTCCCCGATCCGCACTCGTCGAAATCAGGAGCATCATCAGAGAAAAATAGAATCAACATCTCGACGCCGATTCTCCTGCTCACGCGCGTGTTGACGTCTATCCTGCTAACGCCTTCGTCCCCACCACCCACGCAGACGGTGCTATCGTTCTTCAAACGTCTCCTGACCGTCTCCCTTCAACTCCCTGAGAAATCCACGATGGCAGTTCTGAGTTTGATGGCCAAGATCGCAGACAAGCACGGCCGCAAGATTGAGGCCTTGTGGTATAGCGACGAACGGAAAGGAGACGGAGTATATAAGGGAGACAGCGAGAGCGTGGAAGGCACAAATGCGTTGGGGACTGGTAGTGGTGTTTGGGAGGCAGAGTTGCTAAGGAGGCATTACTGCCCCAAGATCAGAGAATCGGTTCAGAGGATGGAGGGGGCTATTAGAGACTTGCACAGATAGCTGCGACGTCCAAAACTCGGCTGAGTGAATGGCACATGCTTCTTCATATCTTGATGTGTGTGTAACTATTAAAATTTCACATGTTCCTCCTGCGCGCCATGGTTTCGCTCTCCAGTCCAGGGAGAAGAACGTATATAAGGGGTCGTCCACGCGTGTCTCGTCACTTGTTCTTGTGTGATGCCGTCTCTTCTCCTCCTCTCTGTGAAGGTAAAATCTCAACAAAGCCCCTCCACGTTAGGACGCACAACCAGACGCCACTCGTGCCGCTGGCTCGGGTGCAAGAGGAGGCAGTCGAAGTCGATACATGAGCAGATCACCCAACACATCTTTCTTCGAGAAATCGGCCCTAGGGTTCAACAACCTCAAGAATTTTTGAGTCTGGGATTTCTCTCATCGGCTATCACAACGCCACCTGTGGCTGAGGTTGTGTGTGATGTGATGTCAATGGTCAATGGACGAGGGGCGCAGGCTGTAGGGAGGGGAAGCAAGGCCCAGCTTTCGAACATCCCAACAAAATCCCGGAATGATCATCAAATGCACAATGCACATTCCAACATTCCACGCTTTGACATGTGCGTCTCTTTGCTCGCGCCAATCGACACACATGTTCCGCCACCCTGGCGAGATCCAGATTGCTTGCATTGTGTGGCACACCAACCTTTGCGGGCACCAAGCATGTGTGTTCTCCGGTCCTCAAAAGTTAATGCTCCTCTTCTGCATCACATCATGCCATTGACGCCTCTGATGCGTCCTGTCCCACTCGGCATGCAAGAAACTGGCGAACTCTCTGGGCCTCAGGCTCGTGGGCAGCTACAAGCTCCCCAGAAAACTGGGGGCTGTGTCTGGTATGACAGGTGGGATTATGTGACGCCTTGATTCTATTTCCAAGGTCAAACAAGGTCAAGGTCATGATCATGATCATATTAACCGCCTACCACCCTTTTCATAAAGGTTCCCAACCTTGTGTTTCTCTGGCGGAGGCATTCTTCAGCTGGCCCTGAATCTATACATTCCATCCATCCCCGTTTCATCCACCGATCTAATCTCACCCACGCGCCTTCGCACGCACTCAAATCTCGGTCCGAAAAAAACAAAAGCATCGGAGGATTTTGTGAGGGATCAACCGGGTATTGCCGCTCGTATATACCCTTGAGAGCTGACAATCTCCTGACTTTGCGATAACTCTGTCTTGATTCCGTTCCCATTTCTCGGTTTCAGGGTTTCTATACTTTCTGTGGTAACTCTGCGAATTTGGTATTCAATTGACTGGGTGGCGCAAATGATACTTGGACCCGTAAACCTGGATCTGACAGGTATTCGTCATTGACATTCATCCACGAGGTACGTATAGATAGTTTATCGTTATCTCTGGCTATCTCTTTGATGGTTGCGTCTTCTCAATGGGGGTTTGGATCGTTGCGACTTCTGTGTTTTCATCAGTCAACCCATTGCAGCAGCGATGTTCATGAATAACTAGTCAATGAAATTCTGGCTGCAGCTTCAAAAACGGGAACCAATCTTTATCCAGCTGGGTTGGTGGAAGATTAAAGTATTGCTTGCTCTATACACCAAGGAAGCAATCACCACGAACACACAAGGCCTATCGCGACTGTCTCAGGGCAAGTGTCCTGGCCTGAATTCCTTTCATGCGCTCCCTATCAAAACGCTCTCCGCCTTTGTCATCTTGGAAGCATGGCCAAACAAACCCGTTGTTGTTGATGACTAACGCCCTTATTGAGCTCCCGCTGATTATGATTTCCTTCTGTTCTAGTGAACCCCAGACACCTCACCTCTCCGGGCTCTGTTACTTTCCATCCATTGCTTGCCAACTGATCTTGTCCGAACGGAAGGGCACTTTTCGCGAATCCCTCTTCATACGAACTACATCATTCGCATCAACTCTTCGCAATGGTGTCAACTACCATCACTTTCAAACAGGACAACCTGCAACCGCCCGTGTACGTCGCCGGCGCGTTCACGGGCTGGTCGCCGATCGAGATGAGCTTCGAAACGACCGAATCGGACGGCTCTCCCCAAAACGTCTTCTCGTACAAGGCTGACCTCGAGCCCGGCGATTACCAATACAAATTCAAGCTGGGTCCAGGTGATTGGTGGGTCCTGGATGAATCGAGCCCAACAGGTACGTACTGGTCTCGCTTAACTCTCCTCTACGAGTATTATGAAGCGATACAATGCTGACGATGACTTGGGTTCCCAGCAAACGACGCCCAAGGAAACGTCAACAATGTCGTTTCCGTCCAGGCACAAGTTCCGGGACCCATTGAACACATCTCCAAGCCCGTCGCCACTATTCTCAACACAAAGGACGCTCACATTATCGAAGATGAGCATGATCGTCAGCACGAGAACGGCCTTGCATCCGCGTCCGAAGCTGTTGAGAATTCAATAGAGTCGCAAAATCCGAGAGACGAGGTTACCACCAGCGGAGAAGATGCCGTAGCCATCGACGATAAGCCGACGCACGACGTTGACCACAGCGTGAGGAAAGACTCCATCCCAGATTTCGCCCCACCGCCATACTCGATCGCCACAAATGGAACTGTATCGCCTCCGCCGCCGCCTGTCTCTTCCGCCACTGACACCGTCCCCAACGAGAAACAACCAGCGCGGTCAGTTCCCAATGGCAAGGAATCATCCATCTCGAGTTTCTTCAATACGAGGTAAGTTGAGCCCTTTACGATCGTCGATGTATATATAACTAGGAAGTATCTGACAAATGTCCCCCAGAAATCTCGTGCTGATCGTCGCAATTGTCGTGGTACCTGCCGCCGTGTCGCATTACCTGCGGCGGTAGCGTGTCGAAACTCGGTAGTCTGCTAGTATACACAGCTTTGGGAGGTGGTTGGGAAACGTTTAATATCTGTCTCTTTCTCTTTTATGTCATGATGGATCGCGGTGGAAAAGAATACAAATACGCTGTGAACGGTTGGCTGTGGGCGGTGGGATTTTGATTGACCTCCTCACCTTGGTGGGCTATGGGTTCTGGGCCGTGGGTCATGACTTTCATGACTTTGGACGTGTCTTTGTGTTTGTTTTTATGTTCAGCGGAAAAACGTGCGAGGTGTAAAAATGGACAATCTTTCACATCATACTACAACTACTCGGTTGTCCTTTTCCCGTTTCGATTGGTTGTTGTCGTTTCACATTTGGTTTCAAGTAAAACGAGGTGAAGCGTGGTTTTGACAGAAGAGATTAATTCGTGGGTATGGAAGTGAGTGAGTATCGGAGGTGTACTCTTCCCGAATACCTCACGAGGTATGAAAGGAGAAAGCATGGTCCGTAATGTAATCACTGCGTGTTGCGGCTGATGTGGCAGTACCAGAACGAGCCAGAGCCAAACTGCTGTGCTTGGAAGGAGGTGGGAGGAGGAAGTTTTCCTCTTTTGTGATTTTGGTGGTCCACCCCCCCTGTTTGGGCGTCCTGTATGTATATACTGTCACCCTCTGCCCAGCGAATGTCTCTCGTTTTCGTCACTTCTTTGTCCATGTTCATGTACAGTACCTATGTACTTACGTACTTGCATACTCACTCGGCTAGCTGCACAGCTTCGCCGCAAGCTACTTGATGAGCTAGCTACAAGCGACAAAACGTCTCGACAGCCTGGCGCGTCTCCTCCTTTGTCTCCTTGACCAAGCCACTAACGGCCTTGAACTTCTCATCTTTGGCATCGCCAAGCAACTCGAACAGCACGCTCTCGCTGGTGGTGACGATGGCGCCCTCGCGCGCCAGCCGGTGTAGGGCGACGGGTCTCTCGCCGGCGTTGCACGACGAGACGCCATCGGCGATGACGTAGACCTTGTGCCCCGCGGCGAGCAGGTCGAGGGTCGTCTGCGTGACACAGATGTGCGTCTCGATGCCGACGATCAGCACGGAGAGCTTGTCGCTGGGCGAAGAGGTCAGGGATTGCAGGTGCGTCTGCAGCGCGGGGACGAGCATCGAAAACGCCGTCTTGTCGATCGCCTCGGGCGTGGTCTCGGGAATGAGAGAGGTGAGTTCCGGGACGGTGGCGCCGAGGCGCGAGGCGTTTTGCGTCGTGACGAAAACGGGGATGTTGAGGATTTTGGCTATTTGGACAGATTAGCTTTGCTAAAGACACCCCGGCCAGGGAACCTGGTGGTGGATGAAATGTCTTGATCTTTTCCTTACCTGCTTTAACCAGCTTCTGACTCGTGGCTACCCTGTTATCCACGTCGCGTATCGGTGTGAGTAACGAACACCTGAAGGGGTACACACGTATGTATAAGGGGGGGTTTTAGAGACGTACACCTTGGGAAATTCCCAGATGGCATTGCGGAATTTCTCCTGAATGTCGCAGATACTGTATACAAAGGTAAGCGAGAAAATCCAACATTCTTAGGCATCAACGTGATGAGCTCGATGTGATGGGCACCATTGGACTCAATAGAAGAAGAATGGTCGGGGGAGGTATTTGGATCTCCTGATATCGACACAGGCATCTAGATATCTGCGCGGTAGGTCCCATGGATACATGTATGCACATGCACATGCCGAGTTGCCTGGACTGGATTGGACTGGACTGGATTGGACTGGACTGGAAAAGATGAAAAACGTACAACAAAACCGGATTCGCTATAAATGTGCCCCGTAGGCAATTGCACGTCAGCAAAGAGTACCAACAAAGCAAAAAATGTAATCGGTAGGTTCATTCGTTCACTCGACTCAATCAACCAAATTCAGTCATGCCGCTCGTGCCCCTCATGGATACATCATCATCAACATCGGCCAAGATATCGACGCCGCCGTCTGTCCGCAGAGTAGGCGTGCTCTAGACCCAGTCGATAAACTGCGAGGAAATGGTGGACGGGAACAAGAAGAAGAAGCAGACACGTAGACAGAAAAACTGACCAATTCGTTTACTGTTGACCGACATCTTTCTTTCTTTCCCTTCTTCCTAACCTTCTCACTCTATTGCCTGTGACTATCTTCCAGACAACCTGACTTGAGCCGCTCGATGGCCTCGATGAAAATCCGCAGAGGAAAAAAGAAGCTCAGAGCGACCCGGCCTCTCGTCGTGGTGGTGGCGACAAAAGGAACGTCGAAATTATGGAATCGCAGCAAACGTGGAGAATAAGGATCTCTTGGACAGACAGGGACTCGGTCGTAATAGATACCGTTATGGTATGGCTATGCTATGTCGTTGCGGCTATTTCAATAATCAAATACAAGTGTTTCCAAGGTCTTCTATGGTGTCGGTGAAAATCGGGCAAATGGGACAAGTTGGAGCGGCAAATCAAATTCCCACAGTATTACGGCGTCACGGCGTCACGGCGTGTGGGGGAGACACTCGAGGCACTGGAGGCACTGCACGCACTGGACACAGGCACAGCCTTATGCATGCTGTACCCTATCAATATCTGTCTTACTTTTGCCCTTTTGCAAGATTGGCCTCGTGCGAGGCTCTTCTGGAATCTATCTGCTCTGCAGGTCTCACCTCTCACACCTCTCGAGGCGACAAAGCTCTGCAGACCATGGCTTAGAATACACGTCGACGTCAAGTGAAGCCTGTTCTTGAAACCCACCAGCCCCATCCCAGCTCCTGGTCCTCCATTACCATCATCATCATGGCATCAAACCGGGCTTCATGGCCTTCTCAGTTGAACATCAATAATCCTGGTCAAGGTGAGAAGTCTTCTGTGGAGTCTCAACTCAACTGTTCGCTGTTGTTCTACGTTGTGGCCCCGAATTCAACCAACCGAATGCAGTACCAGAGCCAATTGGGTTGGTCCGTGTTGTCGTGGTTGATGGGGTTCCTTTTGATTCTCCGCCTGAATCTGCTTGAGCTGCAGCCTTTCCAGTGTCGTTCCCCGTTGCCTGAGCAGCTTCGGCGCCATTCACGCTGGTTGCCGAGCCCGAGGTAGTTCTCGTCGCATTGGCCATTGTCTTGGTGGGTCGCAAAATTTTCATGGGTCGCTGCGTGTGAGGTCGGGCATAACTGGACGAGGTCTTGGAGCTCGCATCGTTCGCGGTGCTAGACGATCCAGAACGCCACGAGTTGGACCACACCCCCGGACCAGATTTCGACATGGGTGCGGTGAATGACTTCTCGCTCCCGGTAGTGGACTTGCTATCGTCGGCAGGCCTTGGTTGAGTCATATCTAGGCTGCGTCGTGTCAATTGATCCAGGGGCGGATCTGCTCTGCGCACATCTCCCGGTTCAGACGGATTGGCCGATGGCAAGCTACTGGACTGAGCTGCTGTGGGTGAGACTGTATTCTGCGCCGTGTTGAGTCTTTCTGGTTGACCAATGACACCAACTGGTGACGCTGGAGGTGGCAGAGCTTCCCCTATTGACGACGATCGATGTCGAGAGACTGTGCACAGATCCTTGAAACAGGCATCGTCTTCCGGTCTGCAGAAAGGAATCGAGACCTGATTTCGTTCCTCGTCAAAAATCATCACCTTATCCTGGGAGAACAAAATGTCGGCGTTATGTGATCTCAGAACATCACTACCTAGAATGATCTGGATCGTCGGATCGGTCACCGTCTGTTCGTCGACCACAAACTTGACCATTAGAGTAGGGATGGGTGGGACAGGACTGGCTGATCTGACGGCGGCAGGGCTGTGGATCTTGGCTTCGGTCAGATACACGGGAAGTCGGATAGAGCGAGAGCCTCCGTCTCCAAAGATAGACTCTGTCAGTTCAAGTTTGCATAACAATGAATAGCTGACGGATGAAATCGTCGAACCAGTGCACATGGCGGCGTAGAGCAATGAGCTGTTGGAAAAGGATTGTGTCAGCCAGCAACGGATGATGGCCGGGCATGGTCCCAAGATAAAGAAGCCTGGTGGAGGATTGCCTGAAACTCGGGGCGAGTTGTGAATTGAACCAAGCAAGCGACTCTGTTCAAGACCAAAGCTGTTTGTCCGACCGAAGCCAGTAGGTGCAGGCCTCCCATCCGACCGATGTGATAGAGATCTTTCCGAGAGTGCATGGCCACCAAGTCCACTGCCTGTACGTGCGGGTAATTCCATCGACTGTCTCGAGGAGCCATAGTGGTTGTTGGCACTCTCGTCAAACCGTACCGAGTTGGCTCTGGACGCAGCCACTCTGCGGGAGTCGTCGGTCGGGTCCAAGGTCAAGGAGCTGATCATAGGATCGGCATCAAAATTTCGAAAGGCTTCAGCAGCGGGGTTGAGGGTTGACTCTAAGGACGAGCATTAGTACAGAAGGTTTCCTAGCAGGGGTCGGCTTACCATGCTGTGAACCAAGAGGAAAGGGAGAGCTCGCCCCCCACAGACTTCGAGGTCTGCTGCCATCGGGAATCTTCTGCTCCAAACGCATGATGCGATCAGAGTGGGCGGCTTGGGTTGCGGAGAGATCGTTCAACGTCTCTTGAATGCGCCACAATTCGTCTCTCGTGGCTAACTCGCGGGTGTCCATAGCAAACAAGCTCAATCAAACCCCCAGAGGCATAAGCTTAGTAGGAAGCCGAACAGTAGGGACCCGTACTATGCATAGGCAAACACTTGACACGATCCTGGGCGGGGACGCAGGTCTCGTAGAGCGCGGAGAAAAGACGGTAGCCACACCACCAAGCTACAATGCTCTCCTGGCTTGCGCCAGCCTGGCCAGACCCTTCCACCAGCCGGTATGTATTGGCGCAGTCTCTTTACTGTCTCATCTGTTGGTTGCTTTGGGGGAGACCCAACATTGGCCCGACGTGGCTGGACCGCAGAAAGAAAAGGACAAAGAATGCGCCGGAGTTTGCACAAGGAGGAGATCAGGCTGGCCGATGAGTGTTCGTGAAGCAGGATGCCCAGGATCTGTAGACGAGTTCACCGAGCTGAGACGGAACACAACGAGGAGTGGGGTGGGCAGCGCAAAGGCGGACCGAGAAAGAGATGAATGTTGGACTAGGAATGGATGTAGGATGCGGAAAGAGTTTTGCAGAGGATCCGACGGCGTTGGAGCCTTGTGCACGCAGCTTTGCAGCGTGTCTCAAACAGGTCAGTAGTGAAAGATAGAGACTTGGTTCGTAAGAGAGTGATAATTCAAAGACCGTGTCTTGGTTTTGAGAGAGACAAACACCCGTGTTGTAATTCTGGGGGCAACGACGACTGTGAATGTCTGCATCTGCATTCCACACGTCGTATGACGCACCGTAAGATCGCCAAGCGGATTGGCTGTTGCACTGTATATCCGCTTGCGCCACCGTATAGTTGCTTCCCACGTGATGGGCACGTGCTGCACGTGGGGAGATAGTGGAGCAAGAAAAAGGGGCGGGTTGATGGAGGTAGTTGGACATTCATATAAATGCCGGAGGTGAACACATGGTCAATGCTAGTATCAAGCCCCATCAATGAATCAACGAGTTTCCGTCAAAATCATCAAGGTCATCCTGTAGCGGCATCACTACCTTTTCAAAGATGGCACTTTGCAGCGCTTGGTTGTCAAGTTGATCTCCGTCAGGGCCAGACCAGAGAAGACACATTTTCACGACCTCACAATAGCGATCTCCACTTCTATCCTGCACAAACTTCAAGACCCGAAGCGCAGTTTTGAGGTTAGCTACGGCCGCGATGGAATCGTGGTCTTCGGCCTCGTACAGAGCTTCAAGAGGCTGTCCAAGGGAAAGCTCAACCAGGGCCAGACCAAGTGGGAAAAGAACATTACTTCTGATAAGCGCCGAACTGGTGCTTTTACCCGGCGTCTTGGTCTCAGCTCTCAATGCGGCCTGAACGAGAGCCCGCGAAAGATAAGGAAGACTGATGATGTTGCTCGAATAATAGTCTGTTTGTGACTGTAGCAGAATATCTTCAAGCCCCCATTGCGGTTTCAGCCAACTGCCGTGGAGCTGGAAAACGCCCGAGGCTAGAATGGCTGCGAGATACCGTCTATTGCGTTGACTGATGGGCGACAGTGGAATGCCACCCAGCTGCGGAGACAAAGAACGGTCCGCGAGAATGCTTTTGATGGACCGAGTGGATTGATCCGTTGGGAGTTTCCTAACGATATAAATATCGTGTCGCCGCCTATTGGGCTCATCGATGAGGAACCCAATATGTTCACGCCTCGCCTCTTGTGAACGGAGTTGGAGGGCGTTGCAGACATCACGAAGCTGTTGACTGGGATCACCCGCTTTTGGCCACGGGATGGTTTCCAGGGTTGACTTGACAATACTGAAATGGACGCCTTTGGAATCATGGCTCTTTGAAGTTCCCGAAATTTGCGTCTGCACGGATATTTGGGGTGCCCCCCAGTCAGCATCGTCTTGCAGGTCGGCTGCTTCAATCTCGACTTCTTCGCCTGCTGTCAAGACTTCGACCTCGCTACCTTCAGGGTACGAGAATCGATGAACGACAAACTTGGATCTCGTCTGCGCGCCCTTTGATTCTCCAGCGTTGCGTTTGTGTGGCGGGTTCTCAAGACGCAGCTTTAGAATGTGTCTTGCTCTACAGGGACAATTCCAGCAATTGCCACAAACAAACGTGTCGTATACGCTGCGAGCATGCCGTCTGATCCTAGCATAGTCTTGCAGTAACCCTCGGCTCTGCCAACGGGTTTTTCGAGTCTCGGCCAGTTTATAAACTTGTTCGGTGATGGTGGAGAGAGTCTGGTTTGCGGTTCTAACCTTGCTGAGAAGAGTTTCATACACTCCCTTGGAGAAGACGTCATTGAACCTTTTAAAATTGCTCATCGTGCTCGCAGGGGTTGACCTGGTAGTCAGCTTCTCCTTTAGACTGTTGAGGAGGTAGGCGAGCTCGGTCATTGTCGCCATATACGCCCCGTAGCTATTCTTCATCATTCTCTGAAGCTCTGCGTTGTACTCGCTGCGTCTCCAAAGCGCACTGTCCGGATCTTGCAGCAAGGTCGCTATGTCTTCCTCGTCGTGCACTATCTGAACAAGTACTCTTTCCAAGGTATTCTGAAAAATGGTGCTCTCTGTGCTGAGACCATCTTGATATCGTCTAACTTCTCTTCGATATCGGCGGGTTGATATTATGGACATGATGGTGTCGACGCCTTCTCGATACTCGCCGATGAGGCTAGCAACAATGGGCAATGCCCCAAGTACAAGACCAGCAATCTCGAGGCCTGACATTGTCGTACATGAGAAAGAAGAGCCAAAAAGAGGTCTTCTGGAAGGAGGATAACATGACCACCATGAGGCACAGACATCAAGAGGTAAGTAAGTCACCTGCGTTTGGGGGCCAGAAGAAACACCCCGCTACACCGCCACCAGCCGCGGGCCGAAACCCCCACTACCACAACCTTCTAACCAGTCACGCCAGTAATCGTCTCTTACAGGTGAGGCAGAATGAGCGTTCTAACCGTTGATCAGGTCTTACTAAAACCTCAGGCGACCATTAGAGATGCGCCAGGTTCTCGCCCCCGGTTTCAGCCTCCTGAGCCTCCTTTGCCCCTCCCACCCGAAGCCTCCTCTCATCCTAGATACACTCTGTGTCCTATACATTGTCCTCGAGCCAGTCACCAATATTTCTCCAATCAGGGACTCGATGGCACTTGAGTTGTTGCAGTTGAAGTGGTACAAGGCATATTGAGCCTGATGCTCCTTGGGTCAAACTAAATCAACAAGACAGACTCGAGACACGATGGACGCGAATTCTATATCGGCAGAGTTGCTGGAATGCCTAAAGATATTCAACGCCCTTTTGGCAAGGGACGAACTTTTCGGCCCGTCTGGCATACCAAAACATATCTGGAACGACGAGCTTGGGAGACTTAGGATATGGGCTGCAAACATTGGTGCTCATAAGAAAGATCAGTCCTCTCTAGATTACCGACTCAGAAACGCCTCGCATGTCAAATCACAGATAATCAACTTGCTGCAGAGCCTGAAGATGACGCTGCAAGACCTGGAGGAAGTTCTAGTGGAGGTCAATGAGAAACACTCCGCCACAGAAGAAGGCACTGAAGACGATGAAGGAAAGGCAGAGGTTGCAGAGATATTCAACGACCTGGTACAAGTCATCACAAACCTCTACCGATTGTCCATTCTTGTACGACAGCCATCACAGCGAGACCAGTTTCTCCGATACCGAAAAGCCGACGCGGTCGGATACGAACAATTTGACCGGAATCATGTCCAGGAAAAGTTTCGTGGTGCCGACCCCAGAGTGATAGACAGACTCGGGACAGCCATTTCGAACAGACGCCGACATCTCAAGGCACTGGAGCGGCACAGGGCCAAACTGGGAAAAGGTATCAGCCACGCTCATGTGGAAGATCATGACGGAGTGTCCACCGTTATGTCGGGGACATTGGCCACTGAATACGAGGAGACAGGTGCAGTTGCGAGGCTCGAGGCTACTTCTGTAAGTGGTGAGTCCACGACATCATATGCTGCATCGTTTCTGTCGGGAAAGAGGAATATACAGGTCCCTCCGCCACCTGTCGGGTATGGTAGCGACGAGCCGTTTGAATGTCCATATTGCTTCTTCATCACGACGATAACGAGCAGAAAGTCTTGGGCACGCCACATCTTCCGGGACCTGATGCCATATGTCTGCATTTTCCCTGATTGCACAACACCGAATCAAATGTATAATAGCCAGCGGAGCTGGTCCTTGCATTTACAGACACATGGTCATGATCCAGCCAACCCCTCATCTTTAGCGGTGGGTTTCTGCCAGTTGTGCCGCAAAAGCGACATTCCTTCCAAAGCATACGAACGCCATGTCGCCGAGCACCTGGAGGAACTGGCTCTGTTCGCACTGCCACGTAACATGCAGGTTGAGGATGAAGATGCTGACGACGATGATGACGATCAGCAGGCGCGTCCAAGCATGGCAAATAGCAGATCCTCTAGTCAAGTCGGTGAAGAAGATTTGCTACGGAGAGATTCGGGGGATTCTACCGAAGATTTTTGGTCGAGGGCCGTGCACATAGAAGGAGACGAAACGGTAACTGAGCACAACGATGAAGGTCGACAAGAGCGCATACGGGAGGCAATTGAATTGGGGTCATCCACCCTCCTGAAACGTCTGCGCGCTGGGGCGACAGTTGATACAACGATCTCAAATGCAGGGGGAGCAGCTGAAACGGGAGCTAAGTACGGTGAGGAGATCATTGGTCTGCGGATTCAGAGTGAAGAGGAGGCAGTGAAGCAGGGTTTGAAGCCACTCGGCCTCCTGGAACGTCTAAAACGAGGAGCAAAGGCGGGCCTAGATGGTACAACGCAGGTTGAAGATCAACAGATCCCAGGAGGACCGACCACGAGCGAACGACCGGATATACGGGAAGTGATTCCCCCTCCCAAGAAGCCGAGAGCTGCCATCCACCTGATCACCGAGGATGGGCAAGAACACGAATTCGAGTGGGAGCGATGTTATACCTTTGGTGTAAGTCACTTTCTACTGGCCAATCTTGTGAAATGCTGACTTGTGCAAGGGTATGGAGGCTTCGATCATCCGAAGGTTTGGGGCCCAAGACGCATTATCACGCAACATGGTGAAAGGTCGATGCCTGTTCATCACGTCTGATAATCGCGTTATATCGCCCAAGGCGTGGACGGCGACGGTCAAGCCAGATATGACAATTAGGATTGTAGTGTCGCCGGGACCCTCAAGGGCAAGCGACGCACGTCCGAGTGCAGCGGCATGGAGCGACCTCACCAGCGACGAATGAAATTTCGGCGGTGCCAGCTTTCGGAGAGACGGCAAATCAGGTCGTCGAGGAGGATAGCGAGCGGTCCAATTGACAGCCAACCGGATCAAGAGTAGTACAGGGGCGAGTTCCGCAGCGACCGAGGTACGGAGATGAGTTGCTCTAGACCAGCTTCCCCAAAGGCGAGAACTTTAAGGACAGCCAATGTGGAGGATCTGTTCCTACCAGTAAGTCCAAGACTGCCTTATCTCAGTCCACTTTGTCCTTTTGGTTCTTTGCCGCCGGTCGTAACCGTGGGGAACCGGATGTGCATGGTCCTGTTCAAGTAATAAGTCCATCAATCTCACCGGGTATTAGGTAGTATTTCTTTTCCTTACGGCTTCTCAATCGGTGGTTTGCACGGACCCAGTCAAGCCAGTACGACTCCTCAATCAGCTAACGTTACACTTGGTGACTTGCTCTCTAATTAACCAGCCGAGCCAAGACCCCGGAATGGGCCGATCTGCGCCTTGGCAGCGGAAGATCTGGAGTCGAAGGAAGCAATAGAAGCCATCGAAGCCATAGAAGCTGCTTTTTCATCTAGCCACTCACTACCCCCCAGCAACCCAGCCAAGTGGCAAACCCATTGGTGCTGTTGTCGCTGATGTCGCCTCTCCTTTTTCTTTTGACGCCATCGGCCTGTCCGCACTACCACCACCACCACCACCTTCCCCTGTCAACGCCTCTCTCATCGAGATGGATGTGCAAAGAAGGTCTGGGCCAAGCTATTTCAGCATCATGCCCGCTCGGCATGACACCATGTTCCGTCCGGCAAACAAGCGATCTTGTGGTGGTACTCGGTAGGTCTTACAGCCATTATCAGGATCATCCTATGATAAGGTAGAACGACAGGAAAAAGAACTGTTCAAGGGCCTTCAAGCTCAGGCATGGGCACCTTGGTCCGCAAGCTTGTCTCTTGCACCAATCGTTGTCAACTTGTCAAATAAGCCCGCGTGACAATGGCAATCCTCCCACTGATCCTTCCAGCTTGAATCCGCTGCGCCCAAGAAAATTGATCCATGTCGCCAAGGCCTTGGGATGCATCACTATTGTGCCACGCTGGGCCTCATTGATAACAACCAACGACACCTTCCTCATTTGGCCGCTGGCTCCGGACCTATGCTCTACTGATGTGCAAGTGAGTGCTTTAGATGGCGAAATGGGATCGAGATATATATCGGTGCAGTGACGACCCTATGCTTCACTGCAACCCCTGCGCAGAGAATACTCTTGCTCCCATCAATATCAATAACTACTTGCCAGTATGAGCGCAATCGCATCCAACGAGGCCCCCATCATTGCCCAGGCTCAGGTAGATGGGGCTGCCCTGGCCGGCACCGCGACGGAGAAGCGCCTGGGTCATGGTTCCATTGATGTGACCTCTTTTCAGGACACTAACTCTTCAGATGACGACGAGGTGACAGAGGCCGACCTTCACACTCTTCGTCGAGTCTCAGGGAAGATCCCTTGGCCTGCGTTCACCGTTGCCTTTGTCGAGTTGTGCGAGCGATTCTCCTACTATGGCACGACTGTCGTCTGTAAGTCGCCGTCACTGGCTCCTCGACCATGAGACCCGTCTCTGACTCGAATTCAGTTGTCAATTTTATTCAGCAACCTCTCCCTGAAGGGTCAACGACCGGTGCCGGTCATTCTGGCCAGTCTGGTGCGCTGGGAATGGGCCAGCGAGCCTCGACGGGCCTCGTGACCTTTAACCAATTTTGGGCATATGTGATGCCATTGCTGGGCGCGTGAGTACCCTTTGGGGTGAAACACCATTGATTGCTACACAATTACATTATTGTCTTGCAGTGCTGACAAAAGACGTGCAGATACATCGCCGATGCTCACTGGGGTCGCTACAAAACCATCCATGGCGCCATTGTCTGTGCAATTATAGGCCATGTCATCCTGACAGCCTCGGCAGCTCCCAGCGTCATTTCCCACGGCAGCTCTGCGCTCGCCGCTTTCACCATTGGTCTCATCATTCTGGGTGTTGGGACTGGTGGCTTCAAGTCCAACATCGCTCCACTGTTGGCCGAACAACAAACCGAGACCAAGAAGAGGATCAAAGTGCTCGCTTCGGGAGAACGTGTCATTGTCGATCCAACCGTGACGACGTCTCGAATCTTCCTATACTTCTATCTCTGCATCAACATTGGTTCACTGGTCGGACAAATCGTAAGTCCTCCTTGCTCGCGCTGCCGTTCGTCCAGAAATGTTCAGTTTTGTTTCCAGCTAGGTCTATCCGATGCTAACGACCACTCTAGGGCATGGTTTACTGCGAGAAATATGTCGGTTTCTGGCTCGCCTACATGCTCCCCACATGTTTGTTCTTATTTGCTCCCGTCGTGCTCATGGTCTGCCGCAAGCGATACGTCTTGACTCCTCCCACCGGCTCGGTGGTGGCCAAGTTCTGGCACCTGTGGATCTATGCATCCAAGGGTCGATGGAGCATCAACCCCGTCACCGCGTACAAGAACCTGTCGGCTCCGGATTTCTGGGAGCGCGTAAAGCCTTCCAACATCCCCGCCGCTGAACGACCCGCATGGATGACGTTCGACGACGCCTGGGTTGAAGAAATCCGCCGTGGACTCAAGGCGTGCGCCGTCTTTTTATACCTGCCTCTTTACTGGCTTGCGTATGGCCAGATGACAGGCAACCTTACCTCTCAAGCTGCGTAAGTGCCACCCCTTCAAGTGCGGAAATTGACCTTGGGCTTACACACATTCTAGTGTCATGGAACTAAATGGCGTCCCCAACGAGTAAGTCTCTCCTTAAGGATCTGCAGAGGCCTCTACTATTTATGTATTCCGTTCACTCGGGCTAACCATTTACCAGCATCATCCAAAACCTCAACCCCATCTCCATCATCATCTTCATCCCCTTGATGGATTTCATCGTCTACCCGGCCCTCCGCAAAGCACGCATCAACTTCACCCCGATCAAGCGTATCGCGTTCGGCTTCGCGCTCGCCAGTCTTGCCATGGTTTCGGCCTGCGTCATTCAAGTGTACATCTACCGCAAGTCGCCGTGTGGCCACCACGCCTCCGACCCAGACTGCTCCGGCCCGGCGCCCATCAACGTGTGGGTGCAGACGGTGCCGTACGTGCTGATCGGCTTCTCCGAGATCATGGCCAGCATTACATCGCTCGAGTACGCCTTCACCAAGGCGCCGTACAACATGCGCAGCTTCGTCATGGCCATCAACCTCCTGATGAACGCCTTCTCCAGTGCCATCGCCCAGGGCCTCGTCGCCTTGTCTGCCGACCCGCTCCTCGTGTGGAACTACGGCGTCGTCGCCGTCCTGGCCGGCATCGGCGGCATCCTGTTCTGGCTCAACTTCAAGAAACTCGACAGCGAAGAAGACAAGCTCAACATGTTGCAGGCCAGCTCGTACGTCGGCAAGAGGAAGAGCATCGCCAGCGTGAGTGGGCCGTCCACGCAGGAGACGTTGGAAGAGAAGGACCACGCTTGAGTGAGAAAGAGAGAGAGATATATATACCCAAGGAGTAGCTCGTTTGTGAGGGCACTGATGTGTGGCGTGTGGCATGTGAAGTGTGGCGCGTTGGTTACGTCTCAGAGCAGAACAGATACCAGATTCCAGAAACCAGATACTCAGATACCCAGATACCCAGCCCCAAAAAATAACAAAAAGATATATAACCAGGACATTGGAAGGGATATGTCGACGACGATGACTACGACGACGGAACGATGTTGCTCATGTTGTTGATGAGAGAATATAACTTATATTTATTCATCTAATTTTCGTTTCATTTCATTTGATCTGATTGCATTTGTATCGTGCGTATTGCAACCTCACTCGCGCTTGATTGGGGTCTCTCTTCTCGACCTTTTTTTCCCAGTTCCCGGTATATACTCTCAATATACCCTGTATGTACCGTAACATATACGTCGTTGTCTATGTGTTATGTATGTGCACTGTATGCACGGTGTCCGGCCGGTTGGGTTTCAGAGCACCCTGCTAAGGCATGGGATAGATGGCGGCAATTCAGTGATTACTTGGCCTACAAGACAATGGCATACAAGGAGATGGAGAGAGAGAGAGAGAGAGAGTGAGGAAGAAAAGGGCAAGGTAGCACTCAAACCCGTCACGCTCGTTGTTTCTAGCCCAAGACATGCATAAATTCATTACACCCAACCCCGATGCCCATGCCCATAAAACAGCTTGCCAGATTGCCAGCACAGCCCAGCCCAGCCCAGCCCATCCCAGCGTGGCCCAGCACAGCACAGCATGCCCACCCATCCAGCCTGGCGCCTTATCTCACTCCATACCCGCGCCGCTGGCTCCCAATGCACAACTCGGTAACAAATATCATAGTCCGCTGGTAAACAGGCACTTTTGACCAGTAAACTGACGTGGACGGTCCCCTCCTTGATCTCATTCGGCATTCCACATTCTACATTCCTCAGATGCATCGTCCACTCTTCAAAGTCATGGTATCAATGATATCCATTTGTTCTGGTCACGCCAGGCCCGCGCTGGGAGTAGGCAGCCGAGCCGGCCGCAAAGTATGGGTGATTACATGCCGCCTTAGCCGAAATACGATGTGCAGGGTCGTACTCGAGCATCGCATCTAGCAATTCAAGACCGGCAGGCTCCAGGTTAGGGACGAATTTAGAGGTTGGTTCCCGGCGCCACTTGGGAAAGGAAGTTTTGAAGTCGGGAAAAGATGTGACACCTGGCCAAGTGGTTTCGTCCGGAGTGCCGAGCAGTCTGTTTTGTGTTAGTAGAAGTACGATGTCGAGGAGCGTTGTAGGGAGGGAAGCTCACTTGAAGATCTTGAAGATCTCATCGATTTCAGAGTCGCCGGGGAATAGAGGCTTGCGGGTACACATTTCAGCGAAGATAGCGCCGACGGACCACATGTCTACACCGGTCGAGTATTGTCGTCCACCGAGAAGAATCTCTGGGGCGCGATACCATAGTGTCACAACCTGGGAAATTCAGTCAGCAGCCGCATTAGACAGGTGGCATAAATTAACCGACTTCATGAGTGTATGTTCTCAGGGGCACACCAAAGGCTCTTGCAAGACCGAAATCAGCCAGCTTGAGATTGCCCTCGCGGTCGATCAAAAGGTTTTGAGGTTTAAGGTCTCGGTGCAAGACACGATGGCTGTGACAGTATCGGACGCCTTCAACGAGTTGTGCCATGAATTTCTTGACCATATCCTTGCCCAACCCGAGTCTCTGCATGTCCAAGTTGGAGCCTTCTGGCAAGGCCTTGCCTCGTCCACCCTCTGATACTGGTAATGCCTCCATGTACTTTTTCAAATCCAGGTCAAGGAACTCGCAGACTAGGTAGAGCTTGTGGCCGTCGGCGTGAACGATATTCAGTAAACGCACAATGTTGGGGTCGTTCATTTCTTTCAACAGAGAAATTTCGCGGATTGCAGTGCTGGGGACACCTTCGTCTTCAGCCTCCAGACGGATCTTCTTGAGGGCAACGATTCGGCCGCCATTGGAGAGGTCTCGAGCCTTGTATACAACGCCATATGTGCCTGGTAGCCAAACTGTCAGCCGGGTGCAACAATTGGTGCCTCTGGTAGAATCTGCTCTCACCTTCGCCGACCTTTTCAATCTTCTGATAGTTCTCCATCTTGTCTTGATCTTGTCTCAGCCGCCGCTATTGCTTCATCTACCTGCTGCCAGGAGAGCAGAAGCTCGGCAATCGGAAGGTGGCAATAAAATGGCGTTAAGGGGTCGCCCTCAGACTGCGAGATGACTGTCTGGCGGTAAGACGACAGCAATTCAGCGGGGATGAGAAGAACCTAGAGGTTAGTATGCCAATACGGAGGCAGCTGATAGTATGCACGATCCTCGACCTGAAGCTACAATGGAATTTTCTCACAGATTGATCTAAGGTAGTGCTGCATGGCAGTACGATGCGCAATGTTTGTTTAGGCCCAGAGACGCGTCTGATTGGCTGGGGGGAAATCGTGCCTGCCAAGAAACTTCCGCGCCCGCAGTTCAGTTCGGTTCAATTGCGGGCATGTCTGAAAATTGCCCGCTCACGCCCGCCCCCCGCCTATTGACTCATTGTCACAGTCACCACTCTGCAAAGGCCGCCGACTCTGAACTCGAGACACATTTTCGACGGTTCTTAGGTACCACCGCTACCGCACATCTACTCTTGAGGGCAGTGTTCCACGGGCACTGGAGTATCCTCCTGCACTCGTCCCTCTCCAGCGTACTGTCGTCCTAATCTCACCCTGCCCATCATGGCGAGCAAAGAGTTGTCGCCGGAAGAAAAACTCGCCTTGATCAAAGACCAATTGCAGGAGGTTCTACATGAAGACATCCTCGAAAATGTCATTCTGAAAGAGCAGAGACCGTTGATAATCTACTGGGGTACGGCCACGACTGGAAGACCACACTGCGGCTACTTTGTGCCAATGATGAAGATCGCACATTTCCTTCGAGCAGGCTGCCGGGTCAAGATTCTCCTTGCGGACATTCACGGGTTTCTCGACAACTTGAAAGCGCCAATTGAACTGGTCAAATTCCGGGCGGAATACTACAAATACATTATTCAATCCCTCCTCAAGGCCGTGGGTGTGAGCTTGGAGAAACTGGAGTTTGTTCTCGGGTCATCCTACCAATTAAGTGCAGATTATACCATGGATGTCTTTCGACTGAGTTCCGTGGTCACCGAACACGATGCCAAGAAGGCCGGCGCTGAGGTGGTTAAACAGGTTGAGAACGCCACGTTATCTGGACTGATCTATCCCTTGATGCAAGCACTGGATGAGCAGCATTTGGGTGTTGATGCACAATTTGGCGGAGTTGATCAACGGAAAATCTTTGCTCTGGCCCAAGAGGCTCTTCCCAAGATTGGGTACAAAGAACGTGCACACTTGATGAACCCCATGGTACCCGGTTTGGCTGGAGGCAAGATGTCCGCATCAGACCCTGACTCGAAAATTGACATTCTCGACACAGCAGAGGTTGTCAAAAAGAAGCTTCGCAAAGCCTATGCAGCTGCAGGAGAAGTTGAAGGAAACGGCATAATATCCTTCGTCGAGTATGTGTTGCTGCCCATTAGCTCTCTGCGGGATCCAGAGGGCAAAGGCACGTTCGTGTGCGAGAGGAGGGAAGGGGAAGGAGAGCCGTTAGTTTACCATAATATTGAGGCCTTGAAGGACGACTATCGAGCCGACAGGCTCACTCCACAGCTACTCAAGGCTGGCGCTACTGCGGCTCTTGTAGAGTTGCTCGCTCCCATCCAAGCCGAATTCCAGGCGTCCCCAGAATGGCAAGAAATTGAAAAGAAAGCCTATCCCCCTCCTGAGCCTGTGAAAAAGAAGAAGCAACCCAAGGACAAAGGCACGAGATACCCTGGTGCCGCAAATATCAGCGCCAAACCAGATGGTTCAATTGAAGGCAAGGGGAAGGAAGAGGTGGAGGTGGGAAAGACTGCAGAGCAAGCCATATCGAACCTGGATATCAACGGCCAACCTTCATGAGCAATGGAACAGAGGTCATCCGTTCACAGAAACTCTTTCGACGTCCTGTCGCCGTCCTCAGTCGTGTTTGATCTCCCGGACATCATTCAATGGGTACGCAGTCATGGAAGACGGGCAAGACGGGGAAGACGAGGTTCTGAGAGACACAGAGAGAGAAAGAGAGAGCGATGGGGCCGACTGATGGACGTCCTGGCGCCAATGGGGCAGGTTACGTCGCTGCAGGAGATGTTTCACTGAGACAAGCGAACGATCAGTTTCTGCAGACTTAGGTATGTAGAAGCGCCGGCTGCGGGCTTGGTGGACTCTGGATCGCATGAACAACCGAAACGAGTAGAGATCTCGAATGTCGATAGAATGCCAGCTGTGCTGTGGCCGGAGTAATTGTGGATTGTGCTGAGGAGACGTTGTCTGCGAATACTTGTACCTGGTCCCGCTGTGGTTCCTGCGGTCCTGCCTGCGGTCCTTGCCTGCGCTCGGCAAAATTCTCGGCGCTACTTTTCATCATCGCACCCCAGCATTTTCCTTCTGCCAAACTCATCCCCTTTGTTCTTCCTCCAACACGATAGACGTCCTTCTCGGTGTCTTTGTTGTTGCGACCCAAATCCACCGAATCTCTCCTCTTCGCCTAGGTCGCTGAAACTGCAAGCGCCCTTGCCTGGTAGGGCATTTCTTATGCGCCGAGATTACGGGCAATCCTGCTGCTAGCCTTGTTGCATCGCACGGCCGCAACAACTTTCCTGGCAGAGTAAGGGGGCACACTAACCGCCAAAATGGACTCCCCACCAGGCCAAGGAGGTTCCTCTTTGGTGTCCAAATGCAGGGTTTGTAACCTGGCTTGCGCATTTCCGCCTGACCGTGCAGGCCATTACCAACATGAGAGCGATTTAGGGCACAGAGTATCCATTTTCTAGGAAGACATCTTGGTGGCGCATGATGACGGCAGCTTGCATTGAACGAGACCACCCTGAAGTTTTCATGAGCGGGTCTACCTCGACAGCCTCAACGCCGAAGCCACGGATGCTGAAGTGCCTTCTGTCTTTGAGCGAAGGCTGACAGACTTATGCATTAAATCTTCTCTAAGCTTAAATGCAACTGGTCTGAACCATCAGCGGCACAAGGACGAGTCCAAGACGCTGACGCCTTAGGAAACCCGTTTTCCCTCCTCTGATGTTAGAGCCTTGAGCGAAAGGGGAGGATGTTGTCATGGCCTCCCTCAAATGCCACCGGCTCCCCCTCCTCAATACGAGGGCCAAGCCACCCACGCAACTCTTGTCCCTAGCCCAACCTGATTCAGTCCTCTACTGTGCCAGGCTCGAACTACACTGACAGAGTGACGAGGAGATCGTCACTTGATAGACGTAGTGTAAGCGAGAGGCAACATGGAATGTTCGGCAATCATGTACCTACAACATCCTTGACACAAACCACTGGTACCATCAGACTAAGTGGTGACGTTTTTCATTTCACCCAGTACAATGCCAAATCTCGATGCAACAAGAGACTTTCTCGGGCCTACTGCAGCTAGTCGAGGCTGAAGGTTCGTTCATGTCTCTAGGTGACCAGGGTTGACACAAGAGCCCTACTTTCTACCAGGATTACCAATTCGCGGTGGTGTCTCAGCCTCGGAAGGGAATACAGACTCATCGCTGCCGAGTCATTTGGTTTACAGAGTGTGCATGTCACAATTATCCCATGCGGAAGTCGGCACGTCTAAAGGAGTTCTCAATCGCAGATCCTCCAACGAACGTCAGGCGACTCTAAGTCGAAAGAAGAGTACGGTAAAGGTTTGTGGGTGGGCGGAAGCTCACCGAGGAATGTGGGAAAGAGGTGCGATCCCCCAGATCACCCAAAGCGCCCAGCATCTGCCCGCATCAAAATGCTTGGGAAAAAGACTCCCAGAGTCAGATTGGACCGGAAGCATGTTGGAAATCCAGACATCAAAATGCCCCAGCCATCAACATTGTGGAGACGATCTGGGGCTTGACATAAGTGGGCACTTTGGGCAAGAAGTGCGGGGTTTGGCTCAACACCAGCAACTGGGACACGTCCGGGAGAGTCTAAACTGGCCATTTTTGGTAAGCAACTCGGGCCCACTGGAGGTGTGTGATCAGGGAGGGTCGCGGTAGCGCCCCCAGAGGGAGTTCAAGGTAGGTGGGTGGCACATGGAATTGCGAGGCTGCTTGCAATCTCTCCACTTTTTTGCCGGCCATTTCTGCGATCTCCAGCACCTGGTCCACCGCCCAATTCATGTCAGCCAACGACCGCTCGTCGCCTCGTTTTTCCTTTTGGTCTGCCTTTCTACCTGCGTTTAAGGGAAGGCTCTGGAGACCATCCAAGCCTCTTGGTACCATTTGCTCTTGGATCCATTGGTCTGTGAGCCGGCAACAGCTGACCCGTCTGACCTCGACAAGCTCGCTTAGCCTTGCTCAAGAAGCTCTTGGACAAGCCAATGGTGGATTCTCAACAACGTTGATTTGGGTAACTCGTACCTCGATCATGCGAGCACCCAACTGATTTGGGTTGCGCTGATTGGGAATTTCTCCGGATATCCCCTTCACTATTGGCAAGCATCGATACGACTGAGAGCTAATGGTTTACTGCTGTCCTAGCTGTCTAGAGAAATCAGTGCGTCATTGGGTTCACCAGAGGGAGGGAAGCTCGATCACCCAGGTACAGCAGTATATATCTACCTGAGTAAACCCTTTCTCCATGGACTCGTCTCCCTCGACCACAGGCCAGGTACTTCGGTGACCAAACTATTCGATTGTTTGAACGGCAACCACCGAGGTTGCGTGCTTCACAAGCCTATTCCCTTGACTGAACCTTACCACCTCTCACGATGAGCTTCGCGCATGACGAAGAGAGTGGCGGCGGCCGTGCTGGTCGCCATATGAGTGTCTCCCACTATGCCAGCAATATGGGGGCACCAACCTACGACACAACCAGACGAAGGTCTTCTATTGTGCCGGCTGCCGCTGTAGCGGCACAACAAGAAGAGGCAGTCTTCAACCAGAAGGATGAAACACTCCGCAAGATGTCAGTGGCGGTGCCCAACTTGGCTGAGCTCTCCGCCGATGCCAAAGCTGCCGCAGAATTGGAACACAAGATGGGCTTTCGTGAGGGCTGCCGGTTGTATCCTAAAGCCATCATGTTCTCCTTCTGTCTTTCTCTCGCCGTCATCATGGAGGGATACGATACATACCTCCTCGGCAACTTCTTCGGGTTGACCACGTTTTCTCGCAAGTATGGGTCGCCCGCCGGGATCGTCGATGGCGTCCAAACCTACCAGGTTTCGGCGACATGGCAATCGGCACTCACCAATGGCACTGCTGCCGCTCAAATCATCGGACTGTTTCTCAATGGCATCATCTCCGAGCGCATCGGATACCGCTGGACCATGATCGGCGCACTGGCCTTTATTACTGCCACCATCTTCATCACCTTCTTCGCCGTCGATGTGCAGATGCTACTCGCCGGCTACATCTTGTCCGGTCTCCCCTGGGGGGTGAGTTTGCATCCCCTGCTGAAACTTCTGGTGTCATTCTCGCCATGAGGCCACCATGCTTCGAGGCAAAAATTGCTGACCTAGTCCCTCAGGTTTTCCAAACTCTCACTACCACGTATGCCGCCGAGGTGACACCAGTTCCGTTGAGGCCGTACTTGACCACCTACGTTAACCTCTGCTGGGTCATTGGACAGCTTATTGCTGCTGGAGTGCTCAAGGGCTTCGTAAACCAGTCCGATCAATGGGCCTATCGAGTGCCCTATGCGATCCAGTGGATATGGCCGTTGCCCATCGCCACAGCTGCGTTCTTTGCACCCGAGAGCCCATGGTGGCTTGTCCGCCATGGCAAATTGGACCAAGCTCGGGCCGCCCTGCTCAAATTGACGTCGAAAAAGAACACCGAGTTCAACGTGGAAGATACATTGGCCATGATGATTCACACCAACGAGCTGGAGATCCAGCAGACTGCGGGTACCAATTATTGGGATTGCTTCAAAGGCGTTGACCTGCGACGAACTGAAGTGACGTGCATCACGTGGCTGATTCAACAGACGTCTGGATCTCCTATGATCGGATGGGGAACCTATTTCATGATCCAAGCCGGCCTGAGCGAAAGCAATGCATATTCTCTCGGCGTTGGTCAGAGTGCCATGGGGTTCCTGGGGACTGTCTTCTCCTGGTTCTTGATGCCGCACTTTGGTCGTCGCACTCTGTATCTCGCCGGACAACTGGCCATGTTTGTCATACTGATGATTATTGGTGGTCTTGGAGTTCCAACCCTGTCTACCTCGATCGGTTGGGCTTCGGGTGCCTTGATTCTCATCCTCACCTTCATCTACGATTTTACGGTTGGCCCAGTCTGCTATTCGCTGGTGGCTGAGCTTCCGTCCACTCGACTCCGGATCAAGACCGTCGTCCTATCCCGGAACGTGTACAATATCATGGGTATTGTGGTCGGGACGCTTCAGCCTCGCATGATGAACCCGACAGCCTGGGGCTGGCGTGGAAAGACTTGTTTCTTTTGGGGCGGTCTTAATCTGCTGGGCTTGATCTGGACCTATTTCCGTCTGCCAGAACCAAAGGTACGTTGCTGATCCTATTTGCCAGCCAGACTACTCACATTTGTTCCCAGGGTCTCACCTACGCCGAACTCGATGTCTTGTTTGAGAATAAAGTCTCTGCCCGCAAATTCAGGCAAGTCAAGGTGGATCCGTATCGCTCGGACAACTTGGTTATTGTCCCCGACGAGTTTGGCGACTATGATGTGGCCGAGAAGAAGGGATTCTAGAGTGATTTGGGGGTGGAGGTGTTGGTCAACATGTGATTGTTGGGCTTATACTTCCCATTCCCTATGATGGCATCTTGTTGGTGGGATGTAATGCTGGCTTCGTGTCTAGGCAACTGTACGTAGACACCAAGTTTAGCTGGTTGTAGGGGTATAAAGACGCAGAGTTTATCTAAATATACTTGCTGATTTTAGATTGTTTATTCTCTGTTATGTCAACCACCACAACTGGCACTTATCTGTCTGCATACTGACAAAGACTGAGTAGTGAGTGGGCTTCTCGCACGTGCTATTAGCCTCACCATGTCTTTTAAAAATGCACGGACAGTTTCCCGCTCGCCTGCCTGTTCGTGGGGGCCACAGACTCTGCCTGATGCGAGCCCCATCCAGCCACTCACTGATAAGTTCGTGTCATGCGCCCAGCAACAAGTGAGGCTAGCGAAGGTGTCAACTCGGGCAAATAATTTCCACCATTTCGTGTTGTCCATTGCCTGCCACTGCCTGCCCAAAAGACAAGGTGGACACCTTTTGGTCTCAGGGTCGTGGCTCTTTTAATGCACCGCGTTGCACAAAAAGTCCAGGGCCTTTTTGGCAGCGTCTCAGCCGCACGACCGTCACCACCACCACGTCCACTGATACCCATGACTAGTTCATGCAATGATCTAGAGCCGAGATCCCCCTCTGTACGACTGGGCTGGCCTTAAACACAAAGCTACAGCTGCGGTAGGACTAAACTCAGGTGCAAAATGTTGTCCTTTGGTATTCGCTGTTTCAGCACCGGAATCTCGACGCCCGTGTCCCCCCATCCTACGTGACCTCGCGCTACTTTTACTTATGCTAGCTCGCGTCCGGCTTAACGTCTACTTAGGCTCGGCTGGGCTAGCGTACCCTACTAACTATACCGGGGCGGTGGCCAAAAGGTCGTCCCTCCTCTATCTGGTCGCCGTAGCCTAGTACTCACCACTACCTATGATATCCTTAAAACTTGGTCGGGTTCTGTCATGATATTGCACCGATTCTACGGCGCCTGCCGAAGGTAGGAGTCGATTCTGCGTATTCGCATTGCCGACGAGTATTTCTCTCTGGACGAGAAGCGACAGATCAATGGAACTCGCATGATCCAATAATACTCGTTCTTTGTCGTTGCAGCATTGGAATGCCTGATGGTCCGGACCGCCGTCATGTGAACACCATCCGGACACCTCCAACCTAAGCGCCTTTGGTAAGCCCTGCTCAGCCTCATTCAAAGTCCTTGCAGCCGCTGCAATCCTCTTCTGATCTTTTTCTCTCTTGCTCTCTCCAACGACCATCGTTAATCCAGGACAATTGCAATGGATCGTGTGAGCCAGAATTTGGAAAAGAAAGGCGTGAGGAAGCAGCCAGCAACGCAATATGAAAGGCCGCTTCGGACATTTGGTCCAGAAGAGTCCGACACGGCCTTTGAAGACTGCACGATGGTGTTCTCTGTGGATATCTCGGGCAGCACGGAGGGCAAGATTTTGCGGCAAGAAAGAATCGTGGTAGAAAGCGTGGTGGCGCAAGTTTCGCAGGAATCAAGGAGGAGCAGTTGCGTGATCCCCTGGGATTCAGAAGCACACGAGATCATTACAGTCGATGAACTGGATAGACTGGATTCGGCTGGCGGAACAGATCCCAACGCGATGCTGCAAAGTCGACAACATTTGGATGTTCTTCGCAAGGCTGATCTGTGGTTTCTTCTCACCGACGGTGAAATAGATACGCAACACATTCAGCAATTTGCCGCCGGACTCGGGAAGAATGGACTACATAACAAAGCCTGCGTCCTGATTCTCTTCGGATATCATTTTCGTCCTCCTCTGTTGGCCAATATCTCCGTCGGGGTCTCCGTATTCGCCGCATTTCCGGATTGTATCTTTCTCTTTCACGATGTTATCGAGGGAGATGCCTTCGTTCTGCAATGCAAAGGCTGCTTGGCCGAAATCCTTGGCTCTTCGTTCAGTAACCCCATCATTGACCATACCACTACTTGGGGAGATCTGTACAAATTCGATTATGCGAAACTCAAAGCTCTCCAGGTTCCACCTCGCTTCGACATCAAGGCCAACGAGGTGCTTTTGCAGGACCGCCGTCAAGTCAATCTTGACCATGTCTTCAAAGGAGAATTGACGCCTGAAGAAACCGCGGCGATCTTTTCCAATCACGAAAACCTAAATTCCGTCCTGTTGACTGCATCAAGTAGGGGACAAGATCGGGATGTCACCAATTGGCTTCTGCAGCAACGTCAGGCGTCGCAAGATGTTGACATTCGCCACTTGAAGCGCAAAGACGTGAATGGTCTGGCCCAGGAAAGCATTCAAGAGATAGTGGGAGCCAGCATTCGCAACAGTTTCACTGGAAAAAACCGCAATCGATGCCAGAGCGTTCTTCGGAGTGCACATCGCGCGAATTGGCTAGCGCTTGCCGACGAATCCGAAAAACTCTCCCGCACCAACAAAGACCAAGACTTTTTAATTTTGGAAGCTCTCGAGAAGATGGAGCTCGTGAGCCGTGCAGGCTTGAACAGCCCCGCATGCTTGAGTCCATCAATTTCCAAATCTACCTACAGTCCTGAGATTGTAGACAAAGGTGCTCCGAGTATCCAGACGAAATGGGATCCATGTTTTACAGCCACCGATCTGACCACTTCCAAGGGGGCTCTTCCAGCGCAGCTACTTGTCAAAACCATCAGAGAAAATTACTCCTACATTCCGGGCTTCTCCGTGATACCGCATACCGGTCTCGCTGCAGTCAAATGCCCTTGCTGTAACGATCACACGCAAACATGGGCATTGCTCTTAAAAGCACCCCCGGAAGGTATACACACTCAAGGGTTTGTACCCGCCCACAGCAACTGCCAAGTCAAGTACGCATTAGCCATGGGTGGCTACCCAGAAACGGATATCGTGTCTGCGTTTATTTGCTGCGATCCATGTGCCTTTGCGCTGCTCGAGCATGGCACTTCACCTCTCAATGAGCAGCTCACCGGGGCCTTGCCATTGTCTGATTGGTTTGACGATCGCGAAAATGAGCAGACCTGGCTGCGAGCATGTGCAGTGTCGCTGGCCCACCGGTTTTACCAAGATGACATCTTTGCTGTCATGTACGCGGTGCTAAAGGAAGCTCTGTCAAGGATCGAAGCTGCATCACGAGACCAATCAGCTTTCTTCCAATCGCTACTCTCACCAGCCATGGAAGCCTTGGAGTCTAGAGCGACGGTGCTCCGAGCATCAGGAACCAGATCTTCCATTAAATCGGCAGCAATCGATATGATCAAGGATGGGGTGTGCTTTCAAGCACCGTTTACCTCGAGGAGACAACTGACGCCTGCAGTGGCGGAATTGCTTCAACACCCACTCGAGTCCTTTGTCATACTGATGAAACACATTTCGACCCGTCGATTAAGCTTAGTCTTCATACGTCTCCTGTGGCAGATCATGGAGGACGTATTATCTCTACACTCCGAGGCTCGCCAACAGGCGTATGACTATCTAGAATCCTTGGAGCCCCAGCCAACCGTTTCGGAAGTCGGAGTAACCTTCAAGGCTAGGTCATACCGATACACACTGGATATCTCTGAGCTCGTCCGTAGAGATGTCATGTCGCTGCGGACAATCGGCCTCTTCGCCGAGATACCGGACGCATGGGACACGTTCCGAAAGCACTGTACGCCAGCACTGCATTCATGTTTATGGAAATTTGCAAAACACTGCAAGGAAGATCGGACGGCATCGGTCACGGAGATTTTTGGCAAGTGGTTAGATTTTGGCGATTTCGTCGCTCTCTGTGAAGATCCCACCAACGAGACGATGGTGATCCGTTGGGCATATTCGGCTTCCGGGCTCAGCAAAAAACCGTTGATGCGCCTGGGTGAATTTCGCGAGGCCAATCCGCCTGATATGTTGACTCCACTGCCCGAGCTGGGTTGACCGCTCCATGGGAGAGAAGAAGAGCCTTAATGGTTACTCCCCCTATTTCTATCGTCACTATTGCCATGCATGAAGCGATCAGCTAGGTAATCCATTGAATCGAACAAACTAGTAGAATTACTAGCAAATGTCTGCGTTTTTTTGATTTCCGCTACGGTGTAACGTCTCCAAGAATGCTCCCATCTCATGGTCGTAGATTGAAAGAGCGATGCCTCTCCTTTTGACCCTGAGGGTAAGCGGCGTTCTTGCAGACTCAAGTGCAGTTCCATGTTGTTGGACTGTGCGATTCTTTGTTGAGCGGGGTCTTGCACAATGTCATTCATTTGTTGACTGTCATGACGCCGCTGAGTGATTCAATCCCCTCCTTCTCAAGTGATCACGGTGCTTCGAATAAAAGTAAATGCTGAACGCGAGGATAGTCGATGGGACCGTGCATACGACCCATATCCAGATCTTATCTGCATCTCTCACGTAGTAGTTGTTTGTGACAAAGGGCATGCTTAGAAACGCCTCGAAGGGTTTAGTAGAAATCGACTTGCTTCGCATTGAAACGGGAGACTTACTGCAAAGGAAGTTGCCGGCAGGAAAAACATGGTCGTTATGGCAATCTAGGTCTGGTTAGCTGCAATGCGAGAGCCAAAAGAGAGTCCAGGGTCGGCTGACCGTCTTCATTGCCACACTATCTTCTTTCATTTCCTCCGCCAGCTGACCTTGCCTGTCGGCGATGAGTCGGGAGATTTTGGAGTCTTCTTGAGTAGCTAAGAGGATGGCGTGTTGCTTTTCCCCATTGGAAACCATCATTTGGTCGTTCGTGATCTGGATCTTGTTAAATAGCTGTGGACCGGCTCGAACTGTTAGTCATAGTAGCATGGCAGAAGCGTGAGCCTCGACTTACCAGAGCGAGGATGTTCTGTAGTTTCACCTCGAGTTCCTGCAGGAAAACCCGAATCTGGGATAATTGCGATCCGATGAATGCGAAGGCAGCGGAAATCTCGTCGTTGGTTTCCGCTCCGCCACAGGTACGGCGGTGTCGCGCGTATGCATTGATCAAATCTTTGAGGATGCTGTCGATCGAACCCAGCTCTGTCCCACAGCGATGCAAATGGGCGGCCGCGGAGTGGAGCGCTCTGTTAAGTGTATTATAAGCCTTTTCCTTGCCGACTGTGACCGCATCGGCCTCGACCTGCAATTGCTTCTCGTGCTCAATCAGTTGCGTGTGGATACTACTCAATGCATTCGTGTACCACCGAAGAGTACTGGAGAGTATCACAATGTGCATGCAGAAGGGGTTTTCATCCTGGGCGTGGGATTTGGTGTACTGAAGTGATTCGATCAGCCGGCGTCGCGGCTCATCGACAGATTTGCTCCAACGACCGTCCATGAAATTGAACGTGACTGACTTGGACTGTGAGCCTCCAGCAGCATACTCGCAATAAACTGCAATGTGCGATCCTCTAATATCGACTTCCACATCAGGGAGGTGGAGATAGTGGAACGGATCCATCTGGTTGCTACCAGCCGTGCTCGAGGCATGGCCTTTTTGTTTGTCGTTGCAAGTCACTTGTATCCGCACTGGAAGGATATACCAAAGTTCGGTGTTCTCGCGTATTGGAGATGAAGCGACTCTAGAAAAGCCACGTCCTGCAGGCAGGTGAAGCTGCGCTAGAGCAGAAACGAACGATGGGGGCAAATCGTAATGGTCCAAAAGCAGGCGGAAACTGTCTCGGCTGATGCGGAGCTTATTCGAATCCGGCGGCAACGCAGCACTTTGTCGCTTCACCAGGAATTTCGTAACGAATCTATCGAGAATAGAGCTGTCAGTGAAGTCAGATGCGGGCGGGGAGCATCGCGTACAAGTACCTGTGGCATCCAGCGGTAGTGTCCTAATAACCAGTCAGAGATGTCGAGCAGTGTGCCAGGATTGCCTGCGTCTGGTCTCATTCTACCTCGATGCTCTTTCTGAATCGTTCCCCATCAAGAAGTGTTTCCTCATAACTAATACGTCAGCCTGATCTGAGGACAGAACATCCAGCCAGTCTGACTGACCTGCTATCTTGAGAGATGTTGTTTGCCTCGACGAGGCTCACAGCGGTTTCGTCACTGAGCAAAACTGTTTCGAATTCTGCAACAATGCGACGTAGATCTCTCCCATTGTGACTTGTCAACATGTGTCAGCACAGCTGATGTATAGAATGGATATGATGTCGGTCACAAACAGGTAAGGCTGATATTGAGCGCTTGTGTACGGCCACTGCTTTACGTGTGCCATGCCGATTACCCGCTCAGTCGTTGATTGAGAGTGTGGACAACTGGGGACGGAGGCCGGCACTGGGACGAGACATGAGTGAGATCGAAGAGATTCCTGAGCAACAGCTGGATCTCGAGAATCACGGGGAAGTCATCAGGCCATATATGAGTACCTCGTGTACCCGTGGTTCCCCTGCATTCATCCAACCAGGATTGGGAATTTAGTGCTGCTCCCCCTCGCACAGCCTCCGCCACTGAGAGCCACAACCACACCGCCCAAGTCATTTCGAAGCCTCATCGAAGGTAGACGTCGCAGTTGGCTCTTAACTTCCACCGTCCTCACGACGGGTCTCTGGTGTCATTTCAAAGGCGAGCTTGGATGACCTGCTTCTGAGCCAGTCGAGAGCTTGCCTTTCTAGCCTTAAGTACTCGCACTGAGCCAAATGAGGCTCTTTGATCCACCTCGCTCTGGATTACGCCCTCATGGCTTTCGCCGCCGACAACGCTCAACTAAAGGGTATGTTTCCCGACTTACCGTCACGAAGCTCGAGCCGATCGTCCCAGAGCACCAGTATTCCTACGGTAGCTGTCACACCCACGTATAAGGCCACTTTCAACACGTCGTGGATAGTCCCCCCCGGTACTTCCAATCACGAGTCCTCGTCTACAGATCAGCATGGCGCGACGAAAGTGAGTGACCGCGGCCCACCGTCGCTGGGGCATGAAGAGAAGAGGAGGAACAGCCCAACATTGGCGGCACCGGCAGGAATCCCTAGGTTGCCTCCGAGCGAGCTGGGACCCGGAGCTTCTGATCCTGATCCAGCATCCTCTGAAATACTCCGTCAAGTACCAGTCTCACCCTCCCGTGCTGAGTCCGTCGTCCCTTTGCCAAACTTGGTTGAGATCAGCAGCACCCAGACTCCACAAGCGAATGACCATGCTACTGCAGATGGAAAAAATGGAGAGAAGCGATCCTCAAAACGATTCAGGGACATCTTTATACCATCCGGTAATGACGCAGGCCGGGTCACACCCACGACTTCCGCCTCCACACCGACGACTCCTCGATACAAAGCAATCTTTTCAAAGCACATATTCTCATCAGAGCCACATGAAGCAGCGGGAAAAAAGCCAAAGGGAAGGGCGAAGATTTGGTCTGCCTTGATGCATCAAAAGTCACCGCGGCCAAGCACATCACCTTCGGCAGCTACAGACCTTAACTCAGTGGCTGGGGGGGCATCCGATCTAGTTATGCCTCAGACAGCCACATCAGAGACATCCTTACACGGGACACAGCCAGGCCGGCCCTCAAATTATAATCCATCTTTCGAATCTGTCGATCCTGGTTCCGATTCCTCGCACGGATTCATTCGCGGTCCTCCTTACGTCGACGCCGCTCCTTTAGGCCCCGACATGCGTCAACCGCCAGAACAATCAAACTTTAAAGGATTTGTGGCCTCCGATGCACCTCCCTGGGCGAGAATGGCATCTTTCCGCGACTCGCCTCTGTCGCACAGGTCTCTGTTCAAGACTTCTCCTGGGAGTGTCATGTCTGCCAGCACGTTTGCTGAAGGAGACGTACCTGCAAGAAACCCACACATATTCCAATCGTACTCTCCACAAACTGGCGGAGCTCATATTTCGGCCATGGAAAGTGGGAAGCCGTGAGACCAGCGGTGCTATCAGGGAGAAATCTCTTGACTCACTAATTTGGAAAAGGAAGCGTCATATTTGATGAGCGAGGTCATCAAGACTGGTTCTTTCCAGATCTAATGTACAACGAACGTTTTCCATGACATTGAAGACCTGATCTATGCTGGAGCACCCCGAGACTCATGACAGCATTGGTGTAGTGGACTCGGTGACTGTCTGTGCAAGCCGTCAGGATCCTGTAGCTCAGCTTCCGTGTAGAAGAATCTTGAAGCCCAAAACTGGTGTCTACTAGAATCCGACGCTGAGATTCTCGGAACCCGTATACGACTACGGACAATAGCATGCAGTATACAACACTAAACATTGTCAATTCACAGTTGCGGGTGCGACGAGATTAGAATCTCCAACATGAGGCGGAGCGGTTGGAGAAGGAGATTGTTGACCTGATCCAAAAAGCTGCAGCTAAGGTTCTCATATCAGAAGGTGATGAAGCTAGGGCCAAACCCTAATCCTTCGAGCTCGCTATACCTCATTGAAATGCACTCGGGCACTCTTACAAGCAGCCGGACTGGAATGAGCTGGGATCTTCTCAACCAGTCTAGTAGTATTCACACGTGGAGCACTGCTTTTATGGCACCAACCCGGCTCCAGACGATTGTCTTGTGTCAATATCATGGACGGCGCAGTTCGACTGCGATCTCGAGCCCCATGATATACTCGGCGGGGATCCTGGCCACATTAGGCGTCGTTCGAAAAAGTTGAATAAATGTTTGTTTTAAAAGAATTTTTTTTCCCCACCGAACATTGGCGGATATGGTGACGTACTGCAAGGCAGCAGCACCTGAACTTGTGTACCACCGTGTGTAGCCAAGATTGGAAGACCTTGACAGCAAGGTCAGGACTACGTGATCGTGAAAGAACTTCCCTGGAGGCCACAACTCTTCAAGGCCTGGATTTTCGCCTGCGCGCTGTTCAGGCTCAACTTCCGCTGCACCTCAACTTGGCTGAGCGTCTTCCAACACCTTCTCCTCCATTCATCTCCAAGGTGCGGCAACAGCTCCCTTGAGAAATCTCAATCGATGTTACATGAGTGTTTGTCCAGGGACGAACCCTCTTTTTCATACCTCAAAATCTATGCAGTGCTTGGCTTTGATCTCGTCCTTCACCCCACTGTATGAAGCAGCTTACGAGAGCCATGAAGCTGCCAGCAATGCCAAGAGACTTCTGAGGAAGCTTGCGCAGCCGCGGAGGAGATCCCCTCAATGTCCCGCGCTCTCGGGCTCGCAGAACAGAATGTTAAACTAAAGATTGTCAGCTAAGAAGACGTATTTGAGTCTCCCCATTTCTGCTTATTCATCATAGAATCTTCTTCTTCTGCTGTTCAATTTAAAGTCGTCGAAATGAACTAGCCACTACTCCACTGATCACGTGATACAAACGCTAAACCTAACTTATTCCACAAAGAGTATGCTCTATCCTCAGTCTTTAGTTAGCTAATGAAGATCTTCTAATATAGTACTATTTAGAAAACAGGAATTCATGGTCATCGTCTGCTGAAAGTGAAATAGTACCATATGGTGTAATGGGGTGGTTTGCTGTGGTGAACAGGCGGATAGCGAGGCTGGGTGATTTGCCTGTACAGTATTCAGGCAGGTGGTTCTGCTCCTGATTGGCTAGGACCAGGCACGGATTCCAGGATGGGGTCCTTCTTCCTCTGGGCTTAGTTAAAGGACAAAACTCTTGGATAGATAGATTCCCTTTTATCATCATCAAAGTCATTATCACGAATATCATCAGTTACTAGGCAGTCGATTAAGCAATCAACTCAGTACCCAGATGTGAACACCGTCTTTACCTGCCGCCGTGCGAGTAGACACTCAATGGCCAAAAGGCCTCGCCCTAGTTCAATGGTTAGAGTAGTCTATAATCTCCTTCGTCGGGTCCTATATTCAGTGGCGAATCCTCACCTCCCCAATGTCCATTTCCATTTCGAGACCTGAGCATCCCACCAGTTGACCTGAGCAATGACTAGCCATTCTTAGTTGTGGCTGTGCAATCCTGAGCTCGGTTTGGCGTGTCCTGGATCGTACCCTGAGCAGCGTGAGCACAGCCGCCGCCTTACTTACGTAGTATGTAGGGACCCATAACCTATGCCTCGGGGTTCCCGGTTGCGGTGTTTCACATATTCGGAAAGGCTAAGTCCAGCGCGTGCCTGCCCAGAACGCTATCATCGTCCACTTTTCGGGCCACGCAGCTGTCCTGAGGAGGCAACCCCCAACCCCGAAGCCTCTCAGGATTATCCCTTAAGAAAGCGGAATCCGTGGAACAGCGTTTTGGGGTTGCGAAATCGAGATGTGTGGAAAATTTATATCGAGTCTGACAGAAGGGTCTCTCCTATACATGGCGACAGCGATGATGCAACGGAGGTCTTGATTTTGGATGACGACAACGAGTAGCCGCGTTTCGAGCATGCCCAGCGGTAGGTCTGGCAGATACGGTACTGAAGTACATGGGTCAGGACTGACGCAACGATTTGCCGCTTTTACCTGGAATCTCTCTTTTCGTGGTATCATACCGAACGAACTGCACTCCGAGCAATTTCTGCCGTAGATGAGGTAGCAATAACAATGCCAAGCAACAACAAGCCGCGCTTCCCACATGATATAGCGAATGACTCGCCGATATTCTTCACGGGGAGGTGGCCCGTCAGCCATGAGCAGGACAAATCATCAACAAAGCCTCTTGCCTCTCTTTCGAGAACGCTCAAGAAGCTCTCCTTCTTCAGCAAAGCCTCTGAGTTCTCGCGAGAGGCATGCGCAACTATATCACACATTCACCGGCACTAATAGCTGTCGTGCAAATCAGGAAACTATGTCGCAACTGCACATCACCGCGGTGTTAGACTACTCCCAAGTCCGCCGTTTGACCTTCGCGACTCCGTATGTATCTACTCGACACGCTCTCATATATGATTGACCGCTACCTCTTCTTCCCTTCACTGTGTCAGTACTGTAAGGTCTGCCAAGTCGAAAGCTACACGACATAGCCCTTGTTCTGTTTTATGCCTTTGACATTCATGTCTTTCCACATGAGAATCGCCATCAACCCCAGGACCCAAGTTGAGACACCAGCAATCAGCAAGTATCGCCATGTGTCTCCATAGGATTTCTGAATTGCCAAACGGACGGGTGTGCCCCACTCATAAGATAACTGTTGTTGAATGTCGGCATAGATTGTGGTGAGATTCCCTTGGCTCTCAGGAGGAAGATATAAAGCGAGTTTTTCGGGCATCGTGCCTTGCCAGATGGCCGAGGAGATTGTATAACCCACGGCAGTGCCAATATAAGCAAAGAGATTTAGCAGGGCAATACTGACGGCAAAGTATTGCTGAGCAGAAGCAGCCGCCAAGATGCCAATCTCGACCGTGAGCATCAGGATACCGAATCCAAGATTGACAAAAAGGTTGCTCATGGCAACGTAGCCCACATAATGATCAGGGTGACGGAAATGTATCATCAGACCCGTACCAAGGACCACCAAAGGAAAGCCGAAAAAGAGACTGACAGGTTTGTAGCGTCCGGTGTATGAGATGATTGATCCGGCAACAAGATTCATGACAATTTGGGCAACCGTGCCTCCTTGTATCAGATAACTTGCTTCAGTCACAGTGAGACCGTTGACTACCTGAAGAAACGAGCTAAAATACCCGTTCCAACAAGAAACACTCAAAAAGAGCATAAATGCGGTGAGGCAAGTGCCGAGGACTGTTCGATCTCCAAGGATTGCCCATGGAGTGAGACGGACACGAGCAAAAGATCTTTCCCATAGTACAAAAGCTGCGAGTAAAATTATTCCAAAGACGAGGAAACAAATAATGAGGGCAGATCCCCAACCCTTGGCCTGCTGAGTGTAAAGATTGAATGGGAGGAGGAAGAAGGCAAAACCCCCAGATATGCACAAAAGTCCAATCAGGTCAAACTCGTGTGCATAGTATACAGCAGATTGCCATAGTGTACGTTCGTCGTGATGGTGTTTTGGAAAGACACCCTGCTTCTTAGCCCTCATGTATTGCCACATGAAGAGCCCAAACAGGGGTAGAGTAACTCCTGGAAGGAGAATACTTTCCATTCCGAAAGCCCAGCGCCAACCGGCTCCATTCAAGAATGATGTCGAGATGGGGCCTGCAATCCAAGATGTAATGAGATATGGTGAATTGAGTAAAGCCTGCATGAGACCGCGATGACGAAGTGAAGACGTATCCGCAATGAAGACGCTGAGGCAGTATCCGACACCGTTGATCCCGACGGTATAAAAGACTTGCGATGCCGCATATGCTTCAACGTTGTTGCAAGCGGCTGACATGATCAAGCCAACAGTACACAGAAATACACAGAGTAGAAATCCGTGTGGACGTCCAAAAATGTCGAGGATTTTCGCGACGCCCAAATTTGTGACACCGCCAACCACTTGACTCAAAACTCCAGTGGTGGGAATCAGTGAATGTTGAGCAAAGGCTGAAGTCGCGTAGGGGAGCAAGGCACCACTGACTCCAGTCACAATGCCTTGGACAAGGTAGACAAGCCAGATTGCGACATAAGCAGTGACCAAAGTAGATATTGTCCAACTAATTGTTGTGGCCTCGGCCTTCTGCACACCAGCTTGAAAATTGGTGTCAATGGAGTTGTCGTTAGGTGCATTGCCATGAATTATGTCCAAGCCGTCGTGGACTTTGGTGTTGGAATCATCTTCCGCTTGATGGACGTTGCTGATTGCTTTCGTCTCAGTATCAATTGTAGGATAAATACCTGTAGGAGACCTTCCGGAAGCCATTTCGTGCTTTGGCCTCTATATCTGAGGCTGCTTGGGCTGCTGAAGCTTCTTCTGTCGAAGTCTTGTATTGACCAACGTTCGCCTCAGTGTTCAATTGCCGATCTCAAAGTTATATGACAATTTCGTTGTTGACTGTTTGCACAGAGACGATAAAGAAGATAAGGTAGGGATCCCGAGAAGATAAATTCGAGAGTTCTGTGATATCTCGCTGAGTACTACAAACCCATCAAAATCGTCGTAGTTACATGGAGCAGGTTTTGTCCGTTAGCGAGATCATTCACGGGACGGAAAAGAGTCGCCCACACATGAGCAAGTTTTCTATCCATTAGCGTGATAACGCGCATGGGATGGATATGCAACTATCCTCTGTAGGTTGAGTGGGATAGGCTGAAACGAGAGCGAAAGCCGCACATCTGCCCAAAACGATACGACAAGGTCTTATCTACCTCGTACATGCAATGGCGTTTCGTTTCCTTCGGAGTCGCAAATTCGGGATGGATTGCGAAGACAGATTCTGCCAGAGCACGAACTCAAGGTAGAAAGCTCAACATCTATATTCGCCAATGACCACCAAGTCTTCAGCACGTCTACTGTCACGACCACTTTGGTCTGCTGGAGAGCTTCTAGCTACTTCGTTTGCTATGGGCCATCTCTGTGGGCACCTTGACTTCGGAGTAACATCATACACCCGGGCAACCCTCTTGTTTAGAGATATGTGATTACTAACGAACACAGGGTATTCGTTGGCGAAGAGCACGCATCGCTCACAGAGTCAGTCGACTCCATCTTTCTCGGTCAGAAGTATCGACTTCGTAAGAATTTACCACCTGGAAACATTATGACCACGCAAGAAAAGTGTACAGAGACGGTCTGATAATCGGGTGCGACTAGGGAAAAGAAAGAGCAACAGTTGCAGAATCGAGGCTGCTCAAAATTCACCTGTCTGCGCTCTGCCGGCTGGGACTAGACTTGGTGGTACAACCGCTGGGAAGGGATGACTTCCGAACTCAAAGTAGTATGGGAACACTCGGATAGAGAGTATTTGATCCTGGGCAGGGTGTGACTTTCTACGGCTATCTTCGGATCCTCGAGTATACTTAAATGACTCTCTCGGCGTGATTCATGTCTTGTTGAATCCATAAATACAGCTCAAGGCTTGAAGAGATAATAATGATTCTCTGCGAATGCAGGAGAAAGGACGGACTGGCGTGTTCGTGTCCTCCGGAAAGAATACGACGGAGGAATCGTGCTGCGCCAAGAAGGCCACCAATGATACTAGCCTGATTCGGTCTGGGGTGGGTCTCACATTGGCGTCATACATCTTGATTGGTTGATTCAGTGGTGAGCATGTTTTGGGTACCATCCTTGGCCCTTCCAGGGAGACAACAACGCTTTGGAGCAAATTTTGAGGTCGAGGCCGGGAACAATGCGGGTAGTACTAGTACTTGGCCAGGATGTCAATTCCGGCCTTGCTTATCATCGAACGCCTCTTCGATTGAATCGTCAGACATTCGCGTTGAATTCACCTGAAATCAAGCTCAGCTTCTCGTCTCCCACCCCATGGAGGGGAATGTCTGATGCGAAAAGACACAATGTCGAAAATCGAGCCCATGAAGCGACACGTACACACTGACTCCGACTCCGCTGCATCTGAACATCAACATGTTGTCAACCAGTTTCTCCGCATTCTTTTCTGGTACATTGTGTTTGCGGTTGTGACTTTCATTACTCTGCGACGCTTGATCTCAGTCTCCAAGCGTAACTGGAGGTGTGTAACTCTCGCTCTTTATCACGGTGTGGTCGCACTGACACACGCAAGCTTTTGGCCGGTATGGGTGAGAAGAAAGACGATCTTGGAGAATTCAAGCCCTGTTCGTCCCATCTTTCGATACAGTGCTCTACTTGAAGCGTTGTATCGCAGTTTTGGCTACCGACAGATGGGGTGGACCACCGGCTGGCGCAGATATTTGTCTCCTCCTCCCGTGGGAGAGATACTCTTCCTCTGTGGATACTGGATCCTCTTGCTTCTCATGCTATGGACCAATGTGATTTTCAAATCTCAATCACCTCTCTACGGTATCGAATTAGAAGTGGTGGGATATCGAGCAGCATGGGTTTCGACTACACAACTCCCCTTGGTCTATTGCACGGGCTGTAGAATCAATCCTATCAGCCTTCTGACCGGTATCTCACATGAAAGGCTGAACTGGTTTCACCGATGGGCTGCCAGAACGGTCTTTGTCACACTTGTTGTACACTGGGCTTTCTTTTATCGCGAATGGGATCTCACGAACTTTGTTCATCAGGAGATTGAGATTATGCCCATGGTCGTCTGGGGCTTTGCCGCTTGGGGAATGTTTGGTTTCATGGTGATAACGAGTTTTGGCTTCTTTCGAAACTCCTACTATGAAATGTGGCTCTTGGTACACGTTCTTTCTGCTTATCTCGGCTTGTGGCTAACTTACACCCACACCCATTGCACGACGGTCTTTGTACTCGCGTCCATTGGATTCATCGCTTTTGATCTACTTGGAAGGACCTTTTTATGGACGATGCACAACATTCACCCTTTTAAAGCCAAAAATGAAACTCGGGCGGTCGGATACAACGCCACAGTTCGATTCCTGGACGACAAATATGTCCATCTCAGCGTTCGAGATGTCTCATTTGGTTGGAAGGCTGGTCAACACATATACATCACTGTACCTCACCTACGTAAAGTTGAGTCACATCCATTCACTATCGCAAGTCTCCCAGGTGAGTCGGGATCAGGGAAGAACGTCGATTTGATCATCAAACCACACAGTGGTTTTACATCTGACCTGTTTCGCTGGGGGCAGGATCAGTCATCCAAATCCTTTACAGTTTTCCTCAATGGCCCCTATGGAAATCCACCTCAGCTCGCAGGCTATGATACGGTCATTCTGATCGCTACGGGCAATCGAGCGTCATTCATTTTGCCGCTGTTCCAAGAGCTGGTCAATACAAGCGTTGATGTACCACGGATCTACATACATTTGGTCTCTCGGACGTTGACTGAAATCGACTGGTATTTGGCTCAAGTTTTCGCCTCTCTCAAATCTGTGCGGCTTCATCGAACGGAGATCGAAGTTCAAGGGCACTTTACATCTTGCAACCCAAGTGAGGCTTCCGTTATAACCTTGATCGAAGAACGGGCACTGTATCCTTCTGCGGCTGCAGTAAATCGGGAAACGCGTGATCGAACTGATCGGGGAAAAACGGACCATCACCCTGAAGTCAACACGAGACAGCTTGACAGAAATAAACCTTCCATGAAGCTGGATTGTGGACCAAACCTCCACTCTGACAGGCTACCCTCTATTGTCGTGGTTGATACAGAGAATGCAGAAGCTTCTGCAGCTTTTGCACAAACCTCGACTGACAGCGAAGACGAAGAAAGCGAAGACGAGAAGCACCTGTTAGATGATCTACTGTCGGACTTGGACCAATACTCTTTTGCATTTACACAATTACCCAGCGGACGCTCCTTACATTTTTCTCTGCACCGGCCAGCCGCCGATGACATGATCAGAGCCCCTGTGTTAGAAGCGCGTGGGCGTGTGTTGGTCGTTGCGGCAGTGGCAGGAAGTCTGAGGAGTCAGATTGCAACATGTGTCTCCCGCCTGAATCGGGAAATCATCAGACCGGCATTAAATGAGGATCTGGATGTTGGTCCTATGAGCTTGGAGTTGTGGTGTGAGGTCAATGGTGACTGAGGCTGGGTTCTCGCCGGGCTGGGCTAGCCGCTCATAGCCCTCTAGAATGACGCTTCAACTCCCTTTTTCATCCATGTTTATCTTCGGCAGCTGCTTTCTCCCTCGCTCTCACACCCGTTCCTCCTTGTAATTCGACTTGTTGCCAAGGACCGGCTATCTGTCCCTTCACCTGACCTGAATCGGTCTTCTGAACCCTTGCGCCCTCAGAAAGCGTTGATCTTGCGTTCCACTCTGTATGAGTGTATCCTCTTCTCGTTGTTCCCTCCCAGGTTGCTATTTGTCGCAATACTTTGACCAACCACACTTTACTCACTAGTCACCAATCTGGACTGCCTTCTATTAGCCTCCTTTGACTGGTTTTGCTACGGTGCCCATGATCTACGGATTCCAAACGGCACTAGATATAAATAACTCCAGAGGAGATGTCCGGTGTAGCTATAATCAAATATCACACTGCCTACGTAGAAATTGAACTGCTCTCGGGTGTCGGTCTGCGCTCCAGGTGACGAGCCAAGCGATTCAAAACGGCCCCTGACTATGTCCAAAATCCCCCAGTCTCACAGTGGAAGGAAGAGACGAAGATTGATGGATCTATAGCCATGTTTCCACCTCATGGCGGGCGAGCCGTTGTGACCAATCAGAGCACATATAAGACCCCCTAGGCCTTATGATGGCGTTGTCGTTGAGCGCATTTTCTCAGGTCATACACCTGCTAGAACCTGCTCATTGTCGCCTGTGTCCTCGGCGGCACCACTTTCAGGTTGACAGCGCGCAATTTTGGGCAATACCCCAGCAGCGCGAGTCTGGCCAGCCTTGCCGACACGACATGCTGGACCAATCCCGACGAATCGAAATCTAGGAAATGGAAATTGCCAAATTTGAGATTGTCACGCTCGCATTGGAAGACATTCAGGAGATGGGAGTCCAAAGAACCTCTGGTGATATATTATTGTCCTCACCCAGCCTCTTCACCTCGCATGGGTAGGTTGAGGATGGGTTTTATGGACACTCTCTTCCGAATTTATCCACCCTAACCCAACTCCAACTGTCTTCACTCGCTTTGCCCAGGTCTCCATTTCCCTGTCCATTCGCTCACTAAATCTATTGTACGAACACATTTCGTTTCTTATTTATATTTCTAACCAAAATGCTCAGCCCGCGGGAGAGATTGTTGCTCAGCCTCATCGGGGGACAGTGGATCAGCAATGTTTACGCTGCCATCACATGGCCGTCGCCAATCTACGATGAGCTCGAAGATCTGATGCTTTTGACCTCTGGCTACGGTAACAGAAACTTCATGGCCCCCTTGGTCCCTTGCACATTTGCCCCAAATCCAGGTCACTCAGTCGCCGGAGGTTTTTTACGAGTCGCCTTCCACGACATGGCCGGAGCCAACGTGGCTGAAGGGACCGACGGCTTGGACGCATCTATCGGTTTCGAACTGGACAGTAGCATCTTTCCTGAGAATACTGGTCCTGCCTTCAACAACACCCTCTCCTTTGTCTCGAGATTCTACAGCAGTCGGGCCTCCATGTCAGACCTGCTAGCCTTGGCGGCCTACGCCTCAGTTCGAGCCTGCGGTGGTCCCGCCATTCCACTCAAAGCCGGTCGTATCGACGCTACCCAGGCAGGAACTCCCGGTGTTCCTGACCCCAAGGACGATATTGACAAACTAAACACCGAGTTTGCTCGTATGGGTTTGACTCCGGAAGAGGGTATCCAGCTTGTTGCCTGCGGTCATACTCTTGGAGGAGTGCATTCTGCAGAACACCCTGCCATTGTCCCCGTGGGTACGACCTTTCTCGGAGTACAAGACTTCGATGCCACGAACAACACCTTTGACAACTCGACCCTCACCATGTATCTCGACAGTACCACCTTGAACCCACTTGTGGTAGGTCCAGACGTCGATGCTCGATCGGATCTTCGGCTCTTCAACAGCGACGGCAACAAAACCGTCTCGAGCATGGTAGATTCATATGACAGCACTTGCTCGGTCATCCTTGCCAAGATGCTTGATACCGTCCCAGCTTCGGTGACCTTGACCGAAGTGATCACAGCTTATCCCGTCAAGCCAGCGAACCTTGCGCTCACCATCAGCAGCGCCGATCAGCTTGTCTTCTCGGGAGCTATTCGCTTTTGGACGAACAAAATCTCCAAGTTATCGGTCTCTAGTTTGCAGCTTGTCTACAAGGACCGAACTGGAGCTCCGGCTGGTACTATCGACGCCTCTGTGGCCCTGGGTGACGGCACTGGATTTGACGATTCTTTCACGGTGAGAACTTTTCCTTCTCTGCTCGATCGAATTCATTGCTTACGTTGTGAATAGTTTTATGGATTCAATGCTTCGATCCCTGCCAAGACATCCATTTCGTCTTTCGTGGTGAAAGTCCGCCTCACTTCGGGAAGTAGCCTGACGTACGACAACAACGGCAAGGGTTTTCCGGTTCAGGACACAATTCTCTCCCAGAACGCTTACTCAAGTCTTGCGGCTGCGGATTCCTCAGGCAGTCAGCGAGCGACCATCATCGCAGCTGTAAGATTCATCCGACCCAGCTCAACGCGTTCGCTAATTCACGCAGGTGCGGTCCGGAACTGAGGGAGAAGTTGATCTCGCAGTGAATCTGATCAATGCAATGGGAGTAAACAATCTGCCGACGATCTCCAAAATCCCAACAGCCATGACCAAAGTATGCGAGTCGTTGTATTATAATTTCTACTCCGCGTCCTTTGGCGTACCAGCCGCTGCGGTCAACGGCACAAAGTACGATTTGAGCGCCGGAGGGGAGTACGACGGCTTCAAGGGCTTGATCGGCTTGCAAGCACAAGCAGCAAACCTTCCATGCGGTAGGGATTCGAGCCCTACCACGTCTAGCGCCACGACTTCATCTAGCTCCCGGACCGAGCTGTCAACCTCGACAACTACTGCGTCTTATATCTCAACCACCGATACAATTCCCGACAAGCACGTCAAGTCAACTTCCAGCCCATTCTGGAGCAATTTCACAACTACCAAGACCACCTCTGTCGACCAGGTAAAGTCAACTCGTTGGCCAAGCTGGAGTGATTGGACGATCTCTACTTCCAGCAGCGAGCCGGTATCCCCGGAAACAACGACTTCCACGAGCGACTCTGTTTCGTGGGTTCGCGGCGATCATGGAAGCATTCCTACCAGTAGCAGCGTCCCCGTGGCGGCTGTCAGCTCAATCGCAGCTGGAGGCTCGAGCTCGTCAAGTTCGCCAGTTTCACCCGCCGTCGCCACTTTTACCGGCACTGGAAATGCACTGACTGGTAGTGGCATTTTCAGCATGTTTGCGATAGCTCTGGGTGTGTTGTTGCTGCTGTAACCAATAAAATCTACATGACGGAAGGAGCAGAGGCCCAACTGCGCTTGGAGGATGATGAGGTTGCGGAGCAAGCGGCTGTTACATATTTTCTTCGATCTCCTTTGGCATTGACAAACTGTGGCACAACCCCCACCTTTGCGAGGAGATTTGTATCAAGGACCCTGTGCTCTCTCTGATCTCATCCCAACCAAGATCTTGTACGGAGTTTCGAATTTTCCAGGAGTTGGATGGTCTCCCCGAGGCCATGTTGCTCTCATGTAATTTACTTTGAGACATGATCGGAGGCATCTCAAGAAGACGTTGATGAACCAAATAATACCTGGGAGAGGGAAGCACGACCGACGTAATGCAGAAAGTCTGCCCCAATAAAGCCATCTATACAATTACATTTACTGGGAGAAAGACGCATAACTGTCTATGCCATTTTCTCTGAACCATGAATACAAAATACGACCTTCACAACTCGTGCTTTGAGATTATCAATAGAGCTCCTGGTCGCTGCACTATTCGTGAGAACATACGGTACTCCTGAATCAGCCTGGTGTTATTACCTCGAGGCCACTTCCGGATCTTGCACACACACACACAGGTTACCAAGCGGAAGGATACGTTCAACACGCGTTTTCGTATCAGTGTGGCCAATCCCAGGATGTTCTCCCATCAGTCCCATGCATTGTCGGTCCCACCATGCATGTCCTGAGAGAACGGACGGACAAAACCCCGTGTTCGCCAGTTCAGCAAACTTGCTCACAATTCACCCGAGTAGATGCAGTTCGCAGCAGCCCTTGACATCTTCTCTTGTAGGCAAGTGCTTATGACTGACTCACCTGATCAAATGAGGTGCGGTACCCTGCCATTCGCTGTGACCGGGTCGATGCCTTCCCCTTAATACCGCATGGCTGAAAGCTGCTTGCCTACCCAGGAAGGGACTTGTTGAACCGATCTCTCTCGCTGTGATGTGGGAGATGTGTCTATTCTGGATACTTGCTCACACGCTGATATGTCTCCCGTCTGACTGGCCGCGGGACTGAAAGAAACTTGCTCATGTTTTTAGTGCCGAATGCGGTGCATTTCTGTCTGGGGCGAATTCTCTCGACCAATGGCAGACTGTTTGACGTTAGGCTGAGGCGAGCCGCGGCCAGGCCATGCTATACCGATTGCAATCTTGCTCATCGCCTGGAGGTTAAGTTTGGTGATTTGGATGGGGTACAGGTGCAAGGAACGCGGTTGCTGCAGACCCCCTGACCTAACAATACATTCGTCGACGACCCGAGGAGAATGAGTATGAATGAAGTCCTCCAGTAGACCTTCTACCTTTCAAAACTATCGAGGCGGGCTATTCACGGTAAAGAGCATATGGAGGAACACCGAAGGCACCAACTACTGGCCGGCACGCTGCGAGAGTTCTTCGAGATCCAGCCAGTCGTGCTGTCTGCCGCACACTCTATACAACTATTTCGACCGACGTTTGCATTCCTCCCCCAACGTCGCCAGCGACGTCCATGTATTCATACAGATACTCAAGCACAAACTACCAACAGTGATACTTGATGCCACAATCCCGTCTCCTCGTGTAGTAGACCTCACAATTCAAGCAAACATACCCTCCGGGGCCGCGGGGCAAAAAACTCAACTCCAATGCCAAATAGCTACTTTGTGACATGTCTGATGGCCCAAAACGAAACCAGACGTTTTTCGTTAACGCCTGACATTTCCCCAGGCTCTCGCGCTGGCCTCTCTGGGTCTTTCCATCCTCTTCAGAGTCGCCAAAGACCTCCAGACGTCCAGTAGTGCCGTTGCAGCATCTGGATGGACTGGGGTGGCGTTTCTGGCCACATAAATCTGTTTCTTATCATTCCACTCGTTCCTGATGCCGCAAACCTTGTCGAAAGACAGGGAATCGGCGGCGAGCCACTTGATTCGACACGGGTGGCCGAACTGTTGGACTGCTCTCATCACGGTAGTATCATTATCAGAATTTGACAAGCCTTCACCTCTAATACCAGTGGACGAAGGAGATCGCGTCGAGGTAGGTGGGGAGTTTTCGCCACAGAACGACGGATTCTGTTTTACAATCGGCGACATGTCTGACGAACTCGCGCTGCGTTTATCCGCGCCATCCTGCAGACTTGAAAGGGATCTGGAGGCCGAGCTAGGCTCGCTATCCGATGCGGCGCTGTCCCGGCGGTCGCACGATGAAGCCTCCCAGACGATCTGCCGTCTGCTTGGCTTGTATCGGATTATGCCTTGGTTGAGGAGAGGGACCGGCAAAGATTTCGATGAAGCATCGCTGGGACTTCTCGATTTAACGGTTGTGCTAGGAGTCTGACCGCTGGACACTGGTGCGATGTTACCATTGGCATTTGGGGCCCGGCTTTCGTCTTCTGCAGATAGAGGGAAATGTAATTCTCGGTCGTTTGTCGGGTTGTACATCTCATCATAGGCAATAGCGGATGTCAGGAGCGCGTAGCCAAGAAATTGACCGGAACCATTTACGGAGAACATCAAGTACACTTTCCGTGCGGTCTTTGAAAGGGACAAGGAGCTTGGTTGGCCTCTGACTGAAACCACGAAACGGCTTGCGGAGACAAGAACAAAAGAGACCGATGGCTTCCTACCTGCACGGCGTTGTTGATGCGATAGACATGGCGAGACGGAATGTGCCATTGATTCATCTGGAGACTGTGATGCATTGCCTCGATGGAACAGCTTTTGATGATGAAATACTTGTCCTTTCCCGACTGAGACGGGTCGGCCTCGGGGAACCGGGCCAACTCTTCAATCTTTTTCTCGAGTTCCACAGGCTGGTGGATGGATATCTTGGGTTCATCCAACACCCAATTCAACCATCTAATCAATGAAGACTACGTACTGTGCAGATGTATGGGAAGCGACACGCGAGTCATAGAACTCTTTGTGGGAGAGGTAAGAACAATGCTGGAAGACTAAAAACATGTCCAGTAACATTATCTCTCCCGGGGGGCGGGTTGGGCAATGTTGGCCCACAGAAATCGACTGCTGGAAACAAAAGAGCTGGCGCCATTGGGGGCAGCTGCGGCTATGTACTCAGCGCGCGACTGGAATTCGTTGTTCGAAGCTGTGCAGGGGATGTTTGCTTAGCACGTTAGCAATAACATCGGTTAACCGAAGAGGGTCGAGAAGCTCCCTTGGGTTCTCAATCGAGACACAATCCTCCCTGGCCCCATTGAGGCATTCTAAAGTACATAGTACCATCAACCGGTGCAGATTCTACCGACCTAAGAAGGTGGCCAACACCTTCACTCATATCCACAAGAATCCCAGATGGGATCCTGTCCCAAGAGTCCAATACTCATGAATCCAGGCTGGGGATATGGGCATTGATCGATTGGCTGCTCCGATTTCATCAGCTCCTTGAGACCGGCCCGACCACTTTGTCAGTCAGCATCACGTTCGATCGAAGGATGAGCAGGTTTCCCTTTCCAATAAGACGCCAGGCTAGAAATACCAGGGCTAGCGGCCCCGCAGGCCTCGGCGAAGCGCTTCCAAGATGAGCTTGTTCAGACCCACACTGTCCAACATGCAAGAGCAGCATTCCAGACACTGAAGCGATGGCAAAAGAGTCCACGTCGAGAAAAGATCGGTCGAGTACCTCACCGTCTCTGTACTCTGTACCAACAGCTCCTTCTCATCAACTGATTGCACACACATCCACGTCTTGGCAGTGTGGACCATCTATGGCACAACCGACCATGTATAAAGACAATCCGTGGGCCCAATTCCCTGCTCGTGGTGTTACCACCATTGCAGACAGTCGTCGGCATCATTAGTCATGAAATACCTTCTTTTGCTGGCGCTGAGTTGGGCCACGAGTGTAGTAGCGACTGGCCCACTACCAGTCACGAGAAGTGGCTTGGCTGGCATTGCGGGATTCACTTTTTACAATCCATATTGTGGTCATGGCTGCTTCCGATCCTTCTCACCTTACAAGTTGCAATGTTCCTCCACAATCAGCGCTGGAGGGCTTACCACCGCGGATGCAATTGCGCATGAGCTAGCTCTTTGTCGTGCGTCGGATTTCCCCTACCTGAGTTCTATTGCCTGGTGCATTCGCACGTTCTGCCCCGAAAATGTCCGGGCGTCGACCATCGAGAAGTTTTGGGAAACGCAGATCACAGGCGATGCCGAGATAGTCCCAAAATGGAGCTATGGCGAGACGTTGGCGAACATCACCAAACCCCCAACTGTGGTGGCGTCGGGCCAGGATCTTGTGCTAAACATGACCATGGTCACGACTTACACCACCTGGAAGCTCACCCAGGATACCTTGATATACTTTTTCCGCGAGAGCGCCCGGGAATCATACTATGGGTACGTGGTTGCTCTTATCGTCTCTTTCTCGTAGTATCTCAGCGGTGCAACTCGGATCCGATACAGGGACTCTCTCTGTCATTGCTAACGAAGGTCCCTCCTGACAGACTTGCGATCCTGCTCACAGCCTTCGGTCTGCCACTTGTGCTGACCTGGCTCGGATATCTCCCCTTCATGACTGGTTTCACGGACCACATCAAACCATGGCTTTATCAAAGTATCATCGGGACCTACCACGATCGACCTCTTCCCTTCTTGATTGGTAATGTGCCCACTCTTGGGCAGAGCGGTTACATCGCCGTGATCGTCATACTAAATATTGTCTTTCTCACCATCGGCTATGAGACATTGTGGCCGAATGAAGAGATGCAGTGGTACGAAAATCACTACCAAGAACTCATGGCATACTGGATGTGGCGCACTGGTGCTCTAGCATTCTGTCAACTCCCAGTCTTGTTCCTGTTCTCGAGCAGGAACAACATCTTACTATGGCTAACCAATTGGTCCCACTCAACCTACATGCTGCTCCACCGATGGGTCGCCCGGCTCTTCCTCATCCAAACTCTTCTCCATTCAATTCTCTCACTGATACTATACCAAGACGACGGCCATTATTCTTCCACAGTCGATACACCGCTCTGGTATTGGGGCTGTGTGGGTACGGTCGCAGCGGTCGTCATTATCCTCACCAGCTTTCTTGTCATACGCCAACGAGCGTATGAGCTGTTCCTACTCACACATATCGTCATGGCGGTCGTCTGCCTTGTGGGATGTTGGTATCACGTCTGGGCCGATGACGAGGGAGACTTCGGCTACGAGACTTTCCTATACGCAACGTTTGCTGTCTGGGGCTTTGACCGACTGGCTCGGGTGGGACGAATCTTGAAGACGGGAGTGAAACGGGCCGTCGTGACCGACGTCGGCGACACTGTTGTTCGCATCGATATTCCAGGACCTCGGTGGTCTTCGCCGGGGCAGTGCGTCTACGTCTACTTTCCGACGCTTCATCCTTTTCGACCTTGGGAGAATCACCCTTTTTCCATTATCCCTACTGCTGCTCTTACCGGGCGCCCCAACAACGACGGTCCGGTGCCAACCACTTTCGCCGACCCAGAAAAGAACCGCCCAATCACTGTGACTCCGAGACCTTCAACTCAGCATGAAGCCTACAGGAATTCAGGACTAACACTGTTTATTCGAAAGAAAGCAGGAATGACGCGATTCTTGAAGACACGGAACGAATTGGTCACACTGCTCGAAGGCCCTTATCCTTGCAATCCTACCAAGGAAGTCCTCCAGAGTGATCGACTGTTGCTAATCGGTGGGGGGATAGGCATCACTGGACTGTTGGCATTCGTCCACTGTCATCCGAACGTGAAACTCTACCACAGCGTCAAGGCGGATGATGCTTGTCTGGTTGAAGCTTTGGCCAGTTTGTTGGGCCAAGTCCGCGACAAGGAAATCGTCGTCGGGCAAAGATTGGACATCAGTGGCTTGTTAAAAGATCAGGCCGATCTCGGATATTCCAAGATCGGGGTTGTCGTGTGCGGACCACCTGGTATGTGTGACGACGTCAGGGCTGCCGTGGCCCGACTTGCCAGAGAGAAATCAGGCCGCTGTTCGTTCGAGCTTGAGGTAGATACATTTGGGTGGTAGGCTGAGAGCGGCAAGGCACGTCCAAGAGTCGACGCGATCCATTCACTCTAGATATGCAAACACTCTGACCTCTTATTGTAAATGGGATGATGTCACGATGAGCACCCAATGACCGCGGGTCCCAGAAACAGGCCTGGCTGCCTGGGTACTGGTGATGAGAAAGATGAGAAAGGTGACAGGGCTGAGGCTGAGCCGAAGTTGAGCCAGGCAACCAGGCTGCGTGTGTATTAAAGCGGCAGGCCACGATCCCAGACGAGATGCCAAGGCCAAGCACTTTGTCGCCGCTGAATACCGTGACATTAGGCCTCTCTTTTTCTGCTAATTTCTCTAGCTAATCTAGATAGACCTAGACTAACCTAATTTAGAGAAAGAGAACTTTTATTATGACTATAAAGTTAGCTAGAATCGGTAGGATAAGTTATAGGTACTATCGGCTCAGCCGAGGCGATAAAGTATTTAACTATAGGCGGGTGGCGGGAACCCGGCCCTGGCCTAGTTGCCTAGATATGAGCGCTTCTGATCCGCTGCTTAGGCTGAACTCTACCATGCTCAGTCACGTGCGGGAGCATCTTTAGGTTGAACGTAGCGAGGCGCAGGGCCACGCTCAGGTCCCCAGGTGGAAATGGAAAGTCCTCGTATCGAGATTCCGACGTTGAACAGCCTGTTCCCTCGCGGGGGCTGAGCTTCTCAGCCTCTTTTCCCACCCAAAGCTTTGCTTGCGTCCTTTACTCTTCTCGTTGTCAATCTAAACATTTCTAGGCGAATGATACCAATTCATCGAGATTGATCTTGCGGTACCCGTGCAATTCCTTCTCGAGTCGTCTGACTCAAAAGGGTCTTTTTGGCTGCTCCATCAGGCTGCCACAGTCCGCTTAGGCCTTGCGGCTACTGCCGCTCTCTCTGCCTGGCCAGGTCAGGCTGGCTGTAAGGATTTCAGCTGCCCATCAATAACCTGTCAACACGCAGATTTGTTATAGTTGAGTCACTGGTATAAGCCACTTGGGCTGCAATATCGCTGCGACCCAAATTCACTCATTAAAAAGGAAAGAAGGTATGGACGACCGCAGAGACAATATCGGCGGAGGTGGTGGTCGCTGGTACGGCCCTCCACCACCGGATCTGTCCCTCCCACCACCCCCGACAAAGATGCGCCGCAAACAGCGTCGACAACCTCCACAGGAGACGGTAAACCAGTTCTGGGACCAACTGAACCCCCGGTACCCTGGGAAAGTCTTCACCCTCCTCCCCAACAACCCTTACGCCCGCAAAAAGGCGGCAAAGACCCCCCATGGCACCGTCTCTGGCCAGCGCGCTGCCAAGTCGTACGAGGAGGCCCGCGCCGAGTGTGTCAGGGACGTCGACAGGATCGTCAGAGAGTGTAGGCGACTAAACCAGAAGTACCGTGACATGCATTTCGACATCGAGTGGGATCTCAAGTCCGGCCAGCGGAATTGTCTCGACGGTCTCAGCACGCCCGGTGATTCCATGAAGCCAAAGGGTGTCAGAAGGGTGACGGTGAGTTTTCTTTTCCCCGCCCATCATTAATTGGTCCTTGTTCCCGTCGTTGCTTTGGTTGGAAATCTCGCAAAGCTGTTTTTCCATGGGGCGTGCTAAGAGAATGTGGCTTAGGACATCTTCGAGAAGCCCGAATTCTTCATCAAAGGTCCCACTGCCGGCGACGTAAGGCAGGGACGTGATGGAGATTGCTATCTGATGGCGGCCCTATGTGGGCTGGGCAATATGGAGGGGTTGATCAACCGAGTCTGCGTCAAACAGGACATGGACGTCGGTGTCTACGGCTTTGTCTTTTTTCGAGGTAAATAATCTGCTCACGGCACCCTGCATCTCCTTCCTCTTCAGTGCCAAAAGAGAGGCCAAAGTTCATGTGCTAAATCTATTTGTTACCCCAGATGGCGAGTGGCAACATACTATCATTGATGATAAACTATATAGTAAGTCTCTCTCCACTTCCAGTGTCCCTGGTGATTGATTTTGGGGGCTTCTAGCTAGAGCGCCCGATTACGACGAAGCCCAGGATGAGCGGGTCGTCTGGGACGACATCAACCGCGTCGACAGCGCCGAGGAATACCGCAAAGCACACCTGACAGGCTCGAGAGCACTCTACTTTGCACAGTGCAGCGACGAGAACGAGACCTGGCTCCCACTGCTCGAGAAGGCGTACGCCAAGGCACATGGGGATTTCGCCTCCATCGATGGGGGATTTACCGGCGAGGCCATCGAGGACCTGACCGGTGGCGTGACCACCGAGATATACAGCACCGACATCCTCGACCGCGAAGCCTTCTGGCGCGACGAGCTCATGCAGGTCGGCAAGAAGTTCCTGTTCGGCTGCGCCACAGGCTTCTTCGCCAACTGGCTTGACACGACGGGGGCGCCGCGCGAACGCGAGGGCATCGCCGAGGGCCACGCCTACAGCATCATGGACGCGAGGGAGGTCGAGGGCCAACGACTCCTGAAACTCCGCAACCCGTGGGGCAAGAAGGAGTGGACGGGGAAGTGGAGCGACGGCAGCTCCGAGTGGACGCCCGAGTGGATGAAGCTGCTGGACCACAAGTTCGGCAACGACGGCATCTTCTGGATCAGCTACGACGACCTCCTCAAGAAGTACCAGCACTTTGACCGCACGCGCATCTTCGGACCCGAGTGGAACGTCACGCAGTGCTGGACCAGCGCCAACGTCTCGTGGTCGGCCGAGTACCACAGCACAAAGTTCTCCTTGACCCTGGAGGAGAAGGCGCCCGTGGTGATTGTGCTGGCGCAGCTGGACGACACCTACTTCGGCGGGTTGGAGGGCGGGTATGGCTTCGACCTCCAATTCCGCCTCGAGTCCGACGACAAGGAAGACGAAAACGACTACATTGTGCGGTCCAACGGGAACTACGGCATGGCCAGATCCGTCAGCACCGACATTGAGCTGGAGGCCGGCACGTACTCGGTCCTCATCAAGATCACCGCCACGAGAGACACGGACCGGGAACACGTCGAAGACGTATTACCCGTCTACGCCGCAACGAGACGCGAAAAGCTCATCCAGATGGGTCTCTCGTACGACCTGGCGCACGCCAAGGGCGTGATTGTGGAAACCAAGGCGGAACGGAAAGCACGCAAAGAACGCGAAAAGACTCGACGGGCCAAGGAGAGGCAGGAGATGAAGGAGCGGGCCAAGGCGCAGGCCAAGAAGCATTGGGAGAGACAGAAGAAAAGACACGAGCTGGAGAAGGTGAGGTCGGCCAGACACAAGGAGAGGAAAGAGAGGAAGAAGCGGGCGAATGGGAAAACCCGTCCAGAGGTGGTCAAAGTGGTCATCGTCGAGAGACAGGGGACCTTTGACAGCATGGCCAACGAAAATCCCGAGAGCAGAAGGGAGACCGTGACAATCCAGGATGGACACGCCGATAAAATACACGACCCGAAGAAAGCATCTGACTCCGTCACCGTCCAGTCCTCCAACAACAGCTTTGTCACTGTGAGCACCAAGGGGCCTGCAGAGCTGTCAGAAGAGCCCATCCCGATCCTTGCTCCTGCAGAGAAACCTGCGGAAGAGGTCACTGCCGAGAATATCGTCCAGCCGCTGGAAGAAGTGGTCAAGGTCGCCGACGCAGAAGTGCATGCTATCAGACCGGAAGGCTCCTCGAACAAGAAACCCGCCGAGTCGGGGAATATCCCGTCCCAGGCTGGATGTAACGACGCGTCCGTCCAGACTGACAGCCCGATTGTCATCACGGACATCAAACCGTTGTCGAAGCCGCCACCACGAACTGTGCCGGAGGTCGACACCTCTCAAGACGCAAGCCCAGATAACCAGGTCGACGTCATCGCCAGACGCAGGGACAGCGAATCTAATACGGCAAACGGCCCTCGTCGCGGGGCACCCCTGCGCAGCGAAACCCTCAACAGCACGGCCGCCATGCTAGGAATCGGAAGCGGAACCGATAGTCGCGAGTACGACGACCTCCACGATGGGGATCAACTCCGAGACTCGGACATTGACCGCTACCACGACGCGAACCGAGAACCCGATGAGGAGGAGGAGGACAACCAAGATAACGACAACGACGACCGAGTGTCCAACGCAGACTCCTTCCCGCCCTTTGACTGGAACTCGGAGCTCGACATGAGTCCCTACACGAGCAGCGACGATGACGAGTCGGAAACTTCGTCAACACACACCTTCCCTCCGGGGCTCGGTCGACGAGGGACCAACATTCGCCGCGGCCGACGCCGCTCTCGCTCCCCACTGCTCAACCCACCCATCGAGATTGACGACCCCGGCGCGAAGCAAGCGGGTGGTGGCGGGGCCGACGACCCCGGCGATCATGGGCCCAATGAGCCGTGGAACGCCGTCTGCGTCGTCGGGTTGAGAGTGTACTCGACGCTGAAGGGCGAGGGAGTCAAGTTGAAGATTGTGCGGCCGAGCGAGTTCTCTGACGATGATGATGGTGCTGATAAAGGTACCAACAGGGAGAAAAAGGACAAGAATCAGACTACTACTACCACTACTACGGGCAATGACACGAGCGAATCCGCACAAGCAGACGCAGACAGGAAACCCGCCGTCGAACCGACCCTCGACCCGGACGATATCTCCAAGGGCGCCGTGGCCGTCGAGCCTGAGAGCACCGGCGCCGTTGTGGCTGGAGAAGTGCAAGTCCGCGATCCGGCAGATCGGATGAAACTAGGTGCTCGCGACAGCGGTAGCGGTAGCGGTAGCTCCAGGAATAGCAGGACAATGAAGCTAGGTCTCCGGCCTCCGACGGAAGAGAGGGTGAGCACGAACACGTGGAGAACGAAGAAGGAGAAGCAGCTTTCGCGAAGATGAAAGATGAAGACGAATATGAGGTGTTTGATTACCAAAAACAAACGACGACGACGATAATGAACAAGACGACAGATAACTGAGACGATAGCATCGATGCGGGTGAACTGAAACTGAGCGGCACATGTCATGTCAATGACAGGATCGGTAGATTAAATTGCCAGAGGAGTGAGTGAGTTATAGTAACAAACGGGACTCGATCAAAGGGTGGATGGATGGAGGTGGAAGATGGACTCCGTATTTTCTCTCTTCTCTCAATGTCTACTCGTTTCAATCCTCCTCCATACTATGCGGTACTATCCTCTCCTATCCTATCCCATACCATACTGAAAGTATACTTGTAGTACCAATATGTGCACTTACTTGCAAGTACAAGTTTCTCCCTCGTATTCTGACTATTGCCGCAGGGCGAGACCGATCGATCGATCCATTGGTCTGTGTGGTCCATGTCATTCTTTATTGTTATTGTGTGGAGGTAATATCTGAGGAGTGACTGAGATGTGGATCCGGTCTGGTCTCTCGATACAGCCAGCCGTCTTGTCGAAAGACCGGACGGGACCGGGACAATCTCAATCTCAGAGCATGCAACTTCGCCTGCGCGTGTCAACTTGTGGCACCACATACATATCTCTCATTCGAGCCGGCACGTTAGGTTGTAAGGAGCCCTCAATCATTCGCAATATCCTAGTGGCTGGATTGCTGGCCTGGCTGTCCATCGAATGTCCCGATAACAGCATCAAGGGCATAGCGAATCATCGGTGAGCTGTAATTCGATGGCGAGTCGAGTGTATCGTCGTCCTGATAGTAGGGCTTTGTCCCAATTTCGCGCCTTGACACGGTCTTCCCATCCGATTTTCGATCACATCACTCTGCCGTCTCTAACAAGCCAAGTGGCACCGGATGAAAGTACTGTACAACACGGCCGTTGAGATCACCCAAATGATGGTTGGACGGCTGTTCATCTCGTTCAGAGAACAAGGTGCAGCGCAAGAGTGCCTCTCGAGCTCCACATGCAACTGTCACTTGTGGAGGTGAGGAGGATCAATGTCAACTTGTTCCTGACTTCCTGCTCCGAGCATACTTCGATCATAACATTATGCCTTTAGATCTCAACCGCTCCCTGCAAAGGAACCCGATGCGTTCAATTCCCCGCTGCTCCCTGGGGCAGGGAGCCAGTCCTATAATGTTGTTGGATGCATATTTCCAACTCTTTGTTCCTGTCATCTTTATCCAAGAACCTTCAGTCCACCCTTTGTCTTGGGTTGTTTCTTTTGCACACCACCATGCTCGACCTTTCCATGCCCACCCGCACCACCTTTGCCCTTGTGGCCGGAATGCTTCGAGTTTGTGGGTCGTACGTCCGTCACAGCTTTTTTCACCACAATCGGATGGCTGCCAACATACTTCCCATTCATATCTCTTGCAGCTCGGAAGTAATCGTCGCCATCAGCGAAACTCACGAACCCATACCCCTTGGATTTGGTAGTGCGTTTGTCTCGGATCACGCGAGCTTTCTGGACAGAGGGATATTGTGCAAATGCTTTTAAGAGCGAGTCATCGGTTACTTCGCCCGCGAGATTGCCAACGAAGATACGGAAATGTGCCGGATCCCACTCCAGGAGAGTCGGATCAGTCCAGCTTGTACCGCCACCGGAACGGTAGACTGTTTTAGCGACATCGTCTTTTTGCTGAGTTGTGGGCTCTTTATGTGACGTATTCGTTACTGGGTTTGTGTTTGGAGGGGCTCCCCCGGTCGGTTTGGGTGTGGACGTGGTACTCGCATCTCTGCTCACGTATGCGCTTTGCCATTGTTGGACCTGAGCCTCGTAGTCGGCATCGAAGCCTGAATATGGGTTCGCCGAGGAAGACGCCTCTGGCGTTGGCACGAAAGGGTTGCGGATCTGAGGAGCGCTCGAGTACGTTGCATCATATTGAGGAAGTGATGTGGGTTGCGGATACTGTGCAGCCGGACTGTAGGTCGTTACGGGTGTGGCAGCATAATGAGCTGGACTGCTGGTGCGATATGAATTCGCTATCGACCTTGGAGCGAATGCCGTGAAGGCCGGCTTCGCAGTGGCGGCGCTCGAGGATGGTTTGAAGGCTGGTGAGGGGCCGATTGCAGAGGGCGGCGGTCGCGCAGGGAGTGAGGCCGGAGGTTGAGAAGTATTGAGACCTGGAGGGGTCGGATACGACATGATGAATGTTTGATTCTGGCAGTGAACACCACTGGTTGATTAGACGTACCAGAAACCTCTCAAGAGGTTAGTCTTGGACCAGCGCAATTGGTCTTGGACGACTCTCGAAAATGCTTGGTGTAGAACAAAATCCAATTGCTGCAGAGATTACACGCTGTAGCAGGATATTTTGACAGTCTGAAGTAGGCTGAAGGTGGTGAGTGGGTTGAGGTGTACAAGGTAGATCTATCGAAATCTGTAGAAAAGTGTTTGGCTATCAACCACCGAAGCCTTGTGAGGTCGACGGGCCCAACTGCCAACCGAGAGACCTACCTGGAACAGAAGGTCTCCCGAAGACACTAGGTCACATATAGCGTAGTCCAATAAGAGATACACGTGATAAGTCTTGGCATTGGCACTTAGGGCGGAGGCTGTTTGTTAGCCAGGCTCCGAGATCTTAGTCATGTCGAGCATGGGAGAATAAGAAGTCGATCAGATAAGAGTTCAGCAAAAGGTTCAACTTGGGGCGTCACACGTGGGTCGATCACTCATGAACGGAGAACGGGTGCACGGTGCATTGTTCGTTCTACTCGTCTGCGAGCAGGCTCCTCTGCGACGAGGCGCAACCCCGGTTGTTTTCGGACACCTCGGAAGAACCATCCCGGAAGTCGCAGCTGGCCATCAATCGTGGTTCAGGTGTTGGATCTCTCTGATGTGGAAGAATGATTCAATGCTGAGTCACCTCTCTCCTGGTTATTCACGAATCCCAGAAGCACATGGTCTTGAGCCAGATTGTTGCTGGCTTATTGCATCTGTTCTACGATATCTACGTAATCCGCAGCAAGAGCAGAGACTCTTGATTGGGGAACTGACCGTGCATCGATGAGTGGTCAAGACGGCTAGTCCCAGTGGCACAAGTAGTCAGCCGGTGGAGGGCGACTCAGTACCCAAAGCTTCCGAACAAGTGCTGGAATAGTGGGTGACTGCGGTACCAACTGCCCCTCCAACGAGAAGAAATTTGTTTGGTGGGGTTGAGGCCGTGCCTGAGCGGTAATCCATGCCCATTGCCAGCTGGAATCGACATATTATTACTGCCTTTCCCCTGGCTGCATCTTTCTCTTCTCTTTCTTGACGTTCGTGCCTCTCGTCTTTTTCGGTGCATTAGACAGAGACTCGATTGCTGCTTTCATACTTGCTCCTCAAATCCTGTTGAACCGTCTATTCATACCTAGATTTGTTTACTCTTCACTTCAACTCTACCGTCAACATGTCTGGTCCAGTGTACGTCCTTCCTCCCTTGGTTGCGCAGGCACCCCAGTAATTTTCTTTCTCTCCTTTTCTTCTACCAAGAATACACTGCAAAGCGTTGTTCACCGCGGCATAAGGGTACACCCGATTGACGAACAGGATGCTGACTTTAGAGCGCGACTGGCTGGCCTCCAGGTCGGCCCAGCGCAGGCCGAACCCAGTGGTGATTTCGGTCTTATTGGCCTTGCGGTCATGGGCCAGAACTTGATCTTGAACGCTGCCGACCACGGTTTCACTGTCGTTGCCTTCAACCGAACTGTTTCCAAGGTTGACCGCTTCCTCGAAAATGAGGCCAAGGGTACGGAACAACCCCCGCCTGTACATAAGATCGTACTAACCGACCGTGCACAGGCAAATCCATTGTCGGAGCCCACTCGATCGAGGAATTCGTCTCCAAGCTCAAGAAACCCCGCCGCATGATGCTCTTGGTCATGGCTGGTCCTGCCGTCGACGACTTCATTGAAAAGCTGCTCCCCTACTGCGACAAGGGTGATATCATCATTGACGGCGGTAACTCCCACTACCCAGACAGCAACCGCCGCACAAAATACCTGGCGGAGAAGGGCATTCGCTTTGTTGGAACTGGTGTGTCCGGTGGTGAGGAAGGTGCCCGTTATGGCCCTTCTCTGATGCCTGGTGGTAACGAGGAGGCTTGGCCCTACATCAAGGACATCTTCCAGAGCATCGCTGCCAAGTCCGACGGTGAGCCTTGCTGCGACTGGGTTGGTGATGAAGGTGCTGGACACTACGTCAAAATGGTCCACAACGGTATTGAATACGGTGATATGCAACTGATCTGCGAGGTAAGTCGACTCGAAGCCAACTACTGGTGGAACGTGTAGCTCTAACCAAGTTCAGGCCTACGACATCATGAAACGTGGCCTCGGTATGAGCTACCAGGAGATGGGTGACGTTTTCGCCGAGTGGAACAAGGGTGTTCTGGACTCGTTCCTGATTGAAATCACTCGAGACGTCCTTCGCTACACCGACGATGATGGCTCGCCACTTGTTGAGAAGATTCTTGACTCTGCCGGTCAGAAAGGTACCGGCAAGTGGACCGCCATCAATGCTCTTGACCTGGGCATGCCTGTCACTTTGATTGGCGAGGCCGTCTTTGCTCGCTGCCTCAGCTCCATCAAGGAAGAGCGTACGCGTGCTTCCAAACTGCTTGATGGTCCCAAGCCCTCTTTCACTGGAGACAGGGCTGCTTTCCTCAAGAACCTCGAGCAAGGTCTCTATGCTTCCAAGATCATTTCATACGCCCAGGGTTTCATGCTGATGCAAACTGTAAGTCAATGACGGAGTTCTCTTGGTTCTGGGTACTAAGTCGGTGTGACAGGCTGCCAAGCAATACGGATGGAAACTCAACAAGCCATCCATTGCCCTCATGTGGCGTGGTGGTTGTATCATTCGATCCGTTTTCTTGAAGGACATTACCTCGGCCTACCGTTCTGACCCTAACCTCGAAAACCTGCTGTTCAACGACTTCTTCAACAAGGCTATCCACAACGCCCAAGAGGGCTGGAGAGATGTGATTGCATTTGCCGTCAAGGCTGGTATTCCCATGCCGGCATTCAGCACTGCCTTGGCCTTCTTCGACGGTTACCGCACCAAGGACCTCCCTGCCAACTTGCTCCAAGCTCAACGTGACTACTTTGGTGCTCACACCTTTTTGGTCAAGCCCGAGTATGCCAGCGAGAAGTATCCCAAGGGCGAGCACATCCACGTCAACTGGACTGGCCGTGGTGGAAACGTCTCTGCTTCCACCTACAACGCCTAGACGTATCGTCGTCTTTCTCTCCACCCTCTGCCTCTCTTTTGCCTGTCCTCTAACGTAGCGTGGAGAGACGGGACTTTGAACCCATGTCCGTGCAGGCTTTGTTGTTATGCATGGCATATTTAGCTCGGAGGGCTTCAGGATTGCATCTTAGGCATAGATAGTGTTCATAATTGGGCCTTTTTTTTGTGCCTGGAAAATAAAACTTGATCCTGGGACCACGAGCTGCACGAGCTCCGGCTTTCGGTGAAACTCGAAGCTCCGGTAGACCAATCATACGAGGCTCGTATTCCGCCCCAATTCGAGCGTCTCCGTTTCCCCTTCTCGCCAAATAACTTCGTCCACGACAACTGCGAACCGCACCCGTCGGTTGCGGCTCCTCGCGCTCATCAACTTTGTGAGTTGTTTGACCACAGGCTTCATTTCTCTCTCTTTCGCTTCGCTTTCTTGTCTATTCAATTTCACAAAAGCATTGGCATAGGGCGCCTGGCGTATCAATTTGGCATTGGATTTTGCGCACCGCAGCACTGTGACTGCCGGCACGAGCCTGGCCGGGTCAGTGCCTTGTTTCGACCTTGACCTGATTTCGTCTATTTCGTGGCCCACGCCGCAATTTTCTTGTGACTGTCCACATTCGCACTATCTGCGCGACAAGCACGGAGGGTGATAGCTTCTCGTGAAGTGTTACTGAGGACCTGGCCTTCTTCAAGTCTTTGCACGATGATGGCCGACGGTAGACGCCAGAATGCAGGAACAAGAGTGCCAGTGGCTCTGCCCAAGGGTGAGCAGACTCAGCCCGCAGTCTCTTCGGTGTCTCAGGACGTCAGTTTGCAATTGGCAATTGGAAGCCGGTAAGACTGCGCTCGTCAGAATTTGCGTCTGGGGTTACTCACACCTGTCGCAGCGTCCGCCTTACCACCACCGCGCCGAACCAAACCACGGTGGAGGGTACCGTCTACACGGCTGATCCTCTGACCAACCTTCTCGTTATAACCACCACTGCCAGTTCTTCCGCTATCACCTCCTCGTCCCTCGTCGCACCAGCTGGAACCTACCGAATCATCCCGATTTCGCAGATCAGCTCCTTTCAGCTGCTTTCTCTTCCTCAATCCTCGCCGGTGTCTGCGAACAGCTCGGCCCTCAACACAATCGACACCAATGCTGTGCAAGGGCGACTTGTAAGGAACATAGCCTCTCAACAAGCAGCACAAGCGCGCGTTGGTCCCAAAGGCACAAGCCCAGTCGATCAAGCGCTGTTCGATGCCCTCTCGCGAACACATCCTGCTCGGTGGTCGGGCAACATGATGGTCATCTCAGATACTTTCTTGATTGATAAACCATATGGCGCGGCCAATGTCCGGCACGCGGAGGGGAGAGACGGCGATCTGGATCGAATGAAGAAGGTGGTAGACATGGAGCGGCAGAAGATCACACTGAGATTTGCAAAGGGGTCACTCGACGGGAAGCTAGGATCAGATGTTTCGCCTGTCAAAGCGCCGTCGCCTGCGGGCATGAAGAAGGGCGGCTAATGGGGATGGGTAGAGTCAAAAGGCCAATGTCTGGTATTCTATGAAGAGAGGAGAAAGCGACAGGGACGGTTCATTGTGCGGAATCTCGCGCAGGGCCAGGAACAAGCATTGACGGACTTTGAATATGAGCCGCATTGTTTGGGGTCAACATCAGGATATCAACCGGCGTCATACAGCACTAACAAACTTTAGTGCAGCAGTTGACCGTAGCTTGTTCTGCCTGTCGGTGCCCTCGGGTCAATGATTCGGGCATTGATTTGGAAGCACCGAGTGGCGGAGTAGGCATTGATCAAGCAGGATAGCGCGCCACGATCTATCTCCATGAGAATTGGAGCGAGAATAATTCTCCAGGTCGTTGTGCACTGGGCTCGACCAGCTATGCGCCCATAACAAGACTCTACAAATGTGTGCATCTCATATAACCTATATTGAACTGGACCGTGAGACGTGGAAATACTGGCAAAATATGCATTCTACACCCAGTAAAATATCCCTCCACTGTAGTACAAGTGCTTGTACCGAGCAGCAAAAGCCTGTTGTGGGGCAGGGCGGAGCCTCTTCGGGGATTCTGGGGACTGCCCCCCTTTTCGCGAGTCAGCCTCGTCACACGGTGCAGCATGTTCAGACAATGAGGGTGGAGTGATAATGAACGATGAATGAGTGAATGAGGAAGGAAAATTGTATCTTGGCTCCCCGTGGCCTTTTATGTTGATGCTTCACTGCAGATTCTGCGTAAATTTGAGATTGTAATTTCATCACACTCCGCCCGGCATGGTTCCCTTTTGCTGCTAACCAGCCAACAAGCTAAAGCCAACAATGGATGAATGAACGACTGAACCGCTCCCTCCCCTCTCCCATATATGTTTGTGGTTAGGTCATGTCATGTCGTGTCATATCAGATCAGATCAGATCAGGCCAAGTTAGACCATCGCACCACCGACTAACCCGACCACAGCGACGACAAAGACCTCTTGCGAAAGTCCCTTTTGTCCAGCCCTGCCACCAGCACCAGCACTACTCGTTGCGCTGGCGACCGAGGCCGTCGCACTGGCCTGGGATCCTGATCCCGTTTCTGTACCTGTGGTTGTTGCCGCCGCGCCCCCGTCGCCGCAGTACTTCGAGCTGAGGGACATGATATCGCTGGTGGAGGGGATGCTGTCGCCACAGATGGAGGTGTAGCAGCTATCGAAGACGGCCGACATGTCAGTATACAGTGACCTCCAAAGGGTGAGGGGCAGCTCCATAGCTTGGTTGTGATTACCTGAGCGCAGCGCGGACATAACTGCATTCACACGAGCTGAGGACTTTGAGATCGGTGAGGGTCGTGGCGCATTGCACGACGGAGCCGAGACATTGGAGGACAGATCTATACACCAGGAGACAGATAGATAAGTTGTCAGTCAGTGTTTGTCCGATGGATAATAAAATTGTTGGATTTGATCCGTTGCTATTGTCCAACTTACGCGGGACCAGGGGATCCTTCGGTGGTGCAGACCATCTGCGCCGAGACTATCTGGACGGTGGTGACGGCGGCGAGAGGCACGCTCAGGAGTGGATGTGATAGTCTCATCTTGAAGATAACAACAGGGAGAACCAGGAATACCAATCTGGAGGCCAATGGAGCATATACCTAGTGGCAGGACGCAGGAGGTAGGTCTTTCTTCTTGCAAGGATAACAGCGAGAAATGGATGGGGGAGATGAACAGACAGATATCAGGCATATATAACTCACACTCACACTCACATACCTGGTTAGACATCTGGGCAGAGGGGGTTCTTCCAGCCGATACGATACAGCATATGTCGTAGACAGACCATGTCTTGTCTTTTTTCTGGCCATCCTATCACGCTCCCTCTCATTTACCACCACCCGTCCCCTGAAAGGGTCTGTTTTGTGAAACCGGACCACTTTTCACGAACATGACCATGACCACTCCCACGACGGTGACGGGACGACAGAGAGTTCGAGACACGAGGCTCGAGGCCCAGACTTATACGAAAGTGGCTCGCTCGCCCGGCCAAAGGGGCTGAGAAACCATGGGACTCGCCTGGTCTTTAGGAGACCTGGCACCTGGCCAGCACCGAGTAAGGCTGTGTGTGAGGTGAGTGGTTCTCACATCCAGTACTGGATATACTGGACTTCTCCAGCGCCCAAAAAAATAAAGTTCTCTGAATACGATCTATCACTGCAATCTATTCCCAAAGAAGATGCCACTCCGTGCCGTCCTGCATTGCAGATACGGTCAGGGTCAAAAATTCAGGGTCAGAGTCATGGCTGTATTCTGTATCAACTGTACCAAATTATATCAATCAGCACGAGCAGTTCTCTTTTTTCCTTCCCGTCGGCGAAATAACTTGATGCCTTGGAGTATCTAGAACCCGATGGTGGCGGGAAGTCCTGGTTGTACGGACTAATCAAAGTCGAGGAGAGCCTCGTGTCTGATATGCAGCCAAGAAAAGCTTCTCTATGACAAGTCAATCACAAAACCTCTCTGAGGCAAGTTTCCCTAGACATGAGAGGGGGTGTCGTCTCTCCCAATGGATTGACGTTCGACGTTCGTGTTTCCTCGTGTGCGGCTGAGAACCTTACAAAGGTACCTCGTCCCTCTCCCACTTAACCCTCGCCTTACCCGTGTCTCTAGGTATTCAGTCGAAACCACGACCTCTCCCCATTCCTTTTCAGCTGAGCGAGCGAATACGAGAAGGGTTTCTTTCTGCATCAGTGGGTGGTTTCTTCCCCCAAGAAAATAGTCGACGGGGAAAAAGTATAAACGATGGTTTTGTATTGTCAAAAGGCCAAAGGCAAGCCACTTACATACTCGGGCGGGTCATGGATAGGATAGGGCTGCTTTGCTGCCCGCGCTGCCTCGAAAACGGGTCTCCCTTGCTCGCTCGCTCGCTTGTGAGGTAAGGCGAGGCGAGGCAAGGCAAGGCAGACTCGCATTCTGTGACTTTGTCTTTCCCATGTTGACGGGTTGGCTTTGATGCTAATACTCTTCCATGTTGTCCATCCCCACTGTATCCATTTTCCCGTGGCCACTGTCCACTGTCCACGGGTATGAGAGGCTCGAAGGTATCTGCAGACAAGTCTTACCGAGTTGGCCAGCACTTGTCGAATGACTACCGGCAAGTTTGCTAGCTGTCTGGCCATCTACCTGGCCACCTTGCTTTCCCACATCGGTCACTGTGAATCAACCAACCAGGCCTCGATTTTCCCTCTACATTTCCATACCAACCGGCTTGTTCACATTCGTAACAGCACCAACGAAGAAAAACAAGCTCGCTGCTTGAGCCGCTAAGCTTTTTGAGTTTCTCATGGCATTGAGGCGAATGGGATGTCAGGACTTTTGAAGTCCACAGCTGCCAAAGGTCCCCCCCTCTCGCGGTGTGGTATCGTTTTGGGACAGGCTGTGCTGGAGGGTGAGTGGGATGAGCCGCAACGAGCTTTAGGAGAAGGGACTGTTGATGTGAGGTCGCTGGAGCTGGAGGAGGGGATAAAGAGATATATATCTGCTTCTGGGACTCACGGGCAGTCTCTTCGGTAGTGCTTTGTCAAACCACAATGGCTACTACACTTTGCAGGATGATATACCTTTCCCTTTTCTTCCTCTATCTGGCCGTGGCAGACGCAGCCTGGATTGAGGCCCGCTCGAACCCCACCTTGCTCACGCCTCTGCAAGCACACGGCCAGCTCATGAAGCGCGATCTCTCGACCCCTTCGAACTCTTGCCTACCTGCCCTGTCAGCCACTTCGTGCGACGGCTTGACAGGCTGTGCCGGTACGTTTGACCCATACTCTTTTCGTCCTGTTGCGTGGTGCTGGCACTGACCACGATCCCCTCTCTTCCAGCATACTGTTGCCCAGCGGACCAAGAGTGCTGCAATGCGCTAGGCTGTCGACCTAAAGACAGTGTCAAGTGCGTGACGGGATACGCCACCGACGGCTGGGAATGCTGCGGTACCAGCTGGCAGTATCCCGCGAGCCAGGGAGCCATCTGCTGCGGCGGGTCGCAGGGCTACTGGTGTCCGGCCGGCTATCAGTGCGTCAAGCACCTCATTGTGCAGTATAGCTGCTGCACCGATGACTCGTGCAATGTCTACTGGAACGGCACCGACGCCGTGACAGTGTCGACCTCGTCCTCGTCGACAACAACATCGTCGGCCGAACCCTCCCTCCCACCAGCCACCACCATCTCCACGCTTCCAGAAACCGTGCCACCGGGATCGACGACGCCGCCGTCAACAAGCAAGAAAAGTACGTCGTCGAGTAAGACCAGCAGCGTTGCTCCATCTTCGACACCAACCAAATGCAACCCTTCGGGCCCTCAACCGACCTTCGTCCTGCAACAGACAGCCAGCACAGCCAAGGAGAACGGAACCTATGCGCTCCTCTCCAAGGTCGGCGGCGGCCGGGACAAGATCTCCTTCGGCGGGACGGCGGCCAACGCGACAACCTTCACGTTTAACCAGGCGTGTGGCCTCGTGGGGTCTGCCAGCAAGGAAGTCGCAAGCCTCCATCCACCCGTCAACGCGACGGGTGCCGCCATGACCTTGTTCTTCGACGCGCCCGCCAACATCACCGCGCTGGATTACACAACGGCCACGTTCGACGTGGTAGACAGTGCATTGACGTGCAAGGTTCAGAACGTGGCCGAAACCTGGTTCTCCTGCAATGGGATACTCGCGGTCGGGGCAAAGGCCGGCAGCGGCTGCGTCAAGATTGGGTTGGCGCCGCATTTTGTAAAGGGCTGAACTAGGATCATATGTTGTATTGTATTTAGGATTCGTAATTCGCTTTTACCTTAGTAACTATTCTTTTCCACTTGTGAAGAGGGACGGTATAATGCATGCTTTGGCTCCTGGCTGCACAGAGCGCCCATTCCAAACAGGCTATCCCATCCCTAGTCAACATATTATTTCCAAACCATTGCAGAAGAGATTTCCCATGATTTTCCATGTAGCAGTGCTACTATCGTGACAGTGCCCAATAAAGTATGCCACTCGAGGTCGGCATCATCCCAATATCCTCGTAGCAGATACTGGTCGATGGTTGAGTATGGTCTCTCCCTTATATTTCCGTCAGAAACTCAATCGCTGCGTCAACATCCAGTCTTTTCGCTCACGCTCCACCATATATAGACACCATAAAGAAGCCTCAGCCACGGCACCAGCAGCGAAAACCACGCGAATGTGAGGCGTCTTTCCCAAGAGTCCTTTGGGTCACTGAGAAGAGCGTGAGCTTGCCTTGGTCGATACCCTCGGAGCGTGACGAGTCTGGCATGGATCAGATTCGCCTGAGTCATCAGCAGCATCACCGAGACCGCCAACATTGCCAAAAACCCTACCAAGATATCCAGCAGACGGTGTTTCTCTTTCACTTGCCAAGCAACCAGAACTCCCACCCGGTGCGCTAGAAAGAATTGGAGACAGTACAATAGAATGCCTTTGAGGAATTCCCGGTGAAAATGGGGAGAGGCTGTTTTTGGTTCGTGTTTGACGTTGTGGTGCGTCGTAGATTCCTCGTCCGGGAAGGAATGTCGAGGGTTGGGCAGCTCGATGGTGACGCCAGCCAGATCCGTACTGTCTGCCTTTCTCATCGAACTATCCGCAGATGCTGGCGAGATTAAGTCGTACTCCATAGTAGTGTCGTCGGTAGAGGGACGTTCGCTTTCTTCTATCTTCTTCAGTGCTTCGTCCGGCGCAAGTGGTTGACTCTGCACCAGGCTTGTCACTCTGTTATAACAGACAAAGCTGAGGAGGAATATTAAGAGAGGGTAGATGGCGACGATCCAAAGGGTTGGGTTCTTGGTGTCGTCAAGCCAGTCTGAGATTGACATGGCTATTCGAGTTGGTCGTATTATCTCTTGTGTAGATTCGTTGGAATAGTCTCAAGTCTTCTCCCAAGACACAAGAGAGATAGTTATTTACACGGACAGACTGAAGAAGATGCTTTTGAGCCGGTTGCTGTAAAGAGTTGGAAAGTCGAATGATGAGGCAGGAGGGTTGCATCCCAGCCTCATGTGCCACCTTCTTCTGCCAAGCCCCGCCGCATCACTTCAGGTTGATGGCGCCTTAAACGTTTCAGGCTGCACCTCACAAAGAACCATCGATCACCCGATCATACATAAGCGCCGAGGCGTATTTCTTCATCATATTGGCTGGCAGCGCCCTCTTCGCGGCTATGCTATCCTAGGGAAAAATGATTGGCGCGATAGCTGCGGTCGTCAGGTCTGCAGCAGGCTATCACTCCTCCATTGGTATGGCATCCATAGGCGACTCGTTCCTCAAAGACTACTATATGGTCAAAAAGCCTACTCAAAATCGAGAAACTCCTGGATTGGGCCATATGCCACAGCCCATGTGACAGTGCCCTCTTCGAATATCCAGGAAGGCCTGCATGGACCATGGACACAGACCAGGGTTGACAGCCTTCGGAGTCTCACTTCTACGTCTATGCCTTATCAGCCTTGGGCTCTCCGGCCTGCCTTCGTCACACTGATGATCCTTCAACAATGATTCTACTGACTTGACCATGTATTCATCGATGTCATGAAATATATCACACAAGATGTGTCGTTTAGATCCAGCCTTTTGTAAGGAGTTCGGGTCTACGCGGACCAAGAGCAGTTGTCTGCCTCGACGTTGCAACCATACAAGACTGACCCCCGAGGCTAATGTGTCGCAGCAGATATTTATCCCGATAGCCCGTCAAATATAACTCCAGAACCGCCGTACACCTCTGCAACCATCATATTTGAGACAACCTTTTGTCTGAGCGGCCGGCCGTCCAAGTGACACTGCGGCACTGGCAGAAAAGCCGCTGTTAGAATGTCGACATATATAATGCAGGCATCGATTCAAAGTCAACGGGGCTATCAACCAAGGCAAATCTCGAAGAACCGCACTAGACATTCACAAAGTCCTTTGAGCCTCAAATTCTTGATACCCTGTCCTAAGAATAATTGCAGGAGCCATGAGAAATTACATTGAGCCCCTAGCTCTTTTCATCTGCCTGATTTCCAACGTCAAAGCCTTCAAAGTTTCCTTTTACAAGAACACCAATTGCGCAGGTGAATTCCTGGGAACATGGGTTGGAGGAGAAGGCCAGGGTTGCCGTCAGGAATACGCGTAAGCATCACGACAGGATCAAAGTTGGGCATTGAAACCTAATATATTTTAGCGGTCTTGCTGAGGGAGTTGTCGTCGAATCTACTGGATCAGTCGATGATTTTACGACCGTGCAATTCTATACCTCGGACGACTGTACACCAGGAACCGAAGTCAGTCAGGCTGATGTAGGATGTCTCACTGTTGACCAAGCCGTCGTCGGGGCATACAAGTCATTCCAGGTCATCCACAGCAGTCCATTAGCCTCAAATTCAGCATCCAGGCGTCGATCTCCTATCAACCGTCGGTACCCCTTCCCGCTGGCCTCTACCACCGAGACGGTCCCTCCACCCCCAACGATTTACCATGGAATGGAACTCTCATTTGACGGCACAAGTTACAAATTGCATCAGATACATGCCAATGGCTACATAGGCATACTACCAGATGAGTGGGATGACGCGATCCACACCATGAACAACGCCGAACTGGTCCCTTATGGCCTGTTCCCAAACATTACAGGCCGGGAAGTGGACCAACGAGACTTGGTTTCATCCTTGTGCGAAACATTTGCCACATGTGTCTCGGCAGCGGCAGAGCATGCAGTCAGTCTCAGGGATGCCCTCGTCCCGTATTTCAACCGGGTAAGGACTGCAGCACAAGCTCGTGGGCAGACGGCCTTCGAATTCTTAAAAGGCCCTTTCTTCCAACAAGTCGCTGTCGGTAAGTAAACTACCCCCGGCGCTGTGGCGTTTGCAGTACCAAGACGAAGAGACGCGACTCTAACGTTTCAAAATGCAGATACTGTCGCTGGACTGGCTCCGGCTGTCGTTGGAGGCGTTGTTCAAGCTGTGGTAGGAGCCCAGGTGGCAGGCAACACAAACAATGCTGCATCTTGTTCTCAAGAGAAAGATCAAATCGACGCCCTCATATCGATTGTGCAGTCTCAGATATCGGCGCTGGACGCGGCTTCAGCAAAAATAACAGCTCAGCAGAATGATGCTGGTGACGAGGTTTTCACAGTGACTGTTACGGTTGTGGCCTGCGGTACAAGCCTCGTCGGCGCCAACTGCGGCGTCCCTGCTAGTTTCTGCCCGTCCTAGGAAAGGGACTTTGGAGCGTGGAGTCTCACTACCATCGCGTCCATTGTGATGTTTCAGCGGGAGTTGAGGTATTTGGGTCATGGCGTCTGTTGTTGAATCCTTGTCATCAAGCAACAGGACGAGTGCCGGAAAGGACTGAGCGATGCATGTACCATTATTTCCCCTTTTGTCTTGAACATTTGTGTTCAGAGTTAGCTTCCGCATTTTCCTGGTCGTTGCACTGTTGGTACTTGTGTTCTGAGGCTGTCGTTTACGAGCAGGCCAAATTTGAACACATGGACAGGATCAACATGGCCTCATATTCCGGAAGTTTGACCATTGTAAACGGCACGGCAAAAGGGGGAATGCTATACGACATATGAGGTACAAGTACGGAGTTACTCAGGCATGTCTGTACCGTGTAGATCTGACGTCTCGGCCTCTATACCCTCTGCGAACCAATCAACGTCATCCGTCGCCCACACCGATCCAGCGTAATAAACATGAATACTCGGTACAGGGAGCCCTTCCCGTCCCACGCTAGCTTGGACGAACCTATCTGCTTTGCTTTGCTTTGCTCTACTTTTGCTCTACCCTTGCACTCCTTCCTATGTACCGAGTATGTATGTGTTTACTCGACACTAGCATGGCGCCCACACCCGCCCGGCGTTTCATCAATTGTGTCTATCTACCTGTCTGGAACCCAGGATAGTCAATACAAGATTTTGTGGATTTGATTGTTCGACAAACCCCTCAGCAGAGTCTTCGCTAATAGGGCAGAGTAACTGACTTAGGGAAACAGAACAGGTCCACGCCTCCGAGGGGGACTCGGCTTGAAGGGCGGTATCTCCAGATTGAGATGAATGCCCAACGAATGGCGGAAATTACAGTTTGATGACGGCAGAAAGTTGAGGTGAAATGTAGTTCTCATTATTAGTCTTTTGTCATAGGCAGACTCATACAATAACCCAGCTCACGCGAAAAGATATCTATTCTATATTTTCCTTTCCCTTCGCCGAGGCGATTGGTACATTGTTCGGTGGAGGTTCTGCTCTCGAACCCGAGCCGGAACTGGTAGTCGGGTTGCGCGCTGCACTCGTGTTGTCATCGAGTTGAGCAAAATCGGTTGCTGCTGTATTGCCCAACTCATCTTCGTCTTCGTCATCCAACTCGCGATACAGCTGCTCGTCCTTCTTCTTCAACTTTTCCCTCGCCTCTTGTCTCATTTTGACAATCTTCAAGTAGTTATAGCTGGCAATGCTGATAATGGTGATGATCAACCCGGTAATGTTAACCATCGACAGCTCGTCATGGAAAATAATTCCTGCGGCGCTGATGGTGACCACCTCTTTGAAGATGCCGCATATACTGAGAGTAACGACACTGGTGCGCTGGAGTAATGTGAACTCACTCGCGATCATGCAGAAGGCGATGCATCCCGGAACCACCAGAAGAAGTAGGGCTTTGACGATCCCATGTTCCCTAACCAGGAGAACGATACCCGTGATAACTGCGGATGGAGTTTCAGAGACGCATGCGATGAAGAACAGCGTGACAAACATGATAGGAGCGATGAAAAACATCGTGGCGAATGGATTAGAAGTTGCAGGATGACGGAGGAGTAGGATCTGGGTCAGAGCCCACCGGAAGCCGGAAAAGAAGGACGCCGACATGGCTAACGCGAAGCCAAGAGCATGAAAGGCTGTTTCGCCGGCGACCATCATGAGAACGCCAAAGGTCATGGCGAGAATAATGAGGATGAGTTTGAGGGACGGCTTTTCCAGGCGGAAGAGGAACGCGAACACAAGGACAAAGATTAAGACGGAGGATTTACACATGGTGTAGAATGTTAAGGTGATGAAGCGAAGAGAGGTGTTGCCTAGGCCGATGTCGAGAGACGTCGTCGTTCCCGTGGGCACCAATCGGGTGATATAGAACAGAGGGGTGATCAGTGGTTTCGAGGGTTGTGTGTCGTCCCCGAATGCTGGCGAGTGGGGTTGAGAGGGCCGTAGCGAAGGGAATATCAGAAGGACAGAAGAGGCTAGGATAAATTGCACAACCATGTGTAACGAGGTTGCGAAGAGCGGAAAGTGGAAATCGAGATGGTCGGATGAGAACATCATCTTATTGTACTGCTCGCTGGTCAGCCACTTCCAGACACCGATGTTTCGAGAGAGACTCACAATGGATATGGCCAGAGAGAAGAAATACCACAGGAGAATGAAGACGCCATTGATGACCAGGTTGCGGACGACATTCTTGTCTGCCTCACGTGCCTCGTCTTTGGATATACCCGTGGTGCCCGCGATTCTGGCATCGAGTCCCTGCCGCCGCCTCTTTCTTTTGTTGTATTTGCCTCTTTCATGTTTGTTCAAACCGCTTTCTCCGTCATCATCGACATCGACATCTGAGTCCAACAGCCCTAACTCGTGTTCTTCTGATTCTGACATGGAGGAACCTGCCTCATCTTCTGAGCCTTCGCTTTTCGTGTCGGAGATGGAGCCAGTACCTCGCCGTTTGTACTTACGACGAGGGTTGATGAATAGAGGATCCCTGTCCGCAGGAGTCGTCGGCGGAACGGTGGAAGGTCTTGAATCGTGGTCACCGTAGGATGTGGTATCCATGGACAGGATGCGAACGATGAAAGGGAGGTGAGCACGTGGAAAGGGGCGACTACTGCAAAGTCATTGGAAAGAGGACATGTGACGGAAACGGCGGTGGTATGTATGACTGAGTAGTAGTCTGAGATCCAAAGTAAGAGGAGGAGAGTAGATAAGATGACAACGGCGCAAACGTGCAGCGGATATGGGCAGATCCGAGATGACGGTTTGCGATGAATGAGGGTTGCCCTTGACTGAGAAACAGGGGGTGACCAGGGGTGAAAGGGAGATCTTGGTGTCAGCGAGTCAGATTGCCCAACATGGAAATAATAGAGCCGTTTGAGCTAGCACGTGATGAGATCGACTTTTAGTGCCGGAACAATTTATCCGAGGCTCTGCACAACTGCCTCTAGACTCGCACCAGCTCCCACTACTCCACAATCAGCTCCAAGTTGGATAGATTACTTCATCCTGCGTGTGAGTAACACTAGTGACCGATCAGTGGTCGACAAGTATCGAGTTGATGAATCAGGCAAATAGCAGACACCCAATTCTTGGTTCTGGGCATCAACTTCTCCCAAGTCTGCCTCCCCCTTCCTTAGTCATCCGTATTTGTCTCTTTTGGTATGTCCCCGTGATGCCATGCTGAAACCTTCGACTTGAAACTCTTCCCCAGATTCTTGTCTCTACTTCAGCGGCCTGGAACATCCCTCCTTGCTCTGCCATATTTCCCCCCAGATACTACGGCTCATCTGCATTCATCATGGGTGAATTGGCGCGACAAGCGAAACCCCTCCAGATCGAGGACTATGGCCTCATCGGTGATATGCGAACCTGTGCCTTAGTCGGAAAGAATGGAAGCATTGATTTCATGTGCTGGCCTCACTTCGACTCCCCGTCTATCTTTGCAAACATTCTGGACACAACTGAAGGCGCGGGAGGGCATTGGAAGATCAGCCCACAGAGCAGCTCTGTGTGTAAACAAAACTACCGAGCATCTTCCAACCTTCTCCAAACGAAATGGATAGACGAAGACGGGGTGGTCAATCTCACCGACTTCTTTGCGGTTTCAAAGCATAACAAAGTGCTGCGAGAGAAATGGAGCGGTTCGACCTTGGTGCGAAAGGTGGAGTGTGTTCGGGGGAAAATGTCCATCTATATCGAACTGTGTCCTCGCCCAGACTATGCACGAGATCAAGGCTTCATGAAAATCTCCGAAGTCCAGAGCGAGGAGGGCACCTATCACCAGACTCTAACTTGGGCTCCCAATAACAAGGACAAGGTTGGATCTGCCGACATTCCAGAATTTCACGCCAGCTTCTGCACCCACGACCGACCAGTGAGCTCACCACCCAAGATGTTCCAGCACGTCAAGCCCGGCGAGACTGTCGCCAGTGAGAGCAAATCTCCATTGTCGCGCGCCCGATTCGACCTACAAGAAGGCCAGCAGATCTTTATGATTATGTGCAATCGCCACGTCGCACCACATCTCACAAAGGACCTTATAATGAACCTCGAAAACGACGCCTACAGGTTCTGGACAAGCTGGGTGCGTGCGTGCCTTTACCGCGGCCGCTTTCAGCAAGAAGTCGAACGGAGCATGCTCATCCTGAAACTGCTGACCTATGACCCCACGGGTGCAATTGTCGCGGCACCGACCTTCTCCCTGCCCGAGGCCATCGGCGGACCGCGGAATTGGGACTACCGCTACTCGTGGGTCCGCGATGCCAGCTTCACCGTCTACGTGTTCCTCAAAATGGGCTTCCCCGCCGAAGCCGAAGCCTATATCAACTTCATCTTCGCCCGCATCGCGGAATGGCGAAAGAAAGCCGAAGCATCCAAAGGGGAGAGACACCATCTCCCTCTGATGTTTGGCATCGACGGCTCCACGAGTCTGCCAGAACTCACCCTCGATCATCTCGGTGGGTATCAAGAAAGTGTGCCCGTCCGCATTGGCAATGCCGCCACCGACCACGTCCAACTCGACATCTACGGCGAACTCATGGACTCGATCTACCTGTTCAATAAGCACGGCAAGCCGATTTCGTACGCCCAGTGGCTCGACATCCGCTACCTGACCGACTTTGTGTGCGAGATCTGGAACGAGCCAGACATGTCCATCTGGGAAGTCCGCGGCCGCAAACAGCACTTTACCTACTCGAAAATCCTACTGTGGGTCGCCGTGGACCGCGCCCTCCGCCTCTCCGAGAAGAGAAACTTCCCCTGTCCGAACCGCAACAAGTGGCTGGAGACGAGGGACACCATCTACGAGCAAGTGATGCAAAAGGGGTTCAACTACGAGATGAACTGCTTCGTGCAGAGCTACGAGTCGAACAAGACACTGGACTCGGCCGTGTTGATTGCGCCACTGGTCTTCTTCATGAGTCCGAATGACCCCCAGTTCGTCGGCACCTTGGATCGGATATTGCGGACGCCAGAGAAAGGGGGACTGACGAGTGCCGGATTCGTGTTTCGATACGATCATGAGCAGACTGATGACGGTGAGTGGATTCTCTTCTTTTTCTTTCTTGCACAGTTGTATCCCCTACTATGCTATCGACCACACACTAGCCCAGCCAATGCTAAACCTGGCTGGCACTCTGACAGGCGTGGGCGGCCGCGAAGGCACCTTCGTCATGTGCACTTTGTGGCTGATCGAATCCCTCATCCGCGCCGCCAAATACGACTCCAAGTACCTCGAGCGCGCGCAGACCATGTTTGAGACGGTCACAAACTTCCGCAACCACGTCGGTAAGTGTTTTCCCCTCCTTGACTCATATTCTCCTTGTGGCTTTGGGTGAGTTACTCGGCTGCTAATAACGTCGTGTCTGTTTGTGCTCCTTGCAGGCATGTTGAGCGAAGAAATCGCCCTCTCGGGTGAACAGCTGGGCAATACGCCGCAGGCTTTTAGTCACCTGGCGTATGTCTCTGCCGCGATCAATCTGGAGCGGGTCACTAGGGGGGACTTTGAGGGCGGGTTTGGAAAGTAGAAGGTAGAAACAACCTGGAAATGGTAGGGGTAGGAGTAGGGGTAGGGATTGGAATGGAACGAAAAACGGAAAACTTGGTCATGACAATCAATGTTGAGAATCTTTTCTTGTTCTCAGAACATCTAGCTCTCTTGTGTATCGATCGAGGTATATCTCGATCTGGTTCCATCTTCTGAGAACCTGTGTGATGCACATTCATTCATCCATGGAGACGATTTGTCTGTCTCTCTGCCTCTGCTGTGCTGTGCTGTGCTCTGTTGTGCTTTCCTGATACCTGGTACATGGTAGTGCGTACGTTTTCCTCCACCGAGTCCGTCCTGACTCTTTGTGTACAGCAATGCTACCTCATCCTTTGGACGATGTACCTTCTCTCCCTTCAGGGCCAGCCTGTGGGATTAATCTGTTGTTCCTTCCTCCTTCCTCCATCGAGTCCGTCCTGACTCTTTCCATGTACATACATCTGTTGTACGTCCCTCCTTATTCCTCCTCTGAAATGATTGATGAGTCGTCCGCATTTTCCTCAGCTTGCTCAGTTGCCGATGTTACGGCCTGATTTGCTTGTGCTTGTGGAGGATGGACTATCTGCGCTTGAAGGTGTTGAAACACCTGCGCCTGTGGTGCCCGAGGTGCTTGCCCTTGCTGAGCTTGAGCCATGTGAGCTTGCTGCAGTCTTGTTGACGGTAGAACACCTTGATAGTGACGTTTGGTCAAAATCTTCTTTGTGTCCTGGATTGGTTTTCCGTCCTGAATGTCTGAGCTGGCAATGCGTTTCTGAGGTCTTGGTAAGAGCGTCGGTGGGTTACCGATCTGGCCTCTCGGTTCTTGTTGGACTTCGAGATCTTGTGCTTGTTTCTTGTACAGATCTGCTTGCATGCGTGCTGCGTCCACTTGACCTTCCTTGAACTGTAAGTCGAGTTGCATGTTCTGGACCGACGCCTGAGCTTCATCGAGCTGCGTCTTCCAGTTTTCAGCCGCTTCTTGGGCTTGTTTAATGTCTTCTTTATCTTCTTCGAAGAATTCTTTGGCAAAAGCAACGTCCATGGCTTCGTCTGTCACTTGATCTTGAAGCTTCTTGTTCTCCGCCTCCAGTCTAAGCTTTTCTTGCTCGAGCTGTTCTTTGGTATCCCACAGATTCTGGAGATCCTGCGCTTGCGCTGCAATTCTGGTTTCAAGCTGCTGCTTTTCGATTGCGTGCTTCTTCATGTCTTCTGCATGTTCGCGGACCTTGTTCTCGAATATCTTGGTGATGGGAGTCTTGGTCGGTGTAGGGAAGGGTGAGGATCCTATGCGGTCTGACTTTGGTGTACTGACTGCAACTTCGGAATTCAACTTGTACTGGTCAATTTCTCGTCTCAAATCGCGAATTTCGTCGTCTTTGGACATGACCTGTTTCTGCAAGCTTTCGACTTGGCTGTTTTGCATGAGAACTTGGACATCTCTGTCACGCATCTGGAGCTCAGCTTTCAACTGCTGTTCGAGTTCCTTGTACGATTTCTCTTTCGTGTCCAACTGTTGCTTTGTCTCGTGTCGGAGTGCATAATATTGCTTTGCGCCGTTCTCGAACTTCTGCTGGATCTCTGCAAGTTTTGCCTTGGTGTCTAGGTTCTCGGAACGCAGTCTCGCCATGTCTGTCGAGAGTGCTTCCGTCCGTCCTCTCCAGTATTTCACCTCTTCCGCGACTGGCCTCTGTTGCTCGGCGCTCTCTTTGCATTGCTTCAGCTGCTCTAGGAGATTTGCTGCCTCCTGTTCTCGGTAGCTGATGAGCTGTCTGAGATGCTCCACGTCCCGCTTGCGCTGTTCCAGTTCTTGGCCGCCTTTGGTGTTCCAAGAGCGCAGCTCCCCTGCTTCCTTTAGGGCCTTCTGTAGGTCCCCATTGCAACTGACGAGGTCGTCCGAGGTCTTCTTCCATGCTTGCTGGTATGCTGCCAGCTCCTTCTCCTTCTCTCCAAGCGCCTCCTTGCTTGCGAGCAGCTCCATCTCCAAGTTCGCAGACGCGGCTTGCTGAGATTGGATGTCCAGACCGAAGCACTCGGTTTGAGTGCCTGCTTCATTGACAGCAACCGGTGGGATCACCGGAGATGCCTCAACAGCAGGATCGGTCTGGACACCAATCTCTGCGGTGTCCACCACGACAACCGCGGCGAAGACCTGGGCCTCCGCAAGCTGTGCCTTCAAGACGCTGATCTCAGCGTCCTTCTGTCCGCGAACCTGGTCCGCTGCTGCCCGTTCAGCCCGGGCAGCCTCCATCCTCACCTTCTGGAGGAGGGCTGACTCGGCGTCCCTCTCACGCCGAAGCACAGCAACCTCCTCACCAAGTCTCTGAGAAGCTGGCTTCTCAGATCCAAGGAGAGACTCGAGATCGCCAGACTTAGCTTCTTGAGCCTTCAGAGAAGACCTGAGTTTGTGAGACTCGGCCTTCTCAGCTTCAAGAGCTGTCGTCATGGCATTGACTTTCGAAGTCGCCGAAGCGACAACGGCCGTCTTCTCGGCCTCTAAGGCTCGGATCCGCCCATGTCTATGAGCGGTGGCAACCTCGACGTGCGCATCAGCGTCCCCGTCGCAGGCCTCAAGCTCAGCGATGCGGCCCTGGCGCTCCTCAAACGCCTCCCGCCATCGCTGGCTCTCCTTGTGCGCTGCCCGACAGTCCTGACGTAGCTTGCGGACAAGCTCGAGTTGGAACCAGTGCGGCTGCTCTCCAGAGAGCACCCGCTCACGGATCCAGATCCCTCGCTTGTCCTTGGGCTCCGCTTGGGACCGAAGGCGCGCAATCTCTGCTGCGAGCCGCGCATTTGTCTCGCGGAGCTGAGCGTTGTCCAGCAACGCCGCTCTGAGGGCTTCGCGGCCGCCCCTCAGGCGGAACAGAAGTTCCGAGGTTGAATTGACGAGGGCGGCGACGAATTGTTTGCGCTTTTGGAGATACCTCAAGACGGGTCGACTCATTGAGTCCCAGGCATTCTTGAGTGTACTCCAGTGTGGCCAATTGACGATCTTGGCGCAGAGAGATTTGAGAGAGCAAAGGAGGTGCCATGTGGTGCTGCAAAGTTTCCAGGCGACCAAAACCATGCCAAAGGCGATGGCGACGAGGTCGAAAGAGTCCTTGCACTTTTGCGTGCACCTTGACATGAAGGGGGTGACGAGGCGGTAAATTGTCGTAATGGCGCCACGCCCCTCTTGGAGGAAGAAGAAGGTGATGAGGATGTAACAAACGATGGTGGTTCCGGGTATTCCTAGCACGTGTGCCATGAGTAGCAACAGTGCACCCGCGTGAAGGGTCTTCATGATGTCCTTCAAATATCGTGACATCGCTTGTTGGAGTTGTGGGAGGCCAGCCTCCGGGTATTCTGCTGCCTCGTAGATGGCAGAGAGGATTTGATGGCGTGCGAGGTGGTAGATGAAGTAGAATATGCACAGTCTGGTCACCACCAGACCGTAGTCCTCCCAGGTGCTATCTTCGGCCATGGCGAGTTTCAAGAACTCCCACATGGAGGACGCTTGTTCTGGCACTGTTGCCATCTTGACAAGTTTGTGGCGGACTTGTCGAGGAGGAGGGTTCTTTCAGCAAATTGCTGACGGTGTTGTTGTGAAGGGTGTCTGGTCGAGGGAGGGAGAGAAGAGAGGAGAGTGGTGGCTGTGAGGTCGTGACTGGACCCAAGGAAGTGATCTTGCGATGAGACGGTTAGCTTCTGTGCAAAGAGCGTGTTTTCAAGTTCCATGAAGTCTTGAAGGTCGATGTGGTCAACTTACAGTGGTTGTTGATGTGGAGGGTTCAAACCTGAGGGGCAGACAGAGGAGGACAGGCGATTGAGGAGGAGGACAAAGAGGTGGCTTTGTTTGAAAGAGAGGAAATGTCGACGACGTGTGCCTGGTCAGATTTTTGATTGTGAAAATGAATAAATCAAGTCCGTGAATAGAAACTGAGAAAACGAAATGAATGAATGAATCCTTTGTTTGTTATTCACACGGCGAGTGAATTCAATGTCTTTTCCTGTTTCTGCCGGACCATTGTATTTTCATATCCTTTTCCCATGATACTCCTTGGCGGACCACACATTAGAGGCCATACAATTGAACAATATCAACCTGCTGTTCCCATTGTTGTGCTTTTCCATAGTGGTCACCGGTTCTACTGGTCGCCCAGAAGTGGTTGACGTTCCCCTTTTCCATTTCCGTGGCCTTTCTTCTTTTTCCGGTGCTTTTTCTTCTTGGAAGCATTATCCTGGAGTTGAGGAAGATCTTCATGACTGCCGCCTCGTAGTTTTACCCCCGACAAGTTTTTGCGTGCATCGTGCGTGTGGTGTCCTTTGTTGGCTCCTGAATTCTCTTCTTCCTCGTTCGACTCGCTGCTTGATGTCATCTCTAGAACGACCTTTCGGAATCCGTTAGTGTCAACAATGTTTTCTGTGATACTACCACTTCGAGCTGGACCCTTGGAGTGGTAATAGGGGCTTCTCGACGGTGTTCGCGAATTAGGCAAGCTACCAATTGTGCTCTGGCTTTCCGATGTTCTTGCGGGTGGGCGGGATTGTTCTATGTCTCTGGCTTCGGTGGTATGATGATTCGATTCTTGTTCGTGTGCCGAGTCGGTCTGTGATTCTTTAAAAGCACTGTGAGGCCTCCTTTCGTTCGGAGAGCCAGACAATGAGCCATAACCCTGTTTCAAGGCTTGCACGCCACCAGAGGCGACTTTACCACCCGAGTTGAGCATGCCTTCACCAATTCCGGTTTGGTATTCTGAGACGTTTTCGGAGATCCGTCGAACTGCAGTGGCTCGGGTTTCCTCCTCCTTGGGCGCTGTGCTGTTGCCAGGCTTGATTTTCACGGTGTTGTACCTCGTAGACCTTGGCCTGCTCGCTAGATTGGATGGCCCAAGATGTTTCAGGTGCTCCTTGAGTTCATCTGTGCTTGCAGCTCTTCGGCCAGCTTTGCCATCCCCGCCCGCGCTGTTTCCTCCACTCGAGCGTCTCCTAGCACCCGGCGGTCCCTTTACCTTCTGTGGTGGATTATCCGCTGTTTTCGCCCTCTGTAGGTCCTCAGGCGAGAGTATTTCACTCTCTTCAATATTGACCAAATCTGGTGCAGTGGCACTGATTGTTGTGGGCTCATCAGGAAGAATATAGGTCTTTGGGATGCGCCTAGTTGGTGCAGGCATGGCTCGTCGGATCGCTTTGTGCACATCAACAAAAACATCGGATTCATCCACAATTTCTTCGCCAATTAGCTCCTCGATGACATCCTCAAGAGTGACCACACCGAGGGCGCCGTGATCCTCTCCAGGATACTCTGAAACAAGAACCATGTGAGATTTGCCCTCCTGGAAGAAGTTTACAATGTCCAGACAGCTGGTGTCAGGTCGAGTCTCTGGTAAAGTGGCCAGAGCAAAGTCCCGGACAGGCTTTGCATCTTCTGGGTCATATGTGATTAGCATTTTGACCAGCAACATGCCCACAAAGTTGGAGTCATTATCTGGGTGATGGATGGGTATTCTTGAATAGCCCTGTGATAGAATGTCATCCATCGTCGACTCATCTAAAACGTCGTCGAGAGACAGAGTGAAGACATCATCCATTGGAGTCATGATGCTGCCCACAGATTTATCCTTGAGGTCCAGGACCGCACTGATGATTGTCACTTCGTCAGCATTGAGCTGTTGACCGGCCTCTCCGAGACTTCTGTGCAATGATACCAGTGTTTTCAATCCCGCTTTCTTGTATGTTGTTCCATGATCTTCTCCAAGGAGATAGTCGAGTAATTTGGCGGTTGGCCATGCCACAGGAGCCAAAATGTACATGAGGATCAGGACGAAGGGTGCCATCCAGGAGCCGATGGGGAGGCCATAACGGACGCAGACGGACTGAGGGGCAATTTCACCGAATATGACTGCATGGAATGTTAGCAAGGATTGGTGTCACTGTAGAAGAGTGAGCATACCGATCAAGACAGTTGATCCTAAGACAGCAGGCCACCCCCCACCCAGCGACCTATCGAGCACAATGGGGAGAGTCTCGTTGGTGATGACATTGCTCAACAACAATGTAACCAGGACCCAATGTTTGCCTTTGCGGAGCAACTTAAGCACCTTAGCAGCATGTGCCCTCTCCTTTCCTTCACCAGAGTCCTTGATGACTTGGAGGTATATCTCATCCTTTAAAACAGTATTAGATCCTGTGTATCATGTCTGGGCCTTCTTCCACTCACCTGTCCCATCAATGCAATTGTCAGCCCAGCAAATGCCCCTCCCAACAGCACCAGCACTGCCGCCACAGTCAAGTATATCCATAGCCCTGGATCATCCTGATCTTTCCCTTCTGTTTCATCCAAGGAAGAGAATAGTTTTGCGGCATAGACTGGCGCAGCTTGAACAACAGGTATCTGGCTGAGAGAGATGAAGAAGATTTTGGCGAACCCCAAGACAATGGGTCGCACGTAGAGCGGGGAATTTGGTCTTTGTGGTTGCATGTTTGACTAGAACCGATACGCGCACTCCGACATCTTTGAAGGCAGATGTAGCGGCTCAGTCTCGACTAAGGAAATGAATGCTTCGACTCGGTTCCGTTCGATTCGGAGCTCGATGTAAGCGGCCACGGGCTGTCACGGGTGAAACTTAGGAGAGTTCGCCGAATACACGCTCTTAGCAGTAGAGATATAGGTTAGGAACGAGAAGCACTATGGCGAAGAGGTGGGTGAAGATGAGGGCCAGTCAACAACGTGTCGTATAAAAAGGCGAGATGATTGGCAGAAGGTGAACTGCGCGGAGGAGAATGGAACAGGAGCGGCGGCGGATCTGCTGTCGTAAGTATTACTTTCTGTCACTAGTACGAGCGGGACGAGGTACGTCTCCTCCAGGTTCTCCCTAGCTGGTAGTGTTTATTCGATGCTCTCCAAAGCTTGACACATGGAACTACCAATCCATCTGCATCCCACAGTGCATCCGAGACGGCGTCATGGCAGATTGCGCAACGCCCTCACAAGCCACTGATAAAGGCAACTTATGCGAGAAGCTCCACGTGCCCAGCCTCTTGTTTCCGATTTCCGGAGCCACGGCATTGACGGTTAGGGGCGCAGCGCAGGTGCGCTTATCCTCGGCTTGGGTTCATTTTGGCCTCTACCCAAGAAACCCCTTCAAAATGGCCCTTCTCCCTACTTCTTCTTCTGTGACATAGACTTCATAGACTCGTTGCTTTTCCAATATGTATGCCGGTCGTAGGCTCAACGCGTGCCCCCGGGCGTTGAAGCCATTCCTTCAGCGTCGCTACGCCAGTCAAGCGTCTTCCGAAGCGCGTCTGAACAAACCTATCGACTTCAAAAAGACCGCCGTCCTCCACCAATCACAGAATAGTGCCAGGACTGCTTACGGCCTCTCCCAAGATGCACCAGTCGATTGGGTGAACCTGCACGGTGCCATCAATGCCTCTCTCCATCATGCTTTGAAGAGTGATGAGAATGTACTTCTATTTGGTGAAGATGTGGCGTTTGGTGGTGTCTTTCGATGTTCCAAAGGCTTGTCGGACGAATTTGGCACGAGTAGAGTGTTCAATACTCCATTGTGTGAGCAAGGGATTGTTGGGTTTGCAATCGGCTGTGCGGCCGAGGGCATGAAGCCTGTTGCGGAGATCCAGTTTGCGGATTACGTCTACCCGGCATTTGACCAGCTGGTTAATGAAGCCGCCAAATTTCGGTACAGAGAAGGCGCCACGGGGGGCCACTGTGGAGGGCTGGTGGTGCGAATGCCATGCGGTAGCGTTGGACATGGAGCCCTCTACCATTCTCAAAGTCCAGAATCACTATTCACGCATGTGCCGGGCCTACGGGTTGTCATGCCTCGATCGCCCAGTCAAGCAAAGGGACTACTCACTGCTTCCATTCTCAATTCCAACGACCCAGTCATCTTCATGGAGCCTAAGATCCTATACCGCGCCGCCGAGGAATTCGTCCCCAGAGATCCATATACGCTACCACTAGACAAAGCCGAAGTACTAAAGCAGGGTAAAGATCTGACAGTTATCTCTTACGGCCAACCCTTATACCTTTGCTCCGCTGCAATCGACGCTTTGGAGAAAGAAATTAAGGGTCTGAGCATCGAACTCGTTGATCTAAGGGCCATATATCCCTGGGATCGAGCCACCATCTTGGAAAGTGTGAACAAGACGGGACGAGCAGTTGTAGTGCATGAGAGCATGTACAATGCGGGTGTGGGAGCCGAAGTCGCCGCAAGCATACAAGAAGGAGCTTTTCTTCGACTGGAGGCCCCGGTAGCCAGGGTTACAGGCTGGTGCACTCACCCAGGACTAATCTTTGAGAAATTTAACGTCCCAGACATTACGAGTAAGTCCATGCCGCCATAAGGAAGCTGAGATATTAACTGTGAGTTATAGGGATATACGACGCTATCAAAAGGACACTGGAATATTGAAATCAGACCGAGATTTGAGAGTGTCTTGCCGTTTCAACCATCATTGCCCTGACACAGTCCGGTTTCTATCAGTCAAGGCATTCCCACCAACTCTGACAACGAAAGCCACTGTATCTGGGACCGCTAAGCTCCGAAAGCCCTTTCGACTGTCAAGCACAGCTACGAACCTCAATCAATAAGTGATCTACCCCGTCCTGCAACCGATCTTCATTTTCTCCGCCTCCCCTCGTCAAGCCTTGATACCCACTGTATTCCGATCATCACAAGCAGGAGACCGATCTCTGTTCACGTGCGGCGTGCGAACTGGGCACAGACAGCCTTCCACACAAATTTCTAGTCACCACAAGCGGAGGTGTTCAGGCGAAAGAGCCCAGCCAGAAGGAAAGGTTGACTCGATGTGACAACAAAGACGGTGGCGGTCAACATATAACCACCACCCTATACAATGGTCTCAGCCGAGAACACCAGGAGGCAGCAGACAGTGAATACAAAGAGGCATAGCGTTGCCTTTGCCCAGAAGATACTATTTATGCTATAATAGGGAGCGCTCACTCGATTCCTGTCCTCGAGTTGAGTTTTCATGAACGATTAGCGAGGAATACTATGTGTTGTAACCATGCATGTCTCCCCTGGCTGAAGCCTTCAAGAGAAAAGGACTGTTTCCATCCATGATATTGGTACCACAGCACTAGTTGTTTCATTCCGCATCTAAATCTTGCTCTATATTATGATTACTATGGGGATTCTAAATCTAAATATCTAACCGCTGTACAAGTATATCGATCACACCTCGTGGAGTGCTGTCAGTACTCCTCCTTGAAGACCATGACTTTAGGCACCTCCACGCCAGATTCGTCGACTTCGTAGTACGCTCTAAACAGCCCTCCACAGTTGAAGTTGGACACCACTCGACCCCGTTTCTTTGTTGATTCCCATTCACTTCGCTTCTTCAAGTCGTCCGCCCACGTAGGAGGTTCTTCCTCTTCCATCTCATCGACAATTTCGATGCCGATGATCCCGCCTTGTCCTTCGCCTGTTTTGCCCCAGCGGTTGCCAGCAGAGCGCTGCAATTCCCCACCGGGGCCGGTGACCAGCTTGACTGCATCGGCTAATGATATGGAGGGTGTGCCTGAGAAACGGCAGTGTGCTGCAACTGTGCGCACGGCATTAAGACGGAGGAAGGAATCTCCGTTCCCAGTACCGCTCATTGCTACAGCACGCCGACGTTTTCGCATAGGTTGACCAGAAGAAGAAGAGGTTCGTCGTACATGAGGGGATGAGTAGGATTGGTATGGCGATGCAGTATAAGGTGGAGGTGCTCCATTCGGTGGTTCTTTGGTCTGCGGTACTTCGGATACACTGAGGCAGGCTCCCAAGGAGTCGTTTGCGTGTGACAGGATCTGGTCCAGGACGGGCATTTTTCCGAATCCCGAGGCCCTTTGTGATGGTGGCTTTTGTCGAACCTGGGGCGGATTAGGGGCATCTTCGTCCCACGATTCGGCCCAGAAACCTGCACCAATGGTGGGCGTGTCTCCAATCCTCCCAGCCTTCTTGTTTGTGAGGCCCCCGGTCGACGTTGCCGCGGCGAGGTTGCCCCAAGTATCCAGACACACGGCTCCGACTGTGCCTTGACTTGGGATCTCGACCACTTCCGGATCGTCGTCCTCGAAGGGTGACTCGGTATAAGGATCGACAGAGGCAACGAGATTGTTAAACGAGTAGGAGTCGTCGTGGTGAAGCCCTTTTCTATGCTCCTCCCAGCGCTTTTTGGTCCAGAACCAACGGTCTGGTTTCTTCTCGAGACCTCGTTGCCCCCATCCCCATTCCTCCAATTCTCTTCCGCTCAGCTGACAGTGCATCGAACTAGTGCCGCACAACCCACCATCTTCATCTGGTTCCAAGAGCACCTCCTTGGCAAGCAAGATCGGATGTCTCGTATTCTTGATGAGGCTGACAGCTGCAGCACGTTTGATCCCGCCAGCAGGAGGACCGGCGGGGTTTAGAGAGGAAACCATCACACTAGCCTCCATCTCAATGGTTCCTGACTCGGTGAAGACGGACCCACGACCACAGTTGAACAAGGGGTCATCTTCCAGCAAAGAAACAGCATGGCATGCAGCGTCAAGCGCGGATGTACCGGAGTTGAGTAACTCACGGGTGACAGTCAGGTATTTGGTAAGAGATGCATGGTAACGTGCATAGAGATCGGGAGGAAGATTTGCACGAGAGAGGGAGCCTGCTCCCCCGTGGAGGATGAGTGTCGGCTCGAAAGGGCCGAGTACTGAGGATTTCTTAGGTGTCATTCTGATAGATATCGACGAGGCTGGTGGCAAGCTGATGCGAGATCACGCCATCGACCGGTGAAAGGGGCAAATGTCGGAGGTTTGCAGATCTGCTGTTGGTTGAAGTGACTTGTTTCTGTCCTTTTTTGCTTTGATTGAGCGCAAAGAATGGCCTGAAGCAGGAACAAAGACGAATATATAATGTAATCACCTGAGGGAAAAAGCCAACAGTCCGTGTCGCAAGGTTTGGTTTGACGTGGTTCGACAATGTGCCAGATCGGCGACTCTGAGCCGCAGCTGCGCCCAAGTCCGTCGGCTTGGGAAGAGGATTCGGAGGTACGAGTGACCGAACGCACACTGACCGTCTTCATCGCCCTTTAATTCTCTCCTGTTCCCACATCATCTGATCTACTCTTTCATGGCCCCAACTGATTCGGTCGAGCAGAACGGGTCATCGCACAAGTCATATTCCGCGGCCTCGAGCGAACCCGACGGCATCGCACCCTCTGATGAGGGCATTTCCCCTGGCTCTGAGGAGCCTCCCTCGACTTCAGCGAGATCCTTAGCAACAGTAGCGAAGCATCCTCTCCATCAGATCAAAGCCCCTGGCAGTGTCCAGGCACTTGCTGTCGATGACGATGTCGTATTCGTCGGCACCCAAGGGGGTAACATCGTCGTTTGGTCTCTCGAGACATATGAGCTACTAGCTACTGTCCCTGCTCACAAAGAGAGCGTGCTCAGTCTAACCCTCTCCGACGACAAGACGCTACTTTTCTCTGCTGGCGCTGACTCGATTGTCAATGTTTGGTCCACAGAGTCTCTGCAGAGACTCTATTCTCTGTATTCGCACTTCGAAATTGGCGATGTTTTTTGCGTAGCGCACTCTACCAAGACCCAGACTCTGTTTTGGGGCGCTCAGAATGCCAGCATCCAGTGGTACAAGCTCAACACGGATACCGCTCTCAAATTCCCCCTGTCGAACCTCGCACCTGGCTCTCGCAAGCATCGATTCTTCGACTCTTTGGGACCTGGCGGGATAGCGAATGTCATCGCAGATGAGGGTGTACAGAATGGACCCAGCAACCAGGGAGGTCGAGCCTTGACCGCTCCCAGCGGGAACTATCTTCCGTATGCTCACAAAAGCTACATTTATAGCATGCTATTGGTGAAAGGACTCTTTAACCGTGGCGGAGACGAGGAAGTTCTCATCACCGGTGCTGGTGATGGAACTATCAAGCTCTGGTCGATCGACAATCTCGTTGAATCTGGGCCAAGACAGATCACAAAATTCAAGAATGCAGATTCCAACGTGTTGAGTCTCTCATATCGCGACTCTTTCCTCTATGCTGGTTTATCGGACGGCCGGGCTCACATTTACAACCTTGCATCAAATCAACTCGTGCAGAAATTACAGGTGGGCCATGGCGACGTCACTCAGATCCTGGTGAGCACAGAGAGCATCCTGTGCGGTACCAGCCAAGGATGGATCAAGGTAAGTTGTCCATCTGGTGTCAGACACGGCATTGACATCTCGTTAGCGATACGACGACCATTTCGTAGAGGTCGAATCGTGGCAAGCGGCTGCTGGAAAGATTCTAGCGATGGGCTTGACAACAACCCCAGATCACGACATGCTTGTTACGGGAGGAAACGATCGTGTCGTATCCTTTTGGAGCGGCAAACCCGGAATCCAGACATCCATAGCCAATTCTGCAAGGAGCAATGGTAAGTATCTGAACCACGTGCAAACATCGTATCTCATGCTGAACAATGGCTAGACGAGCTCGTCAACGCTCTTCGCGAGTTTGTGGCATATCGCACAGTGGCTTTGAACGCAACGTGCGTTCGAGACTGTCATGAAGCAATCACGTTTCTAAGAAAGAAATGCAATGCTTTTGGTGCGACAACCCGCCTCCTGTCACCTCAAGAAGGCGTCAACCCGATCCTCCTTGCCAGGTTTCCGGCATCCAAGCCTTCCAAATCAACAAAATCAATCCTCTTCTATGGCCATTATGATGTCGTCGACGCAGAACTTGACACCAGTAGCTCGAATCCAACGTGGAATGGAGATCCATTCGTTCTTCAACCGCTAGACACCTACCTTTACGGGCGCGGCGTAACCGACAACAAGGGTCCTATCCTAGCTGCCATCTACGCCGTGGCAGATCTGGTCCAGCATGGCTCTCTGTCTTGCAACGTTACATTTCTGCTTGAAGGCGATGAAGAAGCCGGCTCCCGAGGTTTCCGTCAGACGGTTCAATCTGCCCACGACGCCATCGGTCCGGTGGACTATATCCTGCTATCCAACAGTTACTGGCTCGATGACCACATCCCCTGTCTTACGTTTGGCATGCGTGGAGTCATTCATGCCAGTGTTAGTGTCACTTCGAACCGGCCGGATCTGCACTCAGGAATGGATGGCAAGTCTGTCCAGCACGAGCCACTCAAAGATCTGACGGTTTTGCTCGCTACCCTTGTCGGCCCTTCTGGGACAAAAATTACAGTGCCTCATTTTTACGACACGGTTGATGAGCTTTCCGAATCAGAAGTCAAGGCCTATGCTTCCATCACCTCTTCGCTTCTACCTGGCCACCCAGAAATCAAAAATGAGAAGGCCTTTGCCCTTTCACTGATGCAACGGTGGCGGTATCCCAATTTGACCGTGCATCGGATAGAGGTACCCGAGGCAAAGACTGCTGTCACCATCTCTGGCTCGGCGAAAGCGACACTCTCCATCCGGATAGTCCCATCGCAGACGGCAGAGCAGATTGCCCAGTCCCTAACGGAATACCTGCGCGCCGAATTCGCGAAGCTCCAGAGTTCAAATTCTCTGAGTGTCGCAATCACATCAAAAGCAGATCCATGGCTTGCGGATGTGAAAAGTGAGATCTACACGACTCTCAAAGACGCCATTATTGATGTCTGGAATCCTGATATTGCAGCGCATCAGCAGCGAGCATTCAAGGTGTCCGCCGGTGGCAGCACCACTGAAAGTGTTCAGGGCGCATCGCCGTCTTCTAAGCCTACATCCGCTTCTTCGGCCTCCAAGGCTGTCGCATCATCGTCAACAGCAGCCGAGGCTCCAGCTCGCACGTCACATCGTCGCGCATCCTCCCTCGCGACGACAGGTTTCTTCCCACCATCCACCCTGCCACGAGAACCCCTGTTCATCCGCGAAGGCGGCAGTATCCCCGCGATATCGTTTCTCGAACACGAGTTCGACGCGCCCGCCGCCATGTTCCCCATGGGCCAGGCGAGCGACAATGCCCATCTGGATAACGAGAGGATGCGAGTGGAGAACCTGTACAAGGGCCGAGAAGTCCTAAAGAGGGTATTTGCGAGATTATAGATCGGAACGTGTGTAAAATTAAGAACGGGTTTCCCGGTCACTGGAGCAGATGGGGATTCTTGACAATACATGTCGTAGCTACCTAAAAGGTACCTAGGTGTTGCAGATTGAATGTCAAGATGTCAAGATATTGAGTCTCTCCTGCTTTCTAGGGTTCCCATTTCTGATCCGATTTCTAGCCACGATCGTAAATTGACACCATGATCCGCATTCGCATTCGCGATTCGAGATTGATTTCCCCTTCCCTAATCTCCTCACAAGGCATTACTTGTTCAGCCACTCAGCCCAGACCTTTGAACATATACCGAGTAATCGCTCTGGCATAATATACGTGAATAGATATATCCCCTGCCTCCCTGATAAAAACTCTCCCGTTTTTCCCAAGATCCTAAGACCCAGAGCCAAAATGTCAATCCGCAAACTGATAACTGCAAAACAAGAGAAACGCCGTGTCGCTATGCAGTGAATATCTCAACGAATTCAAGGTCATGCCAGTGTCCAGTGTAGGCCGTGTTGTGCTGTGCTGTCGCTGTCGTTGTCATGTCGTCGTGAAAGGATTCATGTCGGTAGGTCCGTCGGTCCGTCCTTCTGTCCGTCCTTTGAATATCCCGTGCTGCCATCTTGCCGTCTGATCCAGATCCTCCTTCTCAAAAGTGATTTTGTCCCTGGTGTGTGGTGTGGTGTCTGCTGTCTGCAGATCTGTGCCGGGGTTGACGTGTCATGTGCTTCTAACGAGGAAGGTGGCGGACACCAGTAGGATCAGGTCAACGCCTTAGCCCTCCTCTTTGTTTTGTATATCTCCTCAATATAGCATCTGGCTTCTCCATTTCTTCTCGTGTTTATTTCTGGAAGACGTTGCCACCACTCAGATTAATGCCGCCGAACGTCCACTGCCCAGCAGCCCAGATCCAGGCGGCCAGTTTTGGTTTCTTCCCGTCCTTGACTTCATTGACAAGGTCCGTCACTCCCTGAAAACTCGATTCGCTGCGATCGGAGCTCCCCTTGGAATCTTTTGGGGGCACGGGGGTGCGGCCCACAGGGTCGGTGACACCGTTCATGGCGTCGACGGCGGCGATGGCGGGGCCTTCGTCGAAGAAGTCGACGAGGGTGAACGTGGGCGGTTTGCCGTACGCCGAGTTACATTGGGACAGGCTGTATCCGAGATTCCCAACGTTGCTGCCAGGCGCGTTGGTGGTGGTGATGTTGTCCACGTTGGGAGTCTGGATATCGAACAGGCCTTCGACGTAGAGGAAGTGGTTCATCAAACCCATCCGATTGGAGGCGATGGCCGCTTGCGAATTTCCTTGAACAACTGTCGGTCGGTCTGGCAGGCAGCTGAAGTTACTGGGCGAGCTGTTGTCGAAGGAGTTTTCGAAAATAAAGGTAAACTCGTCCATGAGGTAGGCATATTGAGTCGGAATAGACGCAGGGTTCGAGAGGGAGGCCACAAAGACGAGAAGTCTCTTGTTGGCTGTGATCAGCTCTTGCAGAGTTGGCCAGGCACCCGACGAAGGGGGCGTGCTTGTCGAAGGAGGGACGTAGGCATAATCCGTGATCTCTGCCGTTGTGAAATGTGCCCCCAACTCCTCCGGCGTGGCATTGTCCGAGTTGACCAGGAGAATGGTCACGACTTCATTCGGATTATTGTCCAGCCACGTCTTGAGTTCTTCCAGCCAGTCTGATAAAACCCCCGCATCCAACAGATCGCAGGAAGAATGGCACAAGTGGTATTCCCCGTTCGACTGGTGGACTTGGGCAGAAAGCAGACGGACACCCGCCGAGAGTTGTACCGTCGAATTGTAGTATTGGTTTCCCGACGTCGAAAAGCCGGTAGAGGCATCTCGGACAAAAGGTGAGTCGTGGGCACCCAGGTGGACGACACTATTGTAGGGTTTCGAGCATAGGGAAGGGGAGTTGTTGCATGCGGTCGATTGGCGTTTTGCCGCGCTTACATCGAGTGAGGCCGCAATGCCGACACTGAGGAGAGACACGAGGGACAGAAGCGACCGTAAATGCATGTTTGCGAGTGTGGGAGAGAGGGATTTCGCACTCCGTCGTAACACTGTGTCTCGTGCGGGATGTGGTATCTTCTCTATCCAATCTGTGTGTAGCAGTCAAGTTGTCCAAAAAAGGATTCACTCCACAAACAAGAGATACAAAGGCAAGGCTGGGAGAAAAAGAAACAATGCAAAATGAAAAGAGAGGAAAGGTCCGAAGTCCTGCTTCTAACCTTGACACAGCACCACCACCACGGACGTTGCCTTGCAGCGGGCTGAGGCTTGGACAGATGCCAGAAGCCTTGTGCAGGAGGAGACCTGGAGCCACCAGCCGCGCGTACGGAAACATTTGGCGGTGGCAGAGTCTAGCCTCGCCCCCAGATGCGGCACGCCGATCAAGCAAGTCTCAAACTGCGCTGGATGAACCAAGGTTGAAACAGGGATGGGCAGATCCAATCGAAGTGAACAAGTCAGCGGCCAAGCAACTTGTCTGGGTGGAATTTGCCAGGGCGGATGCGGTTTCGGCCTGACATTTTACTGGGAGGCACCCAGGGGGCAGTACCTAGGCTGAGCACAGCCCACCAAACCCACTTTTTGAGGCTCCTAATTTTGGATTTGTTCAGGAAAAAGCCGATCCGGGGTACAGCAATAGGAACAGAAGGCTTCGTACCCAGTACGTCTCTGCGACAGGGTGCTGACACGGCCGCGTTCCCCGACTTTGGAAACTTCCGCAGAGATCAGAGCCCGCATTGGACCTCTTGAGATACATACACATCTGTGCACAATCATGCAATGTATGTGCAAGTCTATACCGAAAGAGAAATATCTTCTGGGGTAATTATGTTCTCAAGAATAGTGCGAGATGATGACACGATCAAGGGCAGCCGAGAGAAACATCTGCCACTCATCATGTCACATCTGTCATAAATCCCGTCCTTCCACACTCCCTTTGCACATATGGTACTTTGGGGCTCCCCTTGCCCATCAACCTCTCCTCGTCATCTTCTTCTCCTGCTTCTTCCGCGACTTCTCGTTCTCCCGTTCCAAAAACTTCCTCTGCTCCTCGGCGCTCATGCCCTTCATCTTTCGTTCTCTTTCTTCCTTCTTCATCTTGTCCAATTGTCTCAATCTCTCCTCTTCCGCCTCCTTGTCCGAAATCTTCTTCAGCTTGCTCTTTTCCTGCTCGCGAATCGAATTGATCTTTCTGAGGACTTCGGGTCGGAGGCGGGACTGCGAGACGAGGAAGTCAGGCAGGCGAAGGAAAGCAGCAAAGACAGGCAGGGTAGGGAGGTAATTGCCGTCAGAAGGAAGACGGAGTGAAATTTGAAGCCGCTTCTTCGGAACCGTCTCATTCAAGTTGGTGGGTTTGTCGTGAGGTTGATCCGTGACGACGAGATACTGGAAGTGATCAGGGCCGGCTTCCTTGATTGCATCGACAAGCTCTTTGGTGAGCATCCAGTCACTGATTTCTGCAGACTCGCTCATACATGTAGCCCATTCGGGGAGTTTGGCGTGGTCCTTGGTGAATGTGAGAGAGATATCGTAACGTTCCTCGCGGAGTTTGCGCATCGCCAACTTGTTCACCACGGCAAAGACGAACGGATCGTAGGTCGAGTTTCCCACGGATTTTGCCTTGCCCACTTCCTCAGATCCTGGGACGGCCGGTGGGACAAATTCCTTCTCCTTGCCATCAAAGGTGTAGATGACGGCTTCCATCCTTTCGGGTTTCGGCTTGACCGAATCGATAAACATTCCAGTGACTTCCTCGGCCAGCATCATCATCGGATTCATCCGTCTCTTCAAGTAGATCTGGATGTCCATGAATGCGACGTTTTGACGTCCCGTCGCATACGACTCATACTCCCAGGCAGTCTTCTCTTTCAACAGATCTTCCGAGATGTTATCGCCCTTGTTCTTGACGACCTCCTTGAAAAAGCTCGCATCTCCAGGAGACACTCCGCCGTCTGCAGTGGATTCAGTGTTTGGGATCGCGCCGTATCCAACGACCGCAAACTCTCGCTCCAAAAGAGGGGCATGGACACCCATCCACTTCTTCGCTTTGCGCCGGTTTGTCCTCGTTCCCCAGAAATGCACCAGGAGCGCGAGAAGAATGAAAGGGATCAGAATTCCCTCCATCGTGAAGTCGGACAGCTGTGTCCGTTCCCACACGCGGTACCATTTCGTGTAGACCACCGGACGACCTTCAACAGCAGCTCCAGTTGCAGTAGCAGCTTGTGCATCGGCGGGGGAGACAGGGATGGAGACTGGCGAGGGCGCAGGAGCAGCTGCAAAGTCTGCGAAATCTAGAAAGTCGGCATTAGTAGGTAGGCACGAGATAATGGAGAGTGCTGTTTATTCACCTGCATCATCGGCAGCCACGGGCGCCTGAGAAGGCTTTGGGCCGAGAAGACCTTTAAAGTAGTCCATTACGACAAGGGAAGAGGAATGTTCTGGATCAAGCAAATGACCCGGACAGCTCTCCAAGCGCAGAAAAGGGCTGCGCTGTGTTGAGTTCACGAAAGAGGGAGGGAGAGGTAGAAAAGACAGTGGCTTGCTCCAGCTCTCCACAATTTGGACAAAAAGAACTCCGCGTGGGCTTGCAGCATCCACTAAGACTCGGTAGGCAGAACTCTCTTAACGTCGTATTCTCGGTAGAAGTGGCCACGAAGTCTCCGTGCCTGGCTGCAATACCAAAACCCATAGGAAATGCAGCACTCGGGATACGGTTCTGGCTGTCTCGAATTGTCAATAAGCTACAGAGAAGGTAAACACCGGTCCGCCAGCGCCTTGTTGATATCGTTGGAATTGTATACACTTAACAACGGTACATAGAATGGTAATAAACCCAGCCATCGGGATCCATGAAAGGATCCTAAGCATAGTAGGAGTCTGACTTCTATCTACATCAACATCGTAGTCCTCGTCACGCCATTAGTTGGTGGTACACCGCAAAAGAAACAGCAAACTTTTGGTGCAAAAGCTTCGCTAAAAGGAATTCAACAAGAGTCACAAAAACATCATCGCGCATAGGCTGGAGGAGGAATCGTCTCTTCCTCGCGGGGCACAGATCCAAAGCTGCCTTTAAGCCTTTCCTCTTCATACCGGTGTGCCATCTCATTGGCCATTTTCAACATCCAGGCGCGTTCGGCAATACTGCCCGCGTTGGATGCGTCCGCGACAAATTGAAGAAAATTTGGGAGAGCAGGCCGCGAGGGGCCTGCAATGGGGCGGGGCTCAGACTTTTCACCGGCAACAACCTTAGGCTCGGCCGGTTGTCGAGGAAGGGATGGTTCCTTCTGATCAAGTAGATACATCGAAGCCCGCGGTGTCTCGTCGTTGTCGTAAGAAGGAAGTGTTCTTCGATTTCCAATGCGCACGGTCGCGTTGGGATCCTTGGCTCGTGGGGTCTGATGGATGTCTGGTGATGGTTCTTCGATCTCATGCATGGCCTCCTGTGGTGGAATACCTTCGCTGACACTTCGCATCCCTCCCTGACGGATGGGCTCGAAGTTTGCCGTGCGCTTGATAGCGACGGGGCTTCTTGGCGGCGTGACAGGATTCAGGCTTTGAGTCGGATCGGAAGACATGGTGGCAGCAGGCGCTGAGAAGACAGAAGGCGCGGTTGATGCGCTTTCCGACACGCTGGTGGAATCAGCTGTCGAACCATCTTCGACGACCAATTCAGGTTCCCCGGTTTCCGGATGTGGGCGTAGGTCAACAACACGCTTCTTCCTCCTACGCGCTCTGTGTGCTTGCCCGTGTCTCCCACCACTCGTACTGAATCCATGACTTGAGGGGAAGCTCGACAGGGTCGGCCGAGAGAAAGCACTGTCCAAGGTATATGCTGTCGACGTGCTCAGACTTCCAGCATAGGAGTGGCTGCGAGACAGGACTGGGGATGTTGTCCTGGTAAGAATGCCCGGCATCTCTCCTCGCTCCAAAGGACCTGTCCAGGCTCGGAAGACAGCATCTCGAATAGGAGGGGTAAACAGAGACAATGTCCGGTGAGAATCGGTCAAGGTAGCAAGTCGTAGGAGATTCTTTCGTGAGAACAGAGACTGTGTCTCGACGGATGAATCCAATGACAAAGACGCGACTTCTGCTGGAGTCAACACTGCACCCGTAGAGTCGACTGGGTCTTGCGGTGGACTAGCCAACGGGTCAATCACAACTTCATCCCTTGATAGCTGCGTGCTCCCGAGCTGACGTTCTTCTCGTGCCTTGTCCTCTGGAACTAACAGCTGCAAAGAGAGTCGATGGATAATTGCGGGTAGCTCATCCATCAAAAGTCCACGCAGCTGGGTTTCAATCTCCTTCTGAAGAAAGTTCGCAACAAAAGGTATTGCGTCAAAAGTCGAGGATACACGTAGAGACTCCAGGGGGTCGTTGCGAAAAACCAGTGTCAAGCCTTTTTGTCTCGAAAAGACCAGAATAATGAATCCGGACAAGCGGAACTCGGATAAGGTGATCTGGAGCGGTATCGTCAGGCCTGTGTCGGCAGCCAAAGGTCGTGGTGTAGCAAACGCCGAGCGAGTGCTGAGGTATGTGTTCAACGGATTTGCTTGAACTTTTGTCTTCAATGTAAGGTATGCGTTGCCTTTGTACATCATCTTGAAAGTCCCGCGAAATCTATCCTCTGCCAGATCTCCAATCTCCAATATCTCCAGCTCAGGGGGAACATCTCCCAGGTTGAGCTCATTAACAATTATATCGTCGACAATAATCGCAGGCTTAGGGTCGGCTCGATTGAGAGCATTGGTGAGGAGTTCTTGTGCGCGTGGCAGGAAGCCGGCGTCCGTGGACAATGGAGACCAGTTGAAGTTGAAGGCCATGGTTGACAAGGCCTCTGAAAAATGTTTTCACGCCTTAAAGTAAGGGGCAACCGCGTGTATCTCGCATTGTTTATCTTTGTGTATATATGCTCTGGCTCGGATGCCTGGATTGCTCACTGAGACAGAGCACATGCGCGCAGCCGGAGGTCGGAGGTAGGAGGGCCAACTGATGTGATCCGCTGATGCGATCGGCTGCCTTGCAGTGTCTGTCTGCGCACCACTTGCCGTTTGTTGAAAAGGAGGGAAATAGACAGACTGAGGTGAATGAAAGTGAAGACTTTGATGAGGCAAGGGGAATGTCACTGGGTCGGTGGTCGATGTTGTATCCTTGATTGTTAGACCCCAGGACCAAGTACCGAGATTGCAACCAACAAATTCTTTGGCATTGCATTTGCTTCTGTCTCGCCTATTGTGGCCGTCACCTGAGTGTCGGAAAAAGCAGGCGAGGAACTCGTCTGAGTTGCCGTTTTGAGTGTCTGCTGCTTGACGTCACTCGTCACTCCACACAAGAGTGGCATCCTCAGCCTTGTCCCTATCAACACCTTCGAGCGAGAAGTCTGTATATATCATGTCGGATCATGTGTAAACGTACGTTGGTAGGTATTGGAGCTCAATCCTGTATCGTCCTGGACCTCCCTGTAGCGATACCACTGCAGAGAAGACAGAAGCCCACTTGTGACATAGTCCATCTTTCCTGGATCCAACATCTGCCACACCCACACCTGCCCTTGTACAATTCTTCACACAGTACAAAGATTTAAAGCGGAGCCCACATGGAGAATCTGGAAATTATTACATTAATATTGGTGTTACCAAAATTCTTCCACAATCACAAAGACCCCTACTAGGAAAGAGACTACAAGAGTCAACAAACCAAAACATGGGATAGAAAGAGACTTAACGAAGTCAACACATGAAGGGAAATGGTTCTAGTAGGCGACCCTCCTCCACCTCCTCCTCTATCGAGCGAGATATATCAGGAACCTGGCACCAAGCCAAGGGAGTCAATATATCACAATCACGGAAAAACCTGCAACAGCGGGTTTAACTTACCACCACCCCCTTCGAAAGGGGCTGGTGGAAAAAGTTTTTTTTTTTTGCATTCTCAGAGGACGTGGATTTTGTCAGGGGATGACTTTGTGTGTGTGTGTGTGTGTGTGTGTGGGAGAGAGATTGTTGTGCCCTAGTCACAGTTGCCCCGGGCGGCCTCCCTGATTCCAGCAGCCTTCAGATTGACCAGACCTTACGCCAAGGACCTCAAGGCTTCGGAGGGAGAGACTCTGGCATGGTATGGAACGTAGTTCACAGCGATTGCCAGGAAGAGGAAGAGGGCCATTCTCCATAAACTCCTGCAGTCTTGCCACAGCTCGATCATGTCATCTGGCAAGCAGCTTGGTCACGAATACACACGTTCGCGTGCGAGACAAGGCGTCAGTAACATATCCGATTCCAGCATTCCAGACCTCCTTCGGCGTATATTTATGTGGTCAACAGCGCAAGGCCGGGCCCTTTGTCATCTTGACAAAAGAGAGCTTCATGAGCAGTACCGAGCAGCAGCATCAGCAGCCATTTCATGGTTCATTCTGTTATGCCCGGGGATTTGGTTCATGGAACAACGGAATCGGCTTGCCTTCTCGCCGCACACGGTAGGGATGGTCTCAAATTAGCAGATTCAGCTTCCCAGAGCTTCCAATACAAGCAATGTAGGTTGAATAAGTCATGTTTTACCGGAGTATGAGAACTGGAAAACGGGCACGGGTGTTAAGTCAGTGTACAAGTATGTGACCGCGGCTACTCGAGCCAGTTACCCAGCACAGGAACAGCTTGAAAGAGCAACGGAAGAAATGTCCGCGGGCAAACGAGAAGACTTTACGCAAGCCTCTATCGATCAGGAACGGATAGACAGTATCGGTGGACTCTGAGCAACCCGACCCGATAATCTGTTCCCCGTTCTAGGCTGGATAAGACGACAAGTCACCTTACTCGACAACAACAACACGCCACCCAATCTTCAATAATTCCTCTCCATTTTCATCTCCACCTCCACATCCACCTCCACCTCCGCGCTACTCTAATCGCACAGCTTGGTCGCATGTTCATGTCTATGCCCTTATCATTCACAACCACTTGTGTCAAAGCCGATCGAAACAGCCGAACGTCCATCACTGCAAGAAAGAACCGCGCCGTCCTTTTCCCTCGTCTATCTGCCTTTTTTTTTCGTCCCTCATCTCGCGCCATCCACCTCGTCTTTCGCACAATCTTTCTGCCTATCTAACCAGTGGGTTACTCCTGCACCTCTATGTGAGTGGTTAAGTGCCAGCTGGTAATTAACCCTGCCGTCCGGTTAAATTCCAACAACGAACGACGTCTGGTCCGGGTAGCTTCGTACAAAGCAATGCGATACTGCTTCGTGCTTCGCGCCTCGTCGTCCTCCCCAAGAAAATACAAGACTGTCTCGAACTTGAAGAAGAGGCAGGCTTGAGGAGAAACTAGGACCCGCGGGAGGAGGCCGGCCGTGTGTTTTTGACCCACTTTTATCTCTCTATGCGAACGAGGGCAAGCAAGCAAGCAAGTACCTGTAAGACGAGGGAAGATGCGCTGGGGGCTCCAGAAAAGGGTAGGGAGAGTTGGCGACTGACTGACTGACTGACTGACGTTGGGTGTAGTTCCCAACACACAAGTTTCATGCAGGGGCATAATCATTATCCGACAACACGGCATAGGTAGAGTGTGCACAGGTCTGGAGAGCAGAGGTGGAATGTAGAAAGTACATAGGAAAGTCCTACGTAGTAATATAACAAGGCAGGCGCTTGATGGTCTATAATTCCCGACTTGGCTTTCGAGGTTCCTGTTTCCTTGTCGTCTAGTACCTGGTAAGGTCGGTTGGCTTGGGTTGAACCAGGTCCTGCAGGTCAGGATACGAGGCTAGGTAGGTAGGTAGGCCTACAGAACTCGGTCTCAACATATTGTTTGGACACGCATAATAAATGGCAAGTCCCCACGCAGGCATGATCCCACCTAATCTCACCGGCCATGCCAGACCATCGCAGAATATACACAACACGGCCGCATTCCATTCATTCATTACCCCGATCGTGTTCACGCTCCTGCAAACACAGACAGACACATACACAATGTTGAGAAGTCAAAGTCTAGTCTGATCTGGTCCACTCTGGTCTTGTCTGGTCTGGCACGTCAAACGACGCTCCGATGCTCGACCACGGCGGCTGCGTCCAGCTTCTCGGTGCCCGAGGCCAGCACAGCCCTGGTCTTGGGGTCGATGTCGACATCGACGATGCCGACCTCGGCGTCCTCCCCGTCGAAGATCTTGGCAATCTCCTCGAGCGTGGGGCCCTTGGTCTCGACGTACAGGAAGTAGACGAAGACGAGTTCCAGGGCGATCCAACACTGTTTTCCGCGTTGTTAGCGAGTGGCAAGAGAGGGTTAAGGGGAGGGTAAACGAGAAGAAAGGAAAAGGGAAGAGAAGAGAAGAGGCGGCGACGGGAGAGGTTTGTAAGATATAAGATATGACCGGGAATAGTGGAGGAGAGGGCAGCGATGGGGGCAGAACTTACAGTGTAAATGGTATACAGCTTCCAGTTCGGCTTCAGGTGGTCAAATCCCAAAGGATTCACGTACTGATTGATAACCAGTGCGACCTGGACCCAAAAGTTCATGACCATAAGGCCCTTTGCGCGGATCTTGAACGGCAGGATCTCCACCGTGTACGCGACCAGCAGGCCGGACCAGGCGAGCGCGTACGAAAAGTTGAAGATCCAGATAAAGGCCACCACGGCCTGGCCGGCGCCCTTGTTGTGGTGGTCCTGGTAGATGCTGGAGCAGATGGTCCAGATGGTGAAGCACACCAGCATGCCCGCCGTGGCGGCCAGGAAAAGCGGCCGTCGCCCGACCTTGTCGCACAGCAGCGCGCACGTGCAAGACACAATCAGCGACATGATGGCCAGCCCGCCGTTGAGGCCCAGCTGCGTGTCCGAGTTGGTGATGCCGATCGAGTTGTAGATGTCGGTCGCGTAGTACGACACCAGCCCGTTACCAGACCACTGCGAGAACAGACCCAGCGACGCGATCAGCAGCAGTCGGTACCGGTTCCCGCGCGTCTTGAGGAAGTCGAGGTAGCTGGACGACTTCTTGGCGACAAATTCCAGGCGGAGCGTCTCCTTGATCTCGGCGTACTCGAACTGCACTGTAGGGTGGAGGTCGTTGCCGTTGGCGTGGTACTTGGACAGGATCGCGAGAGCCTCGTCCGAGCGGTCTCTCGAAATCAGCCACCTGGGTGACTCTGGGATCCACCAGATGAAGATAATCTGGATAATGGACGGCGCGCCCTGGACGATGGTTGGGATTCTCCACGACCATTCGGTTGGGATGTGTTTGGTGCCGAAGGACAGCCAGGTGTTGATGATGGACCCCAAGTTCCACAGGCAATTGTAAATGGCAGTAATACGGCCTCTGTGCTGAGGATGGCACAGTTCAGTCAGCAGCAAAGGCGAAGACAGTTGGGCCATGCTGTTTCCGAAACCCATGAGGAACCGGCCACCCTTGAACATGGCGAGATTCTGAGAAGCGCCTTGAATCGCTGCAGCAATGATCATGATAATACAACCAGCGACGATGGCCACCTTGCGACCAAAATGGTCAGCGACGAAGGGTCTGGATCGTGTCAGCAACGGAATCCCAATATGTCACCCAAGGTATGGACCCGACTTACACCACAGGCAAGCTCGCAATAGATCCAATACTGTACAAGGCGGTCAAGAGACCCAGATTCGAGCCTTGGGGGTCGTCAAAGTAGTCCTTCCATTGATCTAGAATACGGATGTTGTTTAACATAGAGCTATGAAATGTCAGTCGCTGTATATCAATACGACGATGATATCCATCCATTTGCGCACACTTACCCATCATAGCCGGTTGTCGCGGAAGCCACACAAATGATGGCCGCGTAGAAGTAAAGCTTCCTCAACCCAGGATCTTGCAGCCAGTTGACTCTTTCGAGCTCTGGTGCTTCGGCCTGAGCAATCTGCACCTCGTCGGCGTGCGTGACGCTTTTCTTGATTTTAGGAACCATGACGAATGGTAAGTCAAGCCGAGGGTGAGTGAGAAGCTGGTCAAGATGTTGCACTCGTGCTTGGAGAACGCTCAAGCCAGTCTCTTCCAGAGGGCAGACACAGCTCTATATATGTACATCTGGAACCGAGCAGTGCCATCCATCGGAACCACTCCCAAAGAAACCCTTGGAGAGCCATCTGCCGACTTAGCCAGTGTTCCGGCTGAATTGCGGAAGTCAAATCATGCAGCTCGAAGAGTCAAAAGGAGCATCAGCCTGGTCGGTCAAGGTGACACAGGCCAAAGTGGATCGACATGAGGTGCCATCGACCAAGAAAGTCTGGATTGAATCACAGTGCCCTGGGGGCCACGAGAACTCCTTTCGACCGCCTGAGGGAAGATGTCACCAGGAAACAAGCTCGTGTCAGTGTCGCAATGATAATCAAAGGCACTGGGCGGCGGACTGGCGGACATTCCATTCGTTCGCTTGGGGTTTAGCGCTCCTTCTGCAAGCTAGAATGTCTCCTGGAGGTATAGCTGAGTCCGCCCTTGATTATTGAGACAGGGGTCACAGCGTCAGTGGCTTTTTCATCGTTTCTTGCTTGGTGCTTCTTGGTTGTTTCTTGTCCAGGACTCAAAAAGTATTCGGTGGTGTCTGATAATTCAAATTCTCCTAGTGATATGTGGATAAAGAGAACTCTTCGCCACTTGTACCCCGTATATCAAAGGCAAATGCTCCAGCCTTGGCCATCGTGGAGAAGCTTGCACTCGGTACAGGAGACCGCAAGAGTGGCGTTCACGACGTCGCAAAAGGGCAAGTCCTCGTGAAGTGCGTTTCTTCTTGCATGGTCATAACCTAATGGATCGGACGAGATGCATGTTACTCGTACAGCCGGATTCCTTGGGGCACGGACTTCTGATGGGGCACGAGTGACGGAACCAACTCCTTTCGTTACCCCAGATTTGCAGTCTCAAATTCCCACATTTGAGCGACGTGAGAGGAGCTGGTCATGGCTAAACGGGACAGATCCATCAATCAGAATGAACCCCCTTGCCCTTCTGCACTCCTGTTTGTTCTGGGGCCAACTTTCTGGGAATTTCCGGCTAAATTCCCATCAGGCTAATCGTCGGGCAGCCCCATGGGGTTTATTTCCCCCCCTCCTCATTCGAAATCTTCCGTTCGTTCTCCATGGTGGAGAGATAGTTCGTCTACTCGTAGCTCGGGCTCCGGCTCATCCCGTACCTTTTCCATTGAGGTATTTGAGATTGCAATCTAGAAGACGGCCGTAGTGGCTTTCGCTGGTGGTTGACATCCGATCTAGGCATACATGGGTGCCGGATTGGGGGGCATAAGGCTAAATTTGCCAGGATAAATCTTGTGTAACTCGAAGTCTTGGATGATGCTACCTCGTGAGCACGGTAGGCTTGACATTTTTCAGGAATCTAGAAGGATAGAGGATGCAAGCCTGAACCGTGACTGGGTCTGAATTGATGGTGTGATGGTGTAGTGGTTGCCGTGTGGTCGAGGATCGATCACTTTGTCAAGTTTTCCAAGCGGGAACCAGGCCTGCGGCTCGACCACGAGGTTAGACTGGGTCATGAAAGTTCTTCCAGAATTGAACCGAAAATGTACCACACCAGAGGCAAAGCTCCAAAGGCAATCTTGATGAAGATTTGATTATGAGAGAACGAGTGCAGCCGAGGAACAATTGAATGAGATTGGTTGAGGAGACTTGGATGCGGTTAGGAGGCGCGGAGGGCAGGCATTATTACCCGGGGCCCCATGCTATGGTTGACTCGTCTGTGAGTACCTCGTACATGCAGCGACAATAATGACAACTGTCATGTTGCACTAGAGCACGCTGACAAGCCTCGAGGGTAATTGCTTTAGCTAACTACTGACAAGACAGCCTGAGATAGTGGTAATCATACACCACTGGCTCCCTTGAAACGAGCTTCTCACCATCAAAAGGTCCTCGACTTCAATGCAAGCGAGCTTCAACAAATTAAAATCCAACAAGCTCAATCAAATACTTGGAAGCAAGGTCTTTGTAGGCAATGTACATGTTCAACTAACTATATATAACTATTTATCTCTTTCTCATCGCAATTCTATTAATGCTCCAGGTAGTCTTTCTGGGCTCTTTGATGTAGCCATTCGTCTTACACGACCTCCTTGCTGGGCATTTCCACATTGACCTTCTTGTGGACACCCTCATCAACCGAGCCAGCAGCATCGGATCGGCCCTCGTCTTCCACTTCCTTAGTCGCCTCCTCAGCCGGAAGATCTTCGATTTCTTCGGGCAGAGTCAGGTTGAGGAGCATGGCGACCAGGGCGGTGATGGCAAAGCCCGTTTCGCAGACAAGTTCAATGGCATCATAGAAGCCGCGGAGGGATCGGTTGTCTCCATCATAGGTAAACACATAGGTGAACCAGGTGGGGACCAAGGTGGCTCCGTACCCAAGAGCGAGCGCTGCGGTGAGGATGAATCGCGTTCGGCGGTTGAAGGGGACGCGGTTTACAATGGCCATTCCAGACACGGCGCTATCATCTCCATGTCAGTGACCGGGAAGCTTGCGAGGGAAAAGCAGATTACTCACACTGCGCAGAACAGGAATGTGGTCATGCCTCCAAGAACCGGCGAGGGAATGGCAACCAGTGCTGCCGAGAATTTGGCGAAGATGCCGGCCACGATAAGGAAGACTGCATAACGGGTCAGTTACGACTCACGAATTGAAACAAAGCATGCACTTACAGCAGCAGAAGTATCCAGCCTTGCGGTTTGCACAACGGGTAAGAGCAATAACACCGTTGTTTTGGGCAAACGTTGACATGGGGGTGATAGTCATCAAGGCGGCCAAGCATCCGTTCAGTCCATCAGCCAGAACGCCTCCTTGGATTCGAGACTCGAAGATCGGGCCTTCGACCTCGAGCCGCGAGACATCACATGTGGCGGTGACGTCGCCAATGGCCTCGCAAGCGCAGATAATGAAGACAACCATGACGGGCAGGACGATGGGCCCGTAGAGCGAGAGCTTGAAGGTCTTGACCCAGACGAATGAGCCGACAGGGGCTGCCGTGATGCCTGAATCGTCAAAGTACCCGCACGCCGCAGCCACGATACAGCCCATCAACAGACCGAGGATGACGCTGGTGGATTTCATGATTGGGGAGCCAAATCGCTCGCAGAGCAAGATGGTCACAAAGACCAAGAAGCCCAGACCAATGAACTCGGCACTGCCCCAGGGAAGAGCGTGCGGAGCTCCCACCGAAGGACACAGGGCGAAAGGCCCATCTTCTGGGCGCGAGGCGCAAAGCCCTGATCCGCCAGCCCAATTCATAAAGCCCGTCTCGATCAAATGAACCCCGATCAGGATAACAGTTGGACCAGTGACAATGGGCGGGAAGATCCTGCGCAGTGCCTTGGGTGGCAAGAAAGACAGTGCGATTTCGACCAGAGCACACAGCGCACACGTGCCAATGAGAGCACCATAAGCATCGGGGCAGGGCAGGCGATTTCCGTCGGCATCGAGTTGACACTTGCCATTTGCGTACATTTGCGCGAAAGCACCGGTGGCGACGGGGATAATGGCGAAGGATGTCCCCACGACCGAAATCAATCCCGTACCAATATAGTACGGTGTCCTCCAGATATGGAACCGAGTGATCTGGATAGAGGACAGGATACCACACACTATCAGAGAGGTGCTGACGAGATATTGTTGGTAGTCGGCTGGCAAATTGACACCTCCTTGGCCGGACAGAATGATGGGTGGCGTCATTATACCCGCCAACATGGCCAGAGCATGCTGGAAGCCTAGTAGGAAAGCCAGAACAATTGGCATGGAATCATGGAGGCCGAAAAAGGGCGCTGCCCGACGGGGCTTCTTGAGAAACGGGATGTTGGGTCGGAAAAGGAATGCATAGTCATATTCGCCAATCAAGCCATGTTTGGTGAAGAAGGTCTTGCGGAGGCTGTTCATACGGTCGGCAAGAGTCTTTTTGGGGCCCATGTCTGGCCCAATGCGGTCGCCTTCGCCCATTGTGAACAATGACTTGGGGTGGTGGGCTCGACTTGAGGATTAGGTCGCTGAGGATGGGGGTTGTGTTGGGTGGGTGAGGAGTTTGTTGGTGGTCGCGTGCTCAATCAATTGAGGTTCAGTTGTGTAGACATCTTTTCACCACCCCCAGAGTGACGTCCCAGTCCTCTCTTTATACAGATAATGCTCGAGCAAGAGCAGATTCTGACTCGCCGGACCATGGCCACCTCCGTTCAAGAGCTGCAAAAGTCAATTCTCGTTGATCAGGCGCTGATCCAAAATGGGCGTTCGGCCAGATTGGTTCTGTGGGCAGCCATATCACGATGGCCAGATTGGCGAAAGAGTCTGATAATATCGAAGCCCCATCATGACGGCCAGCGGCGACGAGCAATCAGTAGCAACAAAGGCTAGGCACTGATTAGGACCTCTCTGGACCCTTAGCAGCTGTGACAGGGTCCTCGCATTGGTGAAAGGCCCTGGACAAGGGGCACAACCAAGAAGAACTTTCTCCGAACACCGGGTATCGTAGTGCGCAGGCTGCGTCGGGACACGCCTGTGAGAGGCTGCGCGTTATCAAGACTCGCTGATTGGCTCGGAGAGCACCGACCGTCTCGATAAAATGCTTGGCATCAACTGAACTTGACCAATGCCTGCGGCTCTTCACTCGGGATTCTTTTCTCTCTCTCGCTCTTCTGGCTGGGCAGCCCATGCTTGCTTCTGTTCATGATATTTTCAGCCAGCTGGAATACTCGGTACTTGCAGTCTCTTCAGATGGAAAGACGTTTTCTGCCCCTTACACCGACCGCCGGGTAGGAAGTCCTGCCACGAGGACCGATTCTCTAGAAGAAAAACAAGCGTGGTCCGCGGTCGGAACCCCCTCGACCCCATACTTTTCCGTATCCAGAGTACATGTCTAGACCCATTGACAGAAGGAAAATGCAAATGGGTCACGCTAGCGATTCATATCAGATCGCCATCAGTATCCTCCCATTGGCCCCCTTGAGCAGATCACAAAAACCCCGTTGTCATGAATTTGACGCAAGAGCTCCTGCTGTTGTGAGTATCTGACCACTTGGTCTCGGCTTTCGGTTGTCGCAAACCAAGGCTCGTGATGTAACTGCGACCTTTCGTGATTTAGCGATAAGGAAACAACATTTTCTGCTTCATCATATGGTCAGATTTAGTCCAAAGCTGACTGTATTAGTGGAAAATCTTCATCAACATATGACGAGATTGTGTACTGTGTAATCTGCATGCTTTGTCATCGACCCTTGATCAGTTCCCCAATTTTGTTCCTCCTGTCGTCTATCGAAGCGATTCGCCTGTGACGTCTGCTCAAAAAGTTCTGGCCAGCGGACTCCAACGTCTCAATGTCGGCCCAAAGAAGAAAAGAACATATACCAGCACAACCAAACCGATGGAGATAAATGCCAGTGTCGAGAACGCCCATCTGATGTCCATGTTTTCAAACATGGCAACACCAGCGTGGGCGCAACCTGCCGCAATGAGAAAACTTGGGATGAGGAAAGCGGCAATGGCGCTGGCAGCCACATTCGGGTACGAATCCGTGATGTAGTTAAGCATTGCCAACCAAAGAAGCGGGTCACAAAAGCCGAGCACGCCGCCTGCCACGACAGGAGACCAGAATGACACGGAACCTAACCACGGATTAGGGCCAAAACATTATGCGCTACGATGAGGCATTGAATACTCACCATCGCATGTCCAAGCAAACCAGAACAGACTGATTGGAAACAGCCACACAGTCACCAGAGAGGTGAGGAAACGGGCTTCGGGCCGATGGCGACCGTGCTTCAACCTGTCGCGGCGAAAGAGGTAGGTTTGGACCGGCACGAAAATGAACGTCACAGTGACCCCTATTTCTGGCTTAGAAACTGTACACAAATTCTCAAAGGCAATCACGTACCAACACAAAAGTTGAGATAGGTCAACGAAGCTCCGATAAAACTTAGGCCGTTGTTGAAGACAAACACATCGAAGACGCCATCGAGGTAGAGGAACAGCAAACCGTAGGCAAATCCATTATATCTGAGCCCACGAGTCAGTCGGTAATATCTCTGAAACATGGGAGATACTCACAATCCGAGGGATATCACAATCGGCTCGGTGAACATGATCCTTAGTGCCATTGTCGCCACAAACTTCAGCTCCCGCACGACGGACAGCCTGCTTGACCCGAGCGCAATGTCCACGGCATTTTGATCGACACTACCTCGTCGCTTGACCGCTCTGGCGATGACGAGTCGGGGTAAAGTCTCAGGAATGAAACAGAGCAGAACGGCAAATGCGCCGCCAATGATGATATTGATGTAGAATATCCAGCGCCATCCCAAGCTCTCGTTTTCTGCAATCCACTCTCCTATCGGAGAACCCAGACTTGGTCCAAAGTTGGCAGAGAGGACGAAAAGAGCCATGGGTTGCGCCGCACCGTCATGGTCGCCGAAGAGATCGGCAATGGTGCCCGCAACGTTACACAACGCAACAGAGCCCGCGCATCCGATGAGGAAGCAGAAGATAACCAACATGGGGAAGTTGTCGGCCAGGGCGGTGCCGATATTGAGGATCGCATAGAAAAGGGTTGCTCCCACGTATACCCATTTCCTCCCTCCAATGTCCGACAAGGGGCCAAGGAAAGCAGGTCCCACGGCAGTGCCGACGATGAACATACTCTGGCCGAGCGTAGCGACCTGCGTGGAGCTGGTCCACTTCTCCATGATCAAAAATTCGACCGAGACGTACGTCGTCGAAGTCAGGGTGACGAAGATCTGGAGAAGGCAGTACACAGAGATGATGGACCATTTCTTCCACCACGGCCATCGAATCGGATGCGCATCCGAGTTGGTCTCGATCTTGGACAGCAGAGCAAGAGGGTCGTCTTGCTCGATGCTCGCCTCGAGGTCGACATTTCGCGGTACACTTTCCTTCTTTTCGAGCATGTCGGGAGACAGCTCCGGTGGGGAGGTCGTATCACCAGTCATATTTCAAGGCGAGCTGTGTAAGGCCGGGACAACGGGTTCGCAGGAGCCAGACTCACCCTTTGTGAGGAGTGACTCTAGTATACAAAAGCAGGCCAAATCGGCGTCCTAACAGAGACGGCGAGACGGAATGACTGAGCGAAAACATCCTCAGGGAGGACATTGATGAAATATGAAAAAGAGCACAAAGTGGATTTCGCATTTGTGGAGCCAGCTCGGCGGCGGGTGATGCCATAGCCCACGCATCAGGATTAGGATTGCGCGCGAAGCTTGAGAATGCTTATCGCAAGGCTTGAACACCAGCCAGTGACGTGTGGTGGGTGCATTCGGCCGTTGGATCGCCTCAGCAGGGCTTGATGAGATGAGGGAGCAGGCGCTGGCCTCTGCTTGGTTGTAACTGGCATTGTTATCAATGAAGAGATGGAACCACGATCGGACCAGTGACGAAGAGAGGAATCAACTTGTGCACCACTGATAGCGGCACGCGTCGGAACAAATTGGCGAAAGTTGGCTGCAACCATGGGGATCTTTTTTGAGGGAAAAAATCTGTCCGCACCACCAAGCACCACCCAGTCGGCGCGCCCAGTGATTGTCCGTGATGACGTGAAGCCCAAGCTTTTGCCCTGCAGCGAATAGTAATAAAGAAGCCAGCGGTAGTGGGGTTGGAGCTAATATATTTCAAGTTAGAAGTCGGAAACGGGCGAGGAGCATGGCAGCCTTTCCCCCCAAATGCAGTTGTTCCTGGTCAGATTCGTGTGTGCCTCGTGCAAACTGGAATATCAACACAACACAGCCAGAGGGAGGAATTGGTGGTGGCTCGTCTAAGACAACAGCCTGCTGAGATTCGGCATTCCAGTCAGCACGAGGGAGAGATAGCCATCGGTCAATTGATTCGCAGGTGTGCGGGTGCAAGTCCTGACGATCCCGGGCGGGCTTCTTTCTACAGGTACCGAGTACTGAGTACCGAGCATAGAGTACAGGGATCCCAAATATCGCTTCTTCTTTGAGGGATCGAGGAGCTGTGAGACGAGAGATATCGCCGAGTCCATGCACCTCGGCTACAGTACCCAAATGCGACCTTGAGAACCATGTGTCAGTGTCAGTGGGAACCGGATTCAGTCCCCTCCCTGCAATACACGAATACACGAGCCTGGGAAGGGGGGAGGAAGGGGGGGTTGGTGAAGGCCTGCTCCGCCACGTGTAACACCTCCATACAAGGTATACGAGTATGAGTGCTTGACGCACCACCCGTACGGGACGACCCCAAAGCAGTAAGAACTCTGAGTGGCCAAGCGGACAAGCCGGGCCTCCGCGGAACTTACTTGTTATTTGTTCTCGGCAGGGCAAAATTCTCAAATCACCGCCTCGAAGTTGATGATATGTATCGCATGGCGGATCTAGGACAACGCGGCCGAGTGCGGTTCGATCAGAGTCTGTGGTTGCGGTTGTGGTTGCGGTTGCGGTTGCTGTTGCTGTTGCTAGTAGCAGTCAATGTACTTTTTAATCGCTCGCATGTCGATGCCTCCGACATCTCCATCTTCGGCATCTGGCGATCTATAATATGTGGTGTAGTATTTGTGCTTTTGTCAAGGCTATTCCACCCAGAATTCTCCATCGACTGCGTTCGTTCTACAATGCCGCAAGAGCCTCGGTCCTCGACTGACTATTCGGATCCAGGTACGGAGCCTCGCCGATGCCCACAGCACGGTGTCCAAAACGCTCGCCCAAGCCATCGTAATCAAACGTGGCACAGTGGAAGACGCATCGGTTATCCCAGATCGCTGTGGTTGCAGAAAATGGATTAGCGTCCTGTGCCCTCACAGCAATACTTGAGGGGAGCTGGTCCAAACTTACCGATGTCATTCTCGTTCCTCCACTTGAATCTCACCTGCAGGTCGTGATTGTTCACGATCATCCCATGCAATTTCTTGGACAGCTCCTCCGTCTCCTCGGCATTCAACTCGCTGAAGGACTTAGGAAACGTCCCGATCGCATAAACGCTCTTCCACCCGGTGACCGGATTTGTCCTCACCACAGGATGCTCAGCGCTCAAATGCTTGCCCACGTTCAACGGCGATCCTCGCGGCTTATCATACAACGTCGCCCTCCCTTGCTGCTCGGCTCTGATGAACCCGTCCCCGACGAATTTGGCCGTCAGCCCTTCGAGGAACTTTTGCCACGGTCGGCTCATGCGATCGTATATCTCGTAACCACTGGCCCAGAGGGTATCCCCGCCCGTCTTGGGCAGCTGGGTGAGTCTCAAGCTCGTGTAGTCCGCGGGCGCGGGCTCGAATTGGATGTCGCTGTGCCATTGGGCAGCGTCGTACTTGCGTTTGTTCTTGATTTCGCCAGCATCGAAGAGTTTCTTGCGGGATATAGATGAGATGTTGCTGATCTCCAAATCATGCCCGAACTCGCTGGTTCCGTTGAGGACGGGATGGATGTGGAGCGTCGAAGAAGATGGCTTGCCGGTCAACTCTCCGAGGCGTTGGCAGAACTTCTTTTGCAGATCGTCCGTCAAGTTGTCCTGTTTGCGGAAGAAGACGACTCCACGCTCGCTGACTAATCCAAAGTATGGTTAATATCACACTGTTACAAGGGATCGCGAGGCTATGGGTGAACTCTCGCGCTGTGAAATTCAAACAGGGAGTTCATACTTGTGATAGCAAGATCTCTCAAGAGTGTATCTGCGTCCGCGGACTGAATCAAGTCATTCACAATGTTGACGTTCAGGAACTCTCGGCCAATAATTGGTGTCAGGTCTTCCGATTCAAATCTCTCGTTCAGCAATCCACTCTGTTTGAGCGGCTTTCGGGGACCCTGCCCATCGCCGTTGCTGTACGCGGTCGAGTGACCGTTCGAATAACTATCGCCAAGGGAGCCCATGGTTCCAGCCAGGTACAGCCTTATCTCCTTGTATCAATTGGTATCGAAGGAAAATAGATCTGGGAGACCGACACTTATTACCTGAACAAAGACTTACCGTTAGTATAGAATTGAGGATAACGATGAGTTTGAGAGAAAGAGAGGGGAAAGTAAATAGTAACCAGTTGATACGATCAACGATGGTTCCCTCGATTCAGTGATCACGCAATCCGTGTTGGAGATGACCGAATGCAGCTGTTTATCGCAAACTTCTCCTCACGTCTCAGTCGAACCGAGCATTTGGCGAATTAGACGAGCTGTTAACGTGGTCAGTAAAGCCAAAAGTCCACGTGGCAGCGACGGGCGGTTTTGCGTGTGGTGTGCCCAGATTCCGCGCAAGTCTATATCAGGCTTCTCTGAGTAGTCATTTTGCCTCGTCCAATGCGTACGTGGATCCGCGCGCCTGCCAATATATCCAGCTCGGTTGCCTGTGAATTAAATAATCTTGGCTCTGAATGGCATGCCGAATTCCGATAATTCTGCAAATGGCCATTGACAGGCAAGGCGTTGAAGCCATGATTGATTTCGCATCAGGTGCGGTTCGTCCACTTTGACTTTCTCCCAGACGGTTGGCAAGTTTGTAGCCGAATACTTTCTCCTCAGCTCGTCGTACCATTTGCGATCATACAGTGCCCAGAAATCCTCCTCTGGGTAGTACGTGTGTGAATATAGGACTTTGCGGCCGCCCAGCTCAGTTAGACGCCGCTCCAGCTGCCGATTTTGCTGCACAAAAGCTTCAGCGTCCATTGATGCCGGTCCCCAAAGACCAATATTCAGCATTGGCTGAGGCTTTCCGTCTGCGACATGACTGGGATGGAATGTTGGTGGGTCGGTGGCTCGTAAGGGACAGAGCCAAAGTGGCCAGACCCCCGGACTTTTGGAGGTGTCATCAATAAACTCTTCAACCGTGTCATAAGGTAACGAAAGGTCCTGGATCATGAAGCTGAAGTACATGTGGCCCGCGTGCAGAATTCGGTACATCATCCTTGTGTGCATGAAGTCGTTCACAAACCACCTGGTGTATCGATTGAACGGGATAAAATTGAAATAGCGAAATGCTTGCCTACCCACCCAAAACACACCCCGATCATAGCGAAACAAGTACTCGAAGATAGGGATATAGTCCGTAGAAGGGTTGTCCAGTGTCTTGCTCTTAACATGAAGGTAGAACCACGGGTTCCATGGACCGCTGAAGTGGTGAGGTTTCGCCGTATTTGGGATCTAATTTATCAGTTGGCCGGTCATCACGACACCGTGAACTCTGGAGAAGATGATGCCGTCCACGTAGTCATTGTCAGGGTTCTCTGTCTCTTGCTTTGACGCTTTGATAGTCTCATGAATGGTGGAATATGGATGATAGACCAACTTGACGAAGTAACTGGCAGGAATCAGCCGCAGTTCGAGCTTGGTAATAACACCTAGCGTCCCCAAAGACCCAGTCGCGCCTTTGAAAAAGTCGGCATTCTCAGTTGAAGAGGCGGTGATTGTCTGGCCCTCTGCAAGGACCACCTCAATGGATCTGACGGTCTGATCAAAGTAACCGTATCTGAAAGAGCTACTCTCTCCTGCGGACCCAGCAAATCCTCCTCCTACCGTGATACCTGGGAATTCCATGACAACTCGAGGTACCAATCCATGAGATAAGGTAGCCTGCACAAGCTTGTCCATAGGGACGTTAGGCTCCACGAGCGCCGTTGTCGATGAAGGGTTGACCTTTAGCACGTTGGACAAGCAGCTGATGTCAACAATACGGCTGTGGTCGACGGGACGAGTGCTGTTTGTGGATCCATGGAAGATGTGGAGCGGCTGGCCATTTTCAAAGAAAGCTCTTACTGCGCTGGATACTTGGGCGACATGTTCATCGTGGGAAGGCATTTCCCTGGTCCAAAGGGGACCTCAGACCTCAGTAAAGCCAAGATTCGGACAGCGCGAGGCGGAAGGCATTCCGTAGAGCTCAGAAGCCACTCGAGATAGCTTCATTGGCAACAATAGTGTGATGTACAAGGAAGAGAAGGTGAAACCTCTGAGGGAGGAAGCGAAAAGGCGGGAAAGAGAAAGAGCCCAAGCAGCCTTGTGGCCTTGGCATTCGAGCCTCGCAAGTCATTGCTCTTTCCCTTCACGTAACAGACTCACCAGGGTTATTGCTCCATACTCCTATCACTACTTCTATCTATCGACTCTGCCTCCGTGCTTGTCAAGAACACAGTGGCCGACACTGGTCGCCTGACTGACACTCTAGCTTGCCTCCCCATCAAACACGATGCGCAACACCTAATCCCGATCAGTGGTGTAACACCATTAACGTTGCTCCCGAGCTTCCTGTCTCGGCATCGTCGCATGCTCGCTTGTCGAAGTTTGCCTCACGTTCCAGGCATGGCCCAGAAGGCCTCTCGGTTTTCAGACCGGCGACAGTGGAGTTGTTAGTCATGGTTGCGTCCATCCGCCGAGACACCGTGCCCTGTAAGAGGCATCCCTCCTGGTTCGAACATGGGAGAAGAGGGGGCCAAAATTGTGGACGGCCAATACGCATCTTTTCGACGATCAGACCATGCATCATATCCAGGTTGATGCATCGTTCGCTTTATCTCGGGGGTTTGCTGCGTCTAAGCCCGGAAACGTGTCAAGCGACTTTTGGTTGTTGTCATTGCCTGTGTAAGGAGGCTTACAAGATGCCCCTCAAAGAGTCAGCAGACTGCCAACTCTCTCAGAAGAATGGTCCTGGCTGCTCCTCCGTGAGTTATGTGTATTGGAATGAGATCGAGAGGCTGATATTGAGGGCCTCGGATAGCTATATTGACGTTGTAGAGCAGATTTCTGCAACCAGGGGAGCGGCCTCACCACAACCTCGATTGTGCGGATCAGCAGCCTGAAGCGAGCTCACAAAGCTGCGCTTCTGCTATCGTGACTGGGTTGCTACTGCTAAGTCCACCAAGACTGGATTGCAGTCAGTATTGCGCAGATTGAACTGTCACTTTGAGACAAACCTGCCGAATGCTCCCATCTCGAGCAAAAGATCTCGTTCATGGATGGGTATCGACGCCTGACGTACGAGGGACAAGTGACATACTGTACGGCAGCCTTGCCACCACATGGCTTTGCACCTGGACATGTCTCTGTCTGAATATACCAACCTCGTCAAGCCGCCGCGGGTGGCGGTCTCTTCTGTACAAGTTCCGTTGGCAACTCTACACGATTTTCTTCCCTGAAGTCCTCGTGGCTATGGCCATGGAACAGTGGATGTCTGCACACCAGTCGGTCAAGATCTTCCACAGGCTCGGGCACCCGGAGTGGACTACACGTCACGGATTCTACGCAGATATGGGCGGCATCTTGATCGCGCCGCGCGACTATCCAGCCTTCCCGGTTGACAGCCAACAACTGGCTTACCTCGTTGAACATAAAAGTCTGGTCTTACCGGAGATTTCTGCGTTGGATATTGAAGCCCTGAACAAAGCGGACGGGCTCGCGCGCCTAGTGACACTCATTCAAATGACTTGGTTCTGCGTATCTTTCATCGCCCGTGGTGTTACCGGCCTGGGATATTCGACACTCGAAGTCACAACACTAGCATTCATCATATGCACGCTGCACACCTTCACCTTGTGGTACTATAAGCCGCTAGACCCTCAATCACAGCGCGTCGTGCCAGTTGACGCTGACATCAATCAGCTTTGCGTGCTGCCTAGCTCTGCTGCTGGTTCCAAGACGATGCCAGAAGTCACTGTCACTAATGCGACCGCCATCAACACTCCAGTGTGCGGCGCAGGCCGCGCGACATCCCCTTTCAACGTCGAGTCTTATTCGCGGACTCCCCTCGACTTCGTCAAGCCTATACCCGACCCGAAGAGTCTAACGGTTCCATTCTGGTATGGCTTTTCAGTCGTTTTCTTCTACGACCAACATGCCAAACAAAAGCCCGCACAAACCATGCCCAACAGCATTACTCTCCCGCCTGACGGCCTCACCATGGGAGTGACAATCTATACGCTGTTATTCCAGCTCATATATTATGGGCTGTACATCGGCTTCGCCTGGCTGGCAGCATTCCCCTCGCGGACCGAGTTCTATCTCTGGCTCGTGGCCAGTTGCACCGACTTTGGCCTGATCCTGCTCTACATCCTCGCCGTGCCGATCGGGGCCTACAACACGCGTCCTCTGGGCCGGTACTTTTTCAACGCCGAAGCCACCAGTATCCCGAAGCTGGCGAATATGTTGCCACCCTGGATCAAAATGCTCCTGCACGGCCCTTTCGTCTTTGCGTATATCGCCGCCAGAGCCATCGTGCTGGCCGAGTCATTAATCAGCCTCCGAGCACTGCCTGCGTCCGTGTACCAGGACATCAACTGGCCGAATTTCCTGCCTCATGTATGAGAGAGGAAGGTGCCCATCCAAATATGTAGAACAATGAATCCAGCCAGAAGGCCCTCGTATGCTCTCCAACTCCAACCTTTCCCCGTCGTCATCGATATTCCAAGCTTGGATCTTCCGTGCATACCACAAAACAGAGGTCACGCTCGAAAAAGACCGGCATTAGAAATGGGACTGCGGTTAGTTCGTGGCCTGATAAAAGCCCGCGGGCCGTTGCACGTTTAGTCTCTTTCCTTGTATCAGGTAATGGCCTCTCGTTGTTCCATCAAAGCCCTTCCAGACCTGGAATCCCGATGAGATCGCGTATTCTTTCGACACCATCGCATCGAGCACGACTAACACATTAGTCACGACTAAACAAAAAAGAATGCCGCACGACCAAAAAGGCACAAAGGAGCTTTTGGGGGGCAAGATTCGGCTCTTTTTCTTTCTTTCTCTCTGACTCGACCCGCTAAAATGTCAACTAACGATATTATCCAACCCCGGAGTTTTCTAAGACCCTTTCAATGCCTTGACCTCGGCGACAAGTTCTGTCACCGTCTTGGTCAGGCTGCTCAGCTGCCGTGACTGCTGGGCAATCAGGGCCTTCATGTTCTTAATCTCTCGCTCTATGGAATCCGACGCTGGCGATGCCTCGGCCACGTTCGAAGCCTCTCCCGCTTCGACGGTCTGCTCGTCTGGCAGCTCCGTCTCGGTCATCTGTTTCCATGTTAGCTTAGAAATGCGTGTGGGGACCATAGCTCGCTGACCTTGTGTTTAGGAGCTGGCTCGAGATCTTCAACGTCTTCCCACACTTTACTCGCGGTCGGAGTGGGAGATTGTTCTTTTTTCTCCTCGGAGACGACGGGCTTAGTCGAAGTTGTCCGTTCCACGGGCTTCTGGACCTCCTCGAAATCCGACTCGTCATCCCCTCCTTCCGTAGGTTCGGTGTCTTTGAATTTGTCCGCAGCACCCATCATGGTGGCACCTTGTTCCTTCATGGATGGAGGAGGAGATCGGATCGTTGTCGGCACAGGTTCTGGGGTAGGCTCGGGGGCGGCTTTCTTCGGTTCAGCAGCTTTAACAGGTTCGGGTGCCTTTTTGGCCGGTTTCGCCTCATCGGATGCGACTTCTTTGATACCGGTACCCTCATACAGACTTTCCATGGAAATCTTCGGTGGCAATCCTTCGGCACCATCGAGCCACTCCTTGCTGCTCATTGCGGGTTTCAACCCGACGGTAGGGGGGTAGATGTCCTCTTGAAACGTCTCTGCTCTCCGAGGCACAATAAATGAAATAGGCTCAATGTAATTGTCATTTACCGTCTTGTACGCCCGAGCGACCTCGTTCTCGTGCAGGTTGACACCCCTCTTGGGAATGAAAGCAACGCCACGTTGAGGGTCGGATGACTTGTACTCGGACAGATACTCGAACTTGTCGTGCTCATATTCGTAGTAACGGATGTTGCCATCGCCTCTGCCCGCGAGGAAGAGACACTGGGTGCCTTCGTCCCAGAAGGGCATGCAGACGCCCGATATCGAGTCGAGCATCTGGAACCCGTCGATGGGTTCTTGTGCGTTTCGGACGTCCCAAAGCGCCAGCTGACGGTCACTCATTCTGGAGAAGCCGGTCGTAGCGATGCGGTCGTGCTCGCCCATCCACACGGCGCGACTGTTTTTGGCACCCGCGTGGCCCGGGCCTTCATGGACAGGCTTTTCCTGTCTGGTGTCCCATATTCTCAACTTTTTGTCTCGGGAAGTCGTCACCAAGAGGGAGCCGTTCGCACTCCATGACAAAGACTGGATCACCTCGCCAACCTTGAGCGACAGCTTGGAAGAGCCTGACTCGATATCCCATATCTTGACGGTGAAATCTCCAGCTGCAGACGCCAGGACATTTTCGGCGGCGGGATTGAAGAGCACGTGTCCCACTTTCCTGGACGGAATTAGTTCATGTGTTCCAGAGGTTTATGGACCAATTTGCGTACTTTGGGTGGCCACTGAGTTTGCCTACTGGGGCAATGTCTTGGACCTCATCCGCGGGAATGTCGAGATGCAGTGTAAAGTCGTCTGGCACTCTCCATAAGAAGACCTGCGGAGGTCAGCAAATTTCCCGTTTGCAGAGTACGTATAGCCACCTTTCCGTCATCTGACCCCGAAGCGATCAACGAGTCATTAAAAGGGTTCCTTCACATGTAAGCCTGGGCGCCCTTTCTTCACTTCTCTTTTGACATCACCCACCAATCTGTGTCCAAGACCACGGCGGTATGTCCTCGGAAGAGCGGTATACGTTCGGGAAGTCGGCCTTTCTCATTTGTAGGGATGACGGCAAACGCACCGCCGCCGCTGCTGTCCCAGTTGAGGGCGAGGTATTCGGGGTTGGCCTGGAATTGTGAGCTTCGGGGCCGACTGCAGCTTGCGGTCGTTGCGTACCTTGATCAAGTTTGTGTCCCAAGCGTTCTTGGATACCCTTACATTGTCATAGCATTGTTCCTTTTGCAGCTCTTAGCCTTGAATTCCTCCCCAGTTGAGAAGTGAGTGTGAAAGTCGCACCTTGCGAGTCGGGCGGCCGAACACGTGCCGATATTTGGAGGAGCGTACAAAACGGCCTGCCATAGGTTTTGACGGTGAGGAAACCTGGAGAATGAATACTGGGTGTTCCGGAGAAAACTGGAAATGACTGAGCCTGCAGTCTCGAGAGGCTTCTTCAGATTTGCCAGGCTGGAACAAATCTGAAGCACTTCGGGAGGTATTGGGAGCTGACCGCAGCCGCAGCGGCCCTTGTGGTGCTTGGTCCCTCCATTGGCGAGTCGGAGGAATGAGAGCGCTAACTATTTATGGTGATACGGCGGATCATGAACAAACCTGCCAAGACGAGTGCTCATGCGGCGTCCTGAATTGGGACGAGATTGATGCTGGACATAGTCTTTGTACGAATACTAGTGAGCATCTCACATGCGTTGAGAACGATCAATATGCCTCCCTTGCGCTTAGGGCCTACTGGTAAGGCTTCATACATACACCCATACATACGTCGATACAAACATCCACATCACCTGCCAAAGCCTCAAAGCTCAAGACACAAAGCTCCTATAGAGCATACCGAAACTCGAGATTCTGCCGATCCGTCAAATCCATAAACTCCGTGTCGGGGACGTGCACGTATCCCTCGGCGGCGGCGAGGCGGTCGCGGCGCTTATTCTCCCACGCGTACCAGAACCGGAGGATCAAGGCGGTCACGATGGCCAGCGACAGACAGGCCATGATGGCGACCTTGGCCGGGATGTATTCCGGGGCGGTGTAGCCGGTGAAGGTGAGGGGGCCGATGATGTTGGAGGCGCCGTAGGCGAAGAGGATTATGGCGTTGATGGTGATTTTCTTGGTGTGGCCCGCGTAGTTCGCCGCGGCCCAGGAGTACATCATCGAGAGGTCTGTGTTCGTTTAAAGTGTGGTGAGTAGGGGTGTTTTTCGCGTCTCAAGGATACACGGCGGGTTCCTGGAGGAAGGGAAAGAAAACTCACTAGGTCCAAAGATCTGAGTCAGGTAAATGCCCGCCAGTTTCCCAGCCTTGTCGGTCTTGGGGAGAAAAGCCATCAATCCACCACCCAGGACACCGGGCAATAGGAGCGCGACGATGCCATAACCCCGATTGTTGAATCTGCCCGCGTACCACGACGCCGACAGCACCGCAATCATGGAAATGGCTCCACTGGGAATATTCAGCAAGGCAGATTCTTTGGACGTGTACCCGAACCCCTTGATCAGGGTCGACGAGTACGTGCCGCACGCGCCAGTGGGGACGTTGCCCGCGATGATGATGACGGCGATGAGCAACGTGCGCGGATCCATGACGGTCTCCATGAATTGGGGCTTCTTGAACGTCTTGTTCTCAATGCCTGTCATGTTCTCACGCAGTCGTTCAATGGCCAGGACTTTCTCCTCGTGCGTGAAGTGCGAGGCCATGGGGGAGTCGGGCAGGACGAGGAAGACGACGATGCCCCATGCGACGGTGATGATGCCGAAGACGAGGAACATGATCTATTTCACATAGTTAGCTTCTCCAAGAATGTTTTCGTTCCCCGGTGCTGAGAAAAGCAGAGACAAGAGAAACTGACCTGCCACGACTTGAACGTGTCGGCGTGATAGAATTGGAAGCCAAACGAAGCCAGAGCTCCGGCGATGGTGCCGCCGCCCACACCCAGATACCAGATGGCCACTCTCAAGGGCTGTTCCGCACGCTTTAATCGGACGGTCAGTATCTTCCTCGAGGATTGGTGCTATGAGGATCTCCATACCTTGTACCACATTCCCGTGATCAAAATCAGGCACGGTGCGCTAGACGCTTCAAAAACGCCCAAGAGCAAGCGAACCACAATAAGACCGCCAAAGTTGTGACACGCGCTGTGCACTGCTCACGAGAAATAAAGAGTCAGCCTCTCCTCCAAACTCTTGGAGATCCATGTCATTGTCTCGCGATTCACATACCGGCCAGAGTGACACCCCACAACACCACATTCACAGCGAGGTACTTGGCCGTCGGGAACTTTTGCATCAGGTAGGCGTGCACGGGCTGGAAGACGGCAAAGGTGACGTAGAAGAAGGTGGCCAGGTACGAGAAGTCGGCGGGGCTCATGTGTGTGTCTTTGCTGAGTCCCATGACGTTGGCGTAGTTGACTATTTTTAAGGAAAGATATCAGCACAGTACACCATGGCATAGCACACACGGGGGGGCTTTTGTCCCTGTTTACTTCGCAACGAGAGATGAATCTCTTGGGGAAGAACATACTCAGACTCTTGTCAATGTACTGGAGAACATAGACGCCAAACAACATGGGCATGATGAGCCGGTCGATGCGGCGCAGGAGCTTCTTCTCGTCCAGCTCGGCGATGGAGGCGTCGGCTTCATTGCGCAGGAACGCGAGGGCCCCGTCGACCTGGTCGAGGGCGAGTTTCTCCTTGGTCACGACGGGGTCGTCGGTGATGGTGGGATTGGCACGGCCGATTTTTTCCACGTCCGTGGCCATCTCCTCTCTTCTCGTCCGTCGGCGGAGTGGCTAGCTGGTGAGTCGAGATGTCAAGAGTGATGGACAGCGTTGCGTTGGGTGGTGGTAAGTCTTCACCTCTGAAATAGAGATCGAGTTAGAGAGGCAGAGTGAGAGGAAGGGAGGGAGAGAAGGACAATCTTCGCTTCTCACGACCATTTTTTCGTCGCGTCTGGAATCCAGGACTATCTATATACATCCATGACCCGTGTGGATCACACCAGGAACATGACATGGCATGGCAGGACGTGAAGTTCTGTCCAGGCTATTGTCCAGGGTCAAATCCCACCACGCTTAGTTAGTTTCGCCCTTCCTCCCCCATCTCGAACCGAACCATCGTGGCGGATAACTGACCTAGCCTTTGCCTTGTACCTACCTCGCCACCTACTCGTCACCCTGTCACAAGCCGGTCCGGTACAAGGATCGATTACCATTGAGGTAAATGCGCAAAAGACCCTAAGACCCCCGTAACCGCGTACAAGCACTACCTAGGTAGTTAGTTACCTGAGTTTCTCCAACGGGTAATAAACTGGTGCTCGCGAGATATCGGTATTCGTAGTGGTCTTGCTCTTGGTATTGGTAAGGCCATTCTCCGCACGCGGCAGAGATACAGTCCCGACGCTAATGCAGGGCCACTGCAGGTTGGAGAGATACAGTCCCGACGCTAATGCAGGGCCACTGCAGGTTGGAGAGATACAGTCCCGCGTAGTCTTTTAGGTTAGTGGCGTTGACAAGAGATACAGTCCCGTCGCCTTTGCCGATCAGTCTGTGCACCTATCCCATCGTCCAACGCCTATCACATTACCTACTCGTCACGCTTGTACTGTACTGTGCCCTCCCTATCAAGCAGGTCAGATCAGATCAGATCAGATCGGTATGGATGTATGTATGTATGTAGGGCGCGAGGGTCAGGCGACATCCCTACAGTCTCGTAGACGAGATACAGATACAGTCCCGCCGACTGTGGAGGTATGGCGCATACCTTCTACCTTGTAGGACTGGCACCGAGATACTGGAGGGATTCCGGTTCAAGTGAGTGAGTGAGTCACTTAGTCAGTCAGTCGGACAAGTCAGATCACGGCCCATCTCTAGTCAAGTGTGTGCCTCTCTCTCTCTCCTCTGTTACTCGTTCGTATACAGACAGACAGACAGACAGAGTGTCCTTCCACGTGGCATTCCAAACCCCCTCCCCCTCTTTCACTCGCAGCAACTCCAACGCCCACCGTGCCATCCATCCCTCGGGGGTCTGTCTGCCTGTCCCTCGGGAATCCGTGACGAGAATCCAAGGCGTAATAATAACGGCAAAATACCTTCGTACATGGGGGGTCCTTTGTACCCATGGGAGTTTGGAGGGAGGCAACTTCAAGGAAAGAAACTTCACGGTGGAGTTTATCCACATAAAAACGCGTACCAAGAGGGAGGTGCTATGTATGGAGGATAGATATGCTGGTATACAAACGAGTACATATACTATAGACTGTCGTCGGATGATCCTTTGACATCGTGAGAAGGTCTACTTCATACAGCGAACGGTTTGGACATTTCTTCTCGTTTCTCTGTTTGAAATACTTTTCGCTACCTCACCCATAATGATCATCACACGAACAACGAGAGCACTGGGCCTGCTGGCATCCAGAGTCGAGTCGACCTCGTATTCACCACTCTCCAGATCCGTTACCTGCGGCCAAACGTACATCCGCACGCTGAGCACAGCGACTACGACTACCATTCCCTCCTACACCGTGAACAAAGACAGGCTCTGGAACACCATCCATGACACCGCACAATGGGGTGCCACTCCAGATGGAGGGATCCGTCGACTGGCCCTGACTGATACGGACAAAGCCGTGCGCCAGTGGTTCGTCTCCACCACCGAGTCGTTGGGATGCACGGTCAAGGTCGACCAAATGGGCAGCTTGTTCGCGACTCGCGCGGGCATCTCCACTTCCCTGGCCCCCATCGGAATTGGGAGCCACCTCGATACCCAGCCCGCCGGGGGTCGCTATGACGGGATTCTCGGCGTGCAGGCTGGCATTGAGATCCTGCGGGTGCTCGAGGAAAACGGACACCAGACATATGCACCGTTGGCCGTCATCGACTGGACAAATGAGGAAGGTGCTCGGTTCAATACCGGCATGGTCTCGTCGGGTGTCTGGTCTGGCCGGTACACCCTGGACTTTGCCCACGCCCTGCCAGCCGCCGAGGACAAGACCAAGACGATGACCTTGAAGAGTGAACTCGAGCGCATCGGCTTCCTGGGAAGTGTACCCGCGTGGCACGAGGCAAACCCGCTGAGTGCCCATTTCGAGCTGCACATCGAACAAGGCCCAATCCTTGAGGATGAGGACAAGAAGGTAGGCGTGGTGACGGGCGTGCAGAGTATGGGGTGGCTCATCATCACCGTCCACGGGAAAAACCAGCATTCAGGCACCTGCCCCATGGACAGACGGGCCTGTGCTCTGACTTCCGCCGCCCGGATGATCTCGCGGGTGGAGGAGATTGCTCTTGCGGCAAATGGCCTGTCGACCGTGGGAGTCATCAACTCGTGGCCTCAATCCCCCGCCACGGTGCCACACAAAGTGGTCTTCAGCGTCGACTTGAGCCACCACTCCACCGAAGTGCGTGAGCGTATGATTGCCGATACCTGTGCAGAGTTTGCCCGCATCGCCCAGGCGAACAAGTGCACGGTTGAGATCGAAGACATCTGGAACAGCCCGGCCGTACAGTTCCATGACGATTGTATCAGCTGTGTGCGCGAGGCTGCACGGAATGCGGCTGGAGAAGAGAACGTCAGGGAGATGATGGCAGGCGCTGGTCACGACAGCGTGCACACCAGCGACCGGTGCCCAACAAGCATGGTGTTTATCCCGTCAAAGGGAGGCATCTCGCATCACCCCGACGAGTATTCTTCACCAGAGCAATGGTACGTTTCATCTAACCCTTCGTCCTCCATACTCACAGGCTATACAAGCTGACAATGATATATCCAGTGCTCTGGGGGCGCAGGTCTTGCTTGAAAGTGTCCTGCGCTATGACGAGCGACTGCGGCAGGCTGCACTTTGACCAATTACACGAGCGGACTTGAGTGATCTGTTTTGAAGTTGAGGCAACGTTCAACGGTGAAGAGAGTCCATGGATTTCGAATTTTGCATTGCTTGAAGAAAAGTGAAAACCTCTGTCATTGATCTTCTGGTCCGGGGATCGGAATCTTGGACAACATTTTCTTGTGAGGTATCCCTGGTCTCATCTTAATCCGGAATATTGCTTTCGAGCAGTGGTCTCCCATGTTGCATGCATTGCAGGAAGTGCCTGATCGTTGGACAGTGGTGTACACATGGATTGCCAGCTTGACATGTTCGTAGCAGGTACATCGGTTGGAGGATGAATCATACTTTGGTGGTCCAGATTGACTGGCGTCAGATTATTCACACCATAGAAGATGTCGCTCGTTGGAGCCTCTGGCATGTTGAGAAGAGCCTGTGACGGAGATATTGTTGGCATATGTTGCCAGGAGTGTTCGGATACCGGACAAGAGTGTGGTGGAAACCCTGAAGATGATGATGGATGGGCGAAAGAAGCAGAGACCTCTGGTGGCTGTGGCCATGTAGATACTTGACACGGCCAGGGCGGAGGAGTAGTAGCAGGGTCGATATAAAGAGGTTGCTGCAGCGTTGGTGTCCATGAGGTGCTAGATTCACCCGTCTCTTGACATGATTCTGCGGGCGTCCCAGTTTTGACATGACCTGCGAGCTCAGTGATTAGAACCAGAAGTGCTGTTACTGTCACTGTAGTGAGCCATAGCTCCACGTACCAATCAACCTCTGGACACGCAGAATGTTCTCAGGGGTGCCGTCTTCTCCCAATATATCAAGCGCTTCCATGACCTCCACTTTGACCACGACGCACGGGTAGCCCAGACGGACACAATTGGCACATCTGCGCAAAGGGTCCCCAACCGCAGGCCTACATCTGGCCTTTCGTTTCCGGCAGTGTCCTGGCTAAATGAGCGAGTTGTCCACATTCATCACCATCATCCCAACCCCGGAAATCTTTGCACCCGTACTCACCGCACGCGACAGATGCCCGGTAGTAGCCCAGCTTGTCCCCTTTCGACCGCGCCCGTGAGAAGTAGCCACAGTGAGACATGATAATTTTGCAAGCCTTGAAAATGAACGACTGCGTGTGGCTCTTTTTTGGTTGTGTATGTATACCGGTAATTGCCGACGTTGGAGTTGATCAGAGAGATTCTCTGGACGTACAACCAAAGATGAAATGTCCAGGGCCCTTATCACTAGAGAAACCCCGCATGCTCGACGCGGATGCCTAGTCTGGATAAGCCTGTGTTGGGTAAGGAACCCCAGACGACACTCGCGGTGAGCAGCGTACAGTTCTGGAATGGGCGGCCATGGCGGCTAAACGTTGGGCGTCTTCTCCTCCTCTTCTACCGAGGCCAGATAAGTGCTCGATAGTCACCGACCAGCAAGGCAGTCAAACCTTCACGGCCAAACGCCGTTTCTCCACATGGTGCCGGATAACTAGACATCTTGCCGCCAAGTTGGTTGCTGTACTGCGAGACACATGATGGCCTGTCACATCCTCTTTCTCGCGCTGCGCTTAGCTCTGCGATCTGGATGTCCTTTCCGCTAGAAGATGTTCGCTCCAAGCTGGTGGTGTTGAGTTGGTGGAGACTGCGTAGGGAGCGCTGACCCAATTCGGTAAGATTCCCGACCAATGATAGGCCGATCAGATATGGATCTGGACAGGCCGTTGGACTATTCCGGAAATAGCCTGGTCATATCAAGTAATATATATTTTGGCATGTCCTGGAGATGGACTCCTTCTCGTTTCTGTGAAACAACTATGTCAAAAGGACGAGTCAGGTAGGAGGGATATGTTGGGAAGCTGCGCCATGTGAAATCCCTGGAGACGCATGGCCATAGAAACATTTTCCGCTCCGGCGTGGATCGAGTTCCTTCCCAAAAGAAAAATGAAGCAAACTATCAGCGTTCTGAGGACGTGTCTCTTTCGCAAAGATGAGAGAAATGTGTCTGTCTACGACTTGGACACACTCCTACCACCCGGCCCCTCTCCAACCATGGCCGTCAAGTCCGGCACGACAGGCAGAAACACATGGTCCCCGACATCCATACTGGCCACATTCGGCATGCGCTCCCCGAGAACCCTAGCGGCCTGCGCGCCTGTAAGGACCATAATGACCTCCCCGTCCGCACTTCGATGCAGGTGCTCTGACTCGCCGCCAAACAAGCTATCGTACATGGCCGCCGGGGTGGTCGACAAGTCCAGCCGGTTCAGGATGTGCATCGTCCAGCTGTCCTCGCTTTCTCGACACACAAAGGCGCCGATGCTGTTGTACTTGGCGCCGTTGTCCTTGAGGAGACTGCGGATTTGCCCAAAGTCCGAATAGTGCTTCTCGACCCTTTCCTGCCATTTGGAATGCTCGGGTGTGATGCCCGTCGCAGCGAGGACGTCCTCTGCCCCAAGAGACTGGACGAGCGCAATGTCGAGTGGGGTCTCGCCTTTGCCGTTGAGCACGTTCCAATTCAGAGGCCCCTCGGCTTCTCTGGCGATATATCGGAGTGCGTCCAAGTTGCCGCTCTCTACCGCTATATGAAGCGCAGTGGTGCCGTCTTTGGTGTCCGAGGTCAGTCGCTCTAGATGGTCGCTTTCCGGCCAGAGACCGACAATTGCGTCCAGCACGGGCAAGGCAGTTCGTCCCCGTTGCGCGTGTGATGGTTCGAGGTAGAAGACTGCCGCGTGCAGCGCGGTCAAACTCGAGCCTTCTTCTTCTCCTTCGAGGACGTTCTCAAAGAGTTCATCGCTTCCGTCTGGCACCAGAGATAGGAGGAAGAGAGTCTGGGCTTCGCTGGCCTTGTAAATCTTGCTATCACGAATCAGCCGTCCTAGTAGAGTCGACTTGCCTCTGTCCTTTTCGTCTCGACGACAGATGAGATCGTTTGGCGATTTGTAGAGTTCTCGAGCACGGTGAAAGTAGCCGCCCAATACTGCCGACTCGAACAGGCTGATCTTCTCGCCAGCATCCGACTTTTCAGGAAGTATCTCCCCTTTGGGTACGCCTACTGGCTCTGCAGACTTGAAAGTCCATTCTTGTCGGCCATCACGGCCAGGGCGAATGGCGATTGACACCCGGATCCCGCCCTGCGATCGAGGTACCGCGGCAGGCCCGTATTGATCTGGTCCAATGAGGAGGCTCTCCTTCTGATCACGGACGAGTTCCAAGCTGATCCGGGATGTTGGCGTGGATTTGAACTTCTGATCGAGCTTGATGAAGTAGTCAACCACTTCGGCGGGCTTGTGACCCTGGATCGAGGCTTTGAACTTGAACCCCTCATGTTCTGGGTGGTTTTGGAGTGTAGCCTCTAGCAGTGGGACGAGCTGATGGACGGTCGCACGGTCTTCAAAGTCGATGGCCCGCTGCATGATCTTGGCCAGCTCCTGGATCGGAGGCTGAAGCTGGCCACGAATCACAGCCCACAGTCGCCTCATCAGGAAAGGCTGCCCGAGATGGCAACTCGCGTCGAAGCTATACCGACTGTAAAGTCCCATGCGGTGCTCGCAGGTCTTGCTGTTCTTGCTTCCTCGCGTGTAGAGAAACTCTACTGTGTCGACACAGTGTTGAACATGCTCTTTGCCGTGGAGGCAGAGCCTCTGCCAGATGCCTGATGCCGAGTAGTCCAGCGCACACCATATGGGCAGAACCCAGAAGAACGGCTCATCGTAACGGATGACACTGCTGAGTTCCTCGTACCGTCTGTCGTCCGGAAGCAGTGCTCGCAGAACTTGTATCATGTGAAGTCGTGCTGCGTAATGTACCGGGCTGTAGAGACGGCCACCGCGGGCGATGAGAAGCTGCCTGTCAAGCTTGGTCATTGTCTCCATCTGGTCAAATGGGTCGGCCCCAAGCCGAACAAGGCCCTGGACGGCGGTGACGCTACCTGCCACCACAGCAGACAAGAGCGGCGTTGCATAAAAAACAGCATCCTGCAGGTCGATGCATCCAGGCCGGCTCCGCGACAGCCAGCACCGCGCCTCGATATCGGCGCCAGCATCTTTCAATTTTTCTGCAACTTCGCTGACCTTCTCGTCGGGGAACATGGACAGTAGGTGAAGGGCCGTCGTCCCATCTGCCTGCAAGGGCACCTTGACGTCCGCACCGGCGGCAATGCAGAGCATCACCGCTTCCACATTTCCAGCGTAGCACGCCTCCAGCAGCAGCGTCCGGCCCTTGACCATCGGTTCGTTCAACGGCTTTCCCAGAGATGGCAGGGCCTGTTTCAGCATCTCGTTCTTACCGAACAAAATGGCATGCTGGCAAAACATCCAATGTTCAGACGATCCAAGCTCCAGCGCGCCAAAGACTTTCATAATATCCGCCCCGTCTTCCATGAGCAGGCCGAGAATGAGGCTGGACCATGTGTTGCGGTAAAAAACCCTGCTCATTCGCACCGCGTCCTCGTACTTGGCCCCATCGAGCTTTCGAAGACGCTGCTTTGCCAGGCTCTCGCCCTCTTCTTTCCCACGTACTATCAAGTCCTGGAGCCACTCGATCTCGGTGTCTCGGTTGAGGTCCTCGAGTTGGAGCTCGAGGCCTTCTACAATCATCCCGACGGAAGCTCGTGCCAGTGAATGACCCAACTGCGCGGCTTGCAACAATAAATCCGTCGCCTTTCGGAGGTCTTCGTCGCGTGCAAGGGGGCTGATTTGGTGTCTACCCACGGTCAAGCCCGCGAACTCGTAGGCTGCTGTTGCCCGACGAGAGTCATCTTGGGATTTCTTGTCCGACGCAACTGTTTCAAGTTCTTGTAAGACGGCGGAGAATACCCTCGAGGGCAGGTTTCGAAGCCTCTTGAACGATGTGACATGCTGGGGTGGTTAGCGAGAAAGGAGCACATGTGTGATAGCAGACATACCGAGATCACAGCCTCATGGGTGTAAGTTCGTAAAACTTGCTCGTCTGACTGGCGCAGACGTGCCATAGACTCTAGTCTGTTGAAAAAGCTGGCGTTCTCTAAGGTGTCGTCTATCCCTTGCTGCGAGGAAGAGCCTTCGGCATCGCTCGGGTCTGGAAGAAGTTCCTGTTCGTCCGGAAAAGATCTTTCTGATGCGCTATCTGAGAGAGACTCTCTTCGATTCCCTTCACTTGTGCCGGTGGGATCAGCCACAGCATTGTCTGTGACCCTCCACATATCAGACTCGGCTTCCCTCATCGTCATCTCAATAGCGTCATCTATCTCCGAGGCAGGGTCAATCGCTACAAGAGTTCAGTCATCGTCCACGCGTTGTAAGTGGGTAAGACGTAGGAGGATGAACACTTACTTGGATTCGCAATGACATTCTCCTCCAGCGAGGTTAGCGAAGACAAGTTCCGAGTCTTCTCACGGAGCTCCATGGCGACTACCAGGTGCAGCAAGAGCCTCAGAATCTTGAGAATGTCCAATGCGCCGGATGTGCACTCTACAAAGGGCGCCTGTGTTGAAAGTGCATAGATCAGCGTGATTCGTTTCAAATGCATGGTGTGTTCTGTCTCGCCGGCAGGCATTGTATTCTCGGCCATCACAGCAAAGTCGGCCATAGCATCGCCGAGGTCGCCGCTGGTCTTTAACTCATCGAGATGACGACCTCCGGAGCCAGTCTTGGTCAAATGTTCAAGGATATCAGGTCTGATCCTCGTGATCAGGACCGCAAGGATTAGCCCAAAAGCATACACGTCGGACCGCACAAGCTGCTGAGCGGTGCATTCTCGAGTAGCCCATGGGCTTTGCCAGAGCTCGGTCCCAGGTGCAATGGGATAAGTCGAGCCGCGAGGGAGATCGCTCAGCAAGACCGATGAACTAAAGTCTGACAGCTTTGCTACTGGCTTTCCGTGGCGGTCCAAGCAAAGCAGAATGTTTGCTGGTTTCATGTCGCAATGCACGACTCCTACGTCATGGAGAGCCCGCAGACCTTCCGCAACCCCTATGGCGAGTGCGAGCTGTTCTACCAACGTGGCCGGGTCATCACGCAGGAAGGATTCGAGATCGCCAAGTTCGGCGTACTCGAGCACAAAGACTGGTAGAATTCGCTCTTTCGTGGCATTGGTGACTTCCCACGCCAGACCCAATAGCTCAATGATGTTTGCATGCTTCCGTATCGAGTCGCTCCTTAAGACCGCAAGTTCTGTGGCCATAGAACGCATGTCAAGAGCGGCTTTGGGGCTGCGAATGATGTACTTGTTGCGTCCCAAATAGAGGAGCGGGTCGGAGTTGAGGTTTCGCGAGTCCACGCACCGGCGCAGACGATTGGGAGGCACAGCGATGGCATTGAAACTGCCACCAAAACCCAAGGCCTCTTCTTGAGGAAATGATGTTTTCTCAATGCAGATTTGGGAAAGCAGTTCCTCCTCCGCACTGGGATTGTCGGGCATCCCGGCGATGCTGGCTGTCAACAGGGCGAGAAGGTCGTAGCTGGCCATCTTGTTTGTCGCCGTGTTAAAATCCACGGTGCAGACGGAGACAACAATGATTTGAGCCGATTTAAATATCAAGAGAGTTCCAGAGAGTTAAAATGTTGTGTTCCAAGAGGGAATGCTATGAGAACCGCCACTCCAGGCGTGACCATGACCGTCATTAACCGCAGGAGCACAGTCGACATGTCGCCGAGACTGGAACAAGGACGCATGGAACTTTTGTAGAGGATGCTATTTGTCGGTCAAGACTTTTTCTCGTGTTGATGAGGGCGCAGCCCAACGCTGCAGGACCCTGCGTGGTCTGGACACGAGGCAACCAAGCACTGCCCCGGCTGGGCAAGTATTTGGCCTTCGCAGCATGTGCTCCAAAAGCAGTCTCCTGCCCACTTCCACATGCGAGTTCCCATCTTCTCGGCTGAGGCTCGAAGGGAACTTGTTTGTCAATCGACCAGTTACTCTTCGTGAACCGGGACCATGGATCCTTTCAGCATTATTGGAGCAATTGGTTTTGCATTTCAAGTCGTCGAGATAACAATCGATGCAGTCGACTACTGGAAGAGAACCAACGATGTGGGAGACGACATCATCATGATAGTGGCACGTCTTGACATGATTCGGGCGCGGATCAAGTCGTGGTCAGTCGACTGGGGCATGCGTGAGCAACGACACCTGGAGCATCCCAAGTTCCGCGAATACGGCCACTTGGCTCTTCACTATCTTGTCATCATTCAGCGCCGTCTGGTGCGCTTCGAAGACTTTGAGACAAGGTATACCGGCCTCTTCGGAGCTGCTCGAACGCGGAGCACGGGCTCGGTCTCGCGGATCGCAGCTGTGGCAGCCTTTGAGCAGACGGCAACGAACGAAGGCCATGTCATTAGTGGCGCAGAGCTCGTCACGCAGTTGAAGAAAGACGTAACCGCATTGAATCACGGCAACGTGCTCGAGCGCTGGAGATGGGCTCGCAGAGACAAGCGAGGCCAGATGATGGTCGAACAGATCGACACGCTGGTCAAAGATCTGGAGGACTTCTTCCCACCTCCACGCAGCGATGCAGCCGGTGCTATCGTCTTCAACCGCGGCCTCTCTTCCAGCAATATTGACAGCCTTCAAGCCCTCCCGAAGCTTGAGGAAATGCAAGAAGGAGATGACAACCCCGACATGCGCGACGTCTCGACCTTGGCATCCTTGAAGATCATCGCCGCTAACCTCGGTCAGCGAGCCGCAAAGGCCAAAGAACAGACACTTCGATGGAGGTCCATCACTACCGAAGACGGCAAGGCACTCTCGCTTGAGCCGTGCGTAGGCGGCCGGGGGATAGCGAAATGGAAACAGACGTCTCGAGGAGACGCCGAGACAGTCCTGGTAGAATGGAAAATTGTGCCCATGTCACTGCCACTGGACCAGAAAACAAAGCTCGATGCGCGTATCTACGATCTCGGCAAGATGCTGCAAGCGGCAGGCAAGCCCACCAAGATGCTCACACTCGACTGTCTTGGGATCGCCGAGAAGCCGGTGTCCGACTCAAGCGATGCCCAGTACGGCCTTGTCTTTCGCGTGCCGCCCAATCACCGACCTACCTCCCTGTACGAGCATCTTGTTACTCCTGGAACAGAGCCCAGTTGCTTCTCTCACCGTTTTGCCCTCGCACGCGCCCTCGCCAAAGCTGTGCTGTACCTCCATTTGGCCTCGTGGCTACACAAGGGCATACGCAGTGCCAGTGTACTCTTCTTCACCAGCCTGTCAGACAACGTGGTGGATATAGCTGCTCCACGCCTTGCTGGGTTCGAGTACAGTCGTCTCGACGAGCCTAGCGCACTGACAGAGAGCACAACAGACTTTGGCGACCACAATCTATACCGTCATCCACAGCACCGCGGGTTACCAGTGTCAGACGACCAGGAAACGAACAACCAGCCGAGTAAGAAGCGTAACTCCTTCAACTACAAAGCCGACCTGTACAGCCTGGGCGTCGTGCTGCTCGAGGTTGGACTGTGGCTCACGGCGGCGAAAGTCGTGGCGAAGGACAAGGATGCTAACCACAGTGCCGGCGGTGACGCCGACCAGGGGGATAGAAAATATGGTGATGAGGAGGAGGATGAAGTTCGCAATGTGTTCGTGCGACAGATTCCCACGTTGAGGCGGACGATGGGCCCAATTTATGCAGATGTAGTCGAGAGGTGTCTGACTGGGGATTTTAAGCCCAATGACGACGAGGCACTGGCAACTGTGTCGGAGGCTTTTTATGTCAATGGTGTGCAGCCTCTGGACAGGTGTGTAGTGTAGGCATGGTGAGTCTTTGGGGCGGTCAGACGAAAATGCGGTTTGTTTCTGTACCAAAATGCAGCTTTTTGAAATTTGCTGGATAGGCGCGGAGGAATATAATTCCGGCGAGATAAATCTGTCACAGGCACTCAACCACCAACCAGCAAGTTAAAATGGTCTGCAGCACTATCTATCGCCCTTTCTGCTATTGAATTCCAGGACAGATTTACCCCGTCCGTGGCTCAACGACCTGCTAATCCAAAATTAGGCATCTGGGCCGTTTGGCTTGAAGACCACTTTATTGACCTCTGCCCGCTCGAACCGGCGCAACGCATCGACACAGGATTCATCCAAGCTCGGCAGCACGAGATCGATGAAACCCATCTTCTCGATTGTGTCTTTATTACGGATCAGGGCCTGCAAAGCCTCATTGAACACGTACCTTGCCGGACAGCGGCCGAACTGGATGTGAACGTTCTTGTTGTAACAATCTGCAGCCGTGAATGGGAGCTCGGCATTGTGGACCCCTATCGGCAGTGTCAAGAAACAGTTTGAGCAGTTAAAAGGATGTGAGGCAGTAAGATTGACAAGCACATACCTACAGAGCTGATCTTGCCGCCGGGACAGATGACATCGTAGGCCGTCTTGAGGGCGGGACTGAGACCGACCACTTCGATGACTGCATGAGCGCCATTACCGTCTGTTAGTGCCATCACCTCCTTGACCACGTCCGTCGTCTTGAAGTTGAGCGGGATGCATCCCAGGTCTTGGGCACGTTGCAGGCGATTCGTGACCGAGTCGATAGCGATAATCCGGGCGGGTTTGTACTCGAGGGCGCTGACGATGGCGCACAGCGCAACAGGACCACAGCCGATGACCACCACAGTCATATCCTTCCACTGGTCGCTTGGAGTTTCTCGGAATGCGTTTCTCGCCCCATTGAATCTGTCACCTATCAGCCAGACATACCAATTGTCTCGCCCCCGCAAAGAGAAGGAAGAGAAATGTCAAGGGAGGGATCCTCTGCATACCCCGTGGGAAAGATATCCGTCATCAAGATCAACAGTTCCCCAAGGTCTCCCTCCTGTGGAGTGTGAAACAAGGTCGAATCCGCCAACGGAACCCTGAAATACTGGGCTTGTGATCCGTCCAAGGCGACCGACCCAAACGACTTGCATTTTGCACAGCGGCCCGTGATGCCTCTCTTGCAATGGAAACACTCGCCACTGGAAGAATCAGATTCAAGAGTTTCGGGGGAATTCAGGCAACCAGTGTCTCCGAGAAATTACAACAGGAGGAAGATACGCACCAGCTGATGGTAAAGGGCGCAATCACCCGGTCACCCTTTTTAAAGTTCTTCACCTCGCCGCCCACCTCGTGGACGATGCCCATGCCTTCATGTCCACAGATATACCCCGGCTGCATATTGATCTTTGAGTGTCCTCGATATCGGTGCAACTCGCTTCACCGACAACCCAACCAGTCAGCCATCAGTCTGCGCGCGCACTTGGTAACACAATCCACGAGTATGAGAAGAGGGAGGACATTACCTCCCACACAAAGCTGCCGAGGTAGTCTTGACCACCACGTCCGTAGGATCTACCGGACGAGGAACTGTCCCGCAAAATCAGTAACATGATTTCACCGCGTCGACGGGTCGGATGATAAACAGACTCGGTCGGTCTTCCAATCTCACATCATATGGGCCGTGGAAGACCAAGGCCTTCATTGTCTCCGTAGAACCCATTTGTGACCTAGAGGAGTGGTTGTGGTTGTGGTGGGGGGAAGTGGTCGATGACGGCACGACGAGGCTGCAACCCCCTTTTTGGCGGGGTGAACGCTAGGTATGTAATTACCGAGTACTCGCTAAGTATACTTCTAGCCAGTCGGCAACCGAATAACAGGGCAAATATCTTCTCTAAACGCTGCTCTTCTGATAATCACCTCAATTAATCACATGAAATTAATCCCCCCTCTCCGTCTCTTATTAGTGATGACCTGCGGCGGTCGGTTGTTTCTCCTCCTCTCAATAATCAACCACATCCATACTTTACTCCATCCCTCGTTACTCCATATCATCCCCATAATCCCCATGACTTGTTGGGGGAGCACGAGCCCACGGAGCCTCCCACCTCCCTCGGCAAATCTGTCTGCGGGGAAACAACCAACATACCGAGTACAGGAAATGGAGGGATCATAAAGGGACCGGGGACAACGCCGGACACGCTTCAGATTCAAAGGTAACCTTACAGGTACCGAGTACTTCTAGCTGTGGTGGTTCATGATGTGTGAAGTATATGTACTTGGTGTGTACGTATGGTGGTTCGACGACGTCGAGGAGGGTTTGATTTGCGGAGTATCTACCTATTTCAGTAGTTCCTAGTACCTAGTCCCTAGCACGAATTATTGTAGTCGAGTGTCTTGCTGTATCGTCTCGGACTGCGCCGCCAACGGATTCAGGATTCAGGATTCAAGGACACCACAGAGGGGACAATTGCAGTGGCGTGCCCGGTTGTAGTGGCCTTGGGCTGTTGGACGTATCGACCAGACCAGACCAGAGTAGAGTATCAGCGTACAACAAACGAGGCGAGAAGAAAGGAACAAGAGTCTTCTAGCTTTTAGTCTTTGCCGTGGATCTAAAGACTGTCGTCCATACGTTCGCGAATCTAGATTGGCAGACTGGAGAGAGCGACAAGCTTTTGGGTCTGAGAGGGGGGGGGGCGGCACATGGGCAAATTCCAATAAAGGTCGATCCTGGAGTGGGTGGGCTTTCTACAGGGCCTGATGATCAGTCCATCAATGTTCAGCTACAAGCTAACCCGGTTCCCAGTTACCAGTTCAATCCCCTGAGGGCCGTTGACATGGAGAGGGTCTACTTTGTGAACCATTCAATCTCCCGTGGCGATGTTATACCCTGGAGATTCATGGCGACATGTAGATCCATAGTCGATTTCTATACACGACAGTCGTATATCCACCATGTCCAGCGCGTATCTCGATATATATCACATAACAAGTTCGAGGGGCATCTCTTTACCCTAGGCATCTATACCTCTAACCCTCGCCAACCTCCCCAGCAAACTGCCCCGTCATCACTTCCCCCCCTCTGGAAACTTATCCTGCCACTTCTCATCGCCCCCCAAGTATCGAAAAACGACTTTCGTATCCAACCCAGCACAGCGGGGATCCTTGCTCGCGTCGTCAAACGCGTCCAGGACAGCCTGCCCGATACACAGCTTGGCGCCGACGCGGTCGCACGCGTCGAGGGCCAACGCCATGTCCTTGCGGGTATACTCGATGCGAAACCCGGGGGCGTAGTCATGCGAGGCGGGAGAATTGGGCGTCAGGCCCGGCACGGGGTTCGCGTTCTGGGCGTTGATGTTGCCGCCGGTGGCGGTCTTGAGGATCTCCTGCAGCGTGCGCGGGTCCATGCCGGACTTGATGGCCAGGTTGAACGTCTCGGCGTTGAGCAGCGTGATCGACGAGCTGAGGTAGTTGTTGCACAGCTTGGCCGTCAGGCCCAGCGAGGGGCCGCCGCACGCGTAGATGTTCTTGCCCATCAGGGCCATGAGCGTCTTGAGCAGCGGGAAGTGAGGGTCCGATGCCGTACAGCCGACCATGAACGTGATGACGCCGCGTTTCGCGCCCGCCGTGCCGCCCGACACGGGCGCGTCGAAGAAGTGTGCCTTCGGGTGTCGTGTCCGGGTCTGTGCGCCGACCTCGAGCGACGTGGCCGTGTCAATGGTGCTGCTGTCGATGAGGATCTTGTCCGAGAGGTCTTTGGCGGCCAACACGCCGTTTTCTGGGTCTAGGAAGACAGCCCGGACGTGTTTGCCCTCGGGCACTATCGACAAGAGCAGATCCTATATCCCCCCCACCCAAAGCCATTCAGTCAGTTGGCTGGCTGGCTGGTTCCGTGGCTAACTGACTGGCCGAAGCCTGTCTGAAGGGGTGACAACGAAAATACATACACTCTTCTCCGCGACCTCTCTCGAACTGCCGCAGGCATCCAACTGGGCCACCGCGCCCGACTCGTTCAAGCCCATCTCTATCGATCGCGGGTTGACATCGTAGAAATGCACCGTCGATGTTGCGGGCAATTTACTAACCAAGTTGGAAAACATGGGGAAGCCCATATTCCCTAGGCCGATGAAGCCAATGTTGGCGGGCAACTGGGGATCTGACGACGACGAGGCCATGATCTACAATATTTGGATTGGTCTGGTGGTGGTGGTGGTGTTGTTGTAGTTCGCTTGTCTGTTGTATATCCGAGACCTGGCAAAGGCGATACTGTAGTACGAACCACCAACTCACCAAATATAAATATGTAGTTATACCGATGGAGTGCCCGCTCAGTGATGTTTGGACGCCCCATCCCCATTGGCCTACAGAGACGTGTCGCTGTGGACAATGTTAAAGTTACGCATCCTCGGGTTACGACAAGCTCGGGATCGCCCACCCCCTTCTCCGAGGCGTCAACTGTATCCAAACAACCCAAAGTACAAGTGAAAGGTACATTTGTTCTGGTGGGAGGCGGGCCCGCCGGGCGAACCCGGGAATGTTATCCAGGCAAAAGGGCATGGGCAGCTCCTATAATCGGAGTATCTGGTTCGCCCAATCAAACGAGGATCGAGTCACCGAAGTACACCAAGAGGTAATTAACCACCGCAGTCTGTCTGGGTACAACCTCCATGCCATCTCATCCTATAACAATATCGAAGAAATGTCCAACCATGTCATGACTTCGCAACCGTCAGTCGCAGATGCCTAGTTCCCGATTCAAAGGTCTCCGACAAGAAACTGGTAAGACTTGTGCGAGTAAAAAGGCCTCCGAGTGTCAAAAAAAGGAGAAAGCCTCCGGCTGGTAGAGCAAAAAGCCTCCGAGTCCATCAACTGCGCTCGTGGTGCGTAGCAGTAGCAGGAGTAGCAGTAACAATGGTAGCACCATACTTAAGATCTCTGCTAGAAAATTCCTTTGTGTTTCTCTTCAAAGTCTCTAGTCACCTTGTATTCCTCAAGATTGGTGTTGGGAACGCGAACTACTTCCTCCAGACCGGCATACCAAATTCGTGAAGATCCCACCTCGACCGGCCCAGGCGCCTCCTTTTGTCGAAAGCGGTAGAAAGCCCTGAGCCTGAAAAGGAAAAGAATGAGTGCGTTGGAGGAGGACGGTTCACACAAGGAGTCGAGTCAGAGTGTGGAAATGACCCTCCCTGCCGACAAGGCTGTACTCCATGCCACCCCCAAGATAGACGACGACGCAGGAGGCAAACAGACAGAGACAAAACCACCCAACGATCCTCAGACCTCGACCAAGCCCTCCAAAACTGGACAAAAGAAAGGACTGCGTTTCTGGATGATTATCGTGGCACTCAGCTTCACAAGTCTGTTGATCGCCATGGAAGGAACCATCACATCCACAGCCCTGCCCTCTATCATCGCGGATCTAGGTGGTGGCGATTTGTACATCTGGGCCGCCAACGGATACTTCCTTACCATGTAAGTTCAAACGTCGCATCAACGTGGCATTGCCAATGCTAATGTGCCCACAGGACCGCATTGCAGCCCCTTTACGGCCAGCTGGCCAATGCCTTTGGTCGTCGATGGCCAACAATCGGTGCAACAGCGGCGTTTGTCCTAGGCAGTGGTATATGTGGAGGGGCCAACAATATGGCGACGCTCATCGCCGGCCGTGTGATCCAGGGAGTCGGCGCAGGTGGCATCAGCGTCCTCGTCGAGATGATTATTTGCGACTTGGTTCCTTTGCGACAACGAGGCAACTACATTGCCATCATCGTCGGCCTGATCTCTCTCGGAACGGCGCTCGGGCCTTTCTTTGGTGGTCTCATCGTCGACCATGCCACCTGGCGATGGGTCTTTTACCTCAATCTTCCCGTTGGCGGTGTCGCGTTAGCACTGCTTCTGGCCTTTTTGAAGGTGACGTGGAACAAAAACACCAGGCTGGCCACCCAGCTGACGTCGATTGACTGGCCGGGCAACGCCATCTTCATCGCGTCCATCTGCGCCATCCTCCTCGCGCTGTCCTGGGCTGGCGCTCTATACCCCTGGTCATCATACCATGTTATTGTTCCCCTTGTCACCGGCCTTGTCGGTCTTGCACTCTTTCTCGTATTTGAAGGAACACGACTCGCTCCTCAGCCAACCATGCCGCTGCATCTCATGTCGAATCGCACTTCGGCCATCGCCTATATTCTCACTTTGCTGCACAGCATAGTCTTCATATGGACGCTTTACTTTCTTCCCGTATACTTTCAGGGCGTCCTTGGCTCCTCGCCAACCTACTCTGGAGTACAACTTCTGCCCAGCATACTGGTTATCGTACCATTTGCTGCAATGGGAGGGGTGGCCATGTCCAAATTCGGCCGATACCGACCCATCCACTATGCAGGTTTCGCATTGGTAGTGCTGAGCTTCGGCCTCTTCAGCCTCCTCGACCAACACTCGTCCACAGGCACATGGGTTGGTTATCAAGTGATATTCTCTGCTGGAGCCGGCCTCATCATCTCGACCTTGCTCCCCACAGTGATGGCGCCTCTCTCAGAAAGCGACACGGCACTTGCAACATCAACTTGGGCGTTCGTGCGTAGTTTCGGCATGACATGGGGTACTGCAATTCCTGCCGCGATATTGAACAATCGGTTCGACGAGCTTGCGACCACAGTCATCGCAGATCCTGTCGTCAGACGACAACTCATTAATGGTCAGGCGTACAGCCATGCCACCGCTGCCTTTCTCGACACACTATCAGCTCCCACTCGCGAACAATTCATCGAGGTATTGAACGGAAGCCTCCGCCGCACATGGCAGGTTAGCATTGGCTTCGCAGCACTGGGATTCTTGCTCCCGTTTTTTGAGAAAGAGATACCTCTCCGTCAGGAACTTGAAACCGAATTTGGCATGGAGAAAGAGGAGAACAAAGACAGTGCCTCGAAAGAGGGTAGTGCTTGAAAGTAGTCTGACCTCGAGACGCTGCAGCCCGAGGTTGTTGGGAAAGTATTGTACAACCTGCACGTATCTTCCCCAGGCTCGCATGATAGGACGGTGACAAAAGTGAGTCCAGATTTCCTCTGAAATGGCACAGTTCCAATGAGAGGATGCAGCTTGATCGGCTTGCGAGACTTCGGTGAAGTTTTCTCGTAGAATTTCCTCAAGAAATAATAGTATTTCTGATATTCCTGCCAAGATTTTCCCCAAGATTCGTTCAAGATATTCAACGATACTTAGTATCTATGTAGATAGCATGCCTTGAAGATCTCTGAGGTGCGATCTGAGCGACTTCAGCGTTGAAGTGCCCGAAGTACCGGGCCTTCCTGCCGTCTGCGTCATAGCAACGTGTAGAAGTTGAGATATGCCCGGAGTAGTGCTCAGCAAGCCCTCCGAATCCGCAGCCCGTTCCGACAGGCCGAACTCTTCAGCGAGGCCCAACAGGCGCTCTAGACGGTCGAAATGATGCTCAATGACTTGGACGATGATCTTGGCGTACAGTTGCGCCTTCATGGAGGGCAGTCCGGCGACCTGGAACTCCGGCAAGTCCTGTAAATAAGTATTCATATCGCCCAGCTTCGACATGGCGTCTATGACGCGCTTAAAGACCGTGTTGTAGAGCTCCAGCAAGAGGAGGTAGCTTGAAAGAAGCATTAGCACGACTGGGACGCTCAGCGAGCTCAGCCTTGTCGATGGTGACTGAGATTGTGACCTTGGGGCAGGAAGGGATGTCTTCCTTTGCCAGGAGTCCGAATCGTAGATAGTAGGGTTCGAGATTGCAGATCCGACGGTAGACGTCTTTTGCAGTGATGACAACGGAGCCAGACTTTCCAGAATCGAAACGAATCGAGAGGTGCTCTGCAGCAGCTCCGCCATAGGATTGCCTTCAACTTGGTGAAGCTTTTCGAGACAATGATGCGCTGCGTTCACAGGCCCCCAGACGTATGCGTCGATGTTGGATACCTGTCTAGCGAAATCTGCATTTAATCTCGATAGGGCGGTGACTGTATCTGCAGGCTCGAGCAGGTCCGGTGATGGTCCTGGGATGTAATTTTCGAGTACATTCGACAGCTCAAAATTTGGCTGTGGACGATCGGGAACTTGCGTCAACGGTGCCAGAGCGCGAAGGGTATCGTGATCCTCCATCTGCAGATCAAAAGTATACCCTGATCCTGAATTGGCGTCGAACGACAAGTTTGGTGTTTGATTTTCAAAGGACGGACTAGTCACATAGGATGAATCTTGGAGATAGTCCACGTACGGGTCATGACTCTGACTCTGACTCTGCGGCGTCCACAAATTTGGGGCTGCTTGCAGACTCTTTGTAGTCGACGATAGACGTGGAGAAGTAGTAGATTCGGTGTCCAGTGCTTCGGATGCCGTGCTTCGTGCCATGATAGATTTGGTCCTTCTTCCAGCTGGTTCTGTTATTCGAGGCCGTCCCAGCGGTCGCGCACTGCTGGTGACACACTGAACGCCGACTTTGAGGCATCTGGTGCACGGCTCACTATTGGGGTGATCGCTGCGTGGACAGCGTAGCTTCTGACCCCTGCAGCGATCACAGGCAGACCGTTGGTGGTTCATGCTGGAGAAGTCAGAAGTCACTGATGGGACGTGGGAGAAGATTTGAATTAACGAAACTGGCAAACTGGGGAGTTTTCCAATACGCCAGCCTCGCCACGTCAGCCTGATCGATGGTAGCCTCGCCCCTCACGAGATAATACTGTAGCGCCACCCGATAATGTAGGCTGGTAGTTATACACACAGCCACCCACAGCCTCGGGTCTCCCTTTGAGCTCTCTACACCACAATGCACTCACAGTATACAACCATGCAAATAGATAGGGGTACTTAATGCATCACATCAATTCGTCAGGCTCTAGGCTCAGAGCCAGGTATCTCTTTTGCCCTAGTAAATAATCGCTGACAAGTCCTCGTTTGCGCTTATCCAGGTCATAACACATTCCAACATCAAATCCAATGTCGCATTCCTCTGCTTACTTTTCATGGTGATCTCTGCTGATCAAGAAACTCACAATGTCATGGTCGTATACTTGATAGCCTGACGTCCGCGACTTTTAGGCCCTGTTCACAAATACTGCCGGAAAAACGCCCGCGTCCCCTGCATATACGCCAAACCACCACTCGTCGTTGATTTCCTCCACCTCGCGGATATTAGCATGCTTAGGGAACATCAGCTCATCCCTGGCCTTGCCGTCGTCTTCGGGAGGGTAATAACCCCATCTGGCAACGCAAATCTTTCCCCATCCACCATCCGGCGGGAGTTGCATTCCTGAGCGTGGGAGAGTGGAGGCGCGAGCTCGTGTTTTACGTCGTGTGCCAGTCTCGTCTTCTCGCCAGCTCCAGTCACCTCGCACCGCCTGGAGATGTGCTCGGTCGACACGGTGCAGATTCTTCATCGCAAGTTTCCACGCCGCCATATCCGCATCCGACATCTGCGCACCACCCACGACGTCACGAGTGATGATTCTGCGCTCGTTGCCCTCTTCGTCCCGCTCAAACGTCACGGATATCATTCGATGTCCGTCGGGACAGAGACGCCACCCATCCGGCCCGTCTTCTCGCTTCATCCGCCCAGAGTCAACAAAGCCATGGTAGCATGTGCTGCAAATATCGTAGTCGCCCTTTTGATTGGGTTTCTGGGGAGCGGGAGTCGGATGCGTTGGACAATGGTACCGGGTCTCTGGTGGTGTGATTGGCCGCGAGCAAATGTCGCAGTTGGTTGTTATAGCCAAAGGCAAAAAGTCGGGGCGGAGGCCAGGATAAGGCCCGGTTCCTGAAGTGATGCTTGAAGCTGCGCTTTGAGCTGGGGAGATATCGCGCCCACCAGAACTATAGGGGCTCAGCGTGGCAGCACCTGAACCTCCTCCCACTCTCGAGCTAGCAGGGTTCGAATCGCATGATTTGTAGGCGACTGGCAGTAAGGGATGGTCACAGCAATGGTTGCTCCCGACACAGTCATTGCAGAAGCCCCATTCGCCTTCATTACAATAGTCACACGACCAAAAGTAATCGTTAGCAAAACTTCCACATCTGTCACAAAAGTTGCCTTCTCTTAGGCGCGTTGGCTGGGCCGCGGTTTGTGAGGGCCTCTCGTACTGTCGACTGGTCAGCAGGTGTGGCAGTCCGATAGACTGATTATTACGACTTGACGGATGAGACGCGTTGAATTTGAGCATGGCAGACCGATAAAACCCAAACCAATGATTACATCCTCGCCCGGTCCGGTAGCACCTCAGACAGACGTCAACCCTACAAGTAGCACAGTGCTTGTGGATTTCATGTTGAATGTTCGACCGAGAACAACGCAAGCAAGTAATGGACGGCACATCGAACTGGGCTGGGACGCAAGTAGCGGGTAATTCTGCTGGCGCAGGAACAGAACCCTCTGATTCCAGCGTGGGAATAGAGGTCGGGACGGGACCAATTGCCACACTCGACATGACAGGGGGCACAGAATCGGGCCTTGGTGATTGCTGGGCTGGCGAAGCAACTTGTGGCGGACTAGACATGTGACGTCCACCAGCAGCCTGCCAGACTTCAGAGGCTCTCGGCGAGGTTCTGGGCTCCGTGTTGGATCTGTGCGCATGTGGTCCCTGCTCAAGGTGCTGGAGTCGATCGTGACCTCTTGAGTTTGAGTGAGGTCGATTGGAAAGATCGGTTGCTGATCTCGCTGCAGGCTGGGGCACCCGATCTGTTCTCGCTGCAGAATCCATCCCTCGTCGGGTCTCATCAGAGGCTCTCCGTCGATGAGACGTAGTTGGCGGTAGCGTCAGTAAATGGTCTGTCGATTGAGACGACGCTGTGGCATGCCGGGTGCCGTTGCCCCCGATGACCACGTTGTGGCTCGATCTCGGACTTGGCTGCGTCCGTTCGCGATTGTTGCTCCTGGAGGATTGACGGGAATGGCGTACATTTTCTTCGGCCTGTGGATCCGACGACCTCGTTATATCTCTCTGAGTATCAGGCCTACTATCATCTGAGCCTTGTCGGCGATGTCTTTCCGCGTGCAGTTGCCTGATCCGTTCGGCGATGGCCTCGCTGAGCACATCCTGTTCTTGCTCCGTCAGTTCATCGAGATTGATACCCTCCAGCAGACCTTCGGACATAATCTCTTGCATGAGTCGTGCCTCGTCCAAACTATCACCGGTGCCGGTGCCACTTTCTGAAGCGCTGACCAGGGATATTAGACTTGCTTGATGGGCAACCGTCGGAGAATCCATTTGACGTGCTTCCACCGCCTCGGGATGCCTGGGTGAACTGGTTGGCGGAGACGGGGTTGAACGAACTGCGGAAGTGGAAGTGCCGGCCGTTCGCGGTCGAGAAGCCTCCGCATCTGAGGTGCGCTGTTGTTCACGTCTCGGCCGGCGATCAGCATCTCTTTGCCTGTCCGTCGTGTCTCTTCGTTCCCGACTCCTACTACTTCCGCTGGTGGCTCCTCTGCGGTCAGCGGAAGCGGGGTCTAGATGTTGGTCGCGTCTGTTTCTCTCGCCATGTCCGCCATCCGCATGCCTTGATTCTCCCGAATCCTCCTCTTCACGCCTTCTTCTCTCCCTCCTCCGATGGTTCTCGACTTTCGGTAGAATTTCGTCGCCTGGTTTATATGCCTGCGACATCTCAGCCTTCTCTTCCGGAGTTCTATCCTTGTCAGGGTTCGCGATCAAGAACATCTCCAGCAGGGTATTGATCTTCGCATAGGGTCGGGCGTTTTTGACAGGAGCGCGACATGTTGGGCAGGTGTAGGGGTTGGTGGGGGAGGGCGCACGCGAGTTGGTGGCTTTGCGATACTGGTGGGAGAACCATTCTTTCAGACAAGAGCCGCAGAAGGTATGTAGGCAGTCGAGAAGGGTCAGAGGCTGGTAGAGAACCTCGGTGCAGATGAAACAGACGAGCTCCTTCTCCAGATTGAGAAGGCCTGTGGCCGGGGTTTCGGTAATGGCAGCCATGAGCTATAGAGACGATGTCATGATATAACGAGCTGTCCTGCTTGGTGGCTATAGTTGCGAAATCAGCCTTGGGAAATCTGCGCCCCCAGCACTGTCATCTTTGATATCTCGCCTGGAAGTAGCGGTAACAGGACGAGTGGAGAGGAAGAGATCATGAGAGAGTGAAAAGGCGTCGACAGGTTGACAAAAGGCAAAAGTGAGCCGTGTTGGATGAGTGGTGTGTATATCCTTTGCGGGCGCCCAGTCGCCCAGTCCAGCCTCCGCAAGAGGCGAAGTTCGCATTTTGCCTGCCTTACAGAAGGCGGTTATTTTTACTTTTCGGGTTGTGGGAGTCCGACCATTTTATTGACTGGAGCAGCTCGGGTCGCTAGCTAAATCTAGTTCCTCGATGCGGCCATCAGCACCGCAGGCCTTGCATCCCCGGGGGTTATTTTCGATAGGGCTACAACGCTACTTCTAGAGACACGGCCTGTCAATACGCCTTCGCAGCAGAGACAGCAAGCAGAAAGAATAAAGAAGTTGTCATGAATTCTTCTGTGGCCTATCTCAATGGTCAGTCTCTCCGCACAAAGTCGGCTCAAATCTGCCCCCATCTCCCTCAGTTGTCCCCTGCTGACTCTTCAAACTTTTCTGCCATGCTTCCCTCTCACTTCAGACCCCTACTATTGGGTTCAATGTTGTGCTCGTCGGATGTCTTCACACCAGACGAATTGGCATTGCATGGCGCACCTGATTCAAGCCGCCTCATTTTTCGCAATTTCCTGAGTCTGCTGCCCAACCGCAGTAGGTTCGCTGTCCTCGCGCTCTCGATGCACAGCGTAGCTCAGTTTCTTCTCAGTGTCCACTTCACCTCTCTCCTCCCTCTTGATGTTATGGTAGTTGACGTGGGTGTTCCATGGTTTGATATCGCTCAAAAAGATCTCCTCGACCTCTTCGAGAGTCTTCCCAGCGGTTTCAGGGAAGAAGAAGAATACGTGGATCGTCATGACCGTGCAGAAGACACCGAAGATGATGTAGACCTTCCATTTGATGTTGACGAAAGCTGGGGGGACAAAATATGACAGCGCAAAGTTGAAAATCCAGTTTGACGCAGTTGTCAAGGCCACGGCCTTTCCTCGAACGCGAAGAGGATACAGCTCTGGAGGATAGATCCAACTGACAGGTCCCCAAGTTGGAGCGAAAGAAGCCACGAATAAATATGTGCAGGCGATGACTCCTTTAGCAGCACCGCCGTGGATTTGCCAGGACTCCTCAGCGACGTGGTCAACTCCGCCAGGAGGGGCAGGTTCGCCGTAAGAGGCCATCAAACCAGCGTTGGCATACATCCAAATAGCCATAAAGGTCGAGCCGATGATTAGGGGCCATCGTCGTCCCCAACGATCAATGAAAACAAGGGCGAAAATGGTCATGAAGACGTTGATGACATATTGGATGGACGAGGCCACAAGGTTGGTATTACCCGAGAGACCAGCCATGCCTACGATTCACGTCAGCATTTCCCAAGAGTACCAGCGAAGTCTGCTTACCAAACACGTAGGTGATATAATACTAGAAGGGAGGTCTGTTAGCCTGGGCTCAGGTCGACAGCGACACGAGGAAGAAATTCCTCTGAAAAGAGACAATCTCTCGTAACTGGGGAACTTACCATCATGACATTCATTCCAGTGAGCTGAGACCAAATCTGTGTGAAAACCCCGATGTGGGTTCGATTGATCATCTTTGGCTTGAAGAGCTCAAGGTAGGTAACATCAGCATTCCGTCGCTCAAATTCACACATCTCGCGGATCTCATTGAGTTCGAGAAGGACGAAGGGAGCCTCGCGGTTGCCCTTTGCGTGCACAAGAGCCAAAACGTTGTGGCAATCTTCCCAGCGATCTTTGCGTGCAAGCCATCTGCAAGGACGTTAGCCTTGGTACACCACGACTTGGGTTGAGGCTTGTACCTAGGACTTTCCGGGAGGAGAAACAAAGCAAAGAAGAGAAATATGGCGGGTATCATCTGTAAACCCCACGGGACACGGAACGCAGCCGTTCCATCGATGAAGCTACAGCCATAGCTGATGTAGAACATGATCAGGATGCCCCAAGTGATGGCCCATTGCTGAGCTCCCACCACTCTTCCTCGCTTGCTGGGAGGTGCTAGTTCTGACACATAGACAGGAACTATCACAATGTCAGCATCGGACTCTTTCCTCGACAAAGTTAAAAGAATTACCTTGAGCTGAACAGATTCCAACGCTGAAGCCGTTGATAAAACGGCCAACGACGAGCATGCCAATGTTCTGAGAAGCACACACGATGATGCAACCAATGCACCAGATAACGGCACCAATCTGAATGGCTCTCTTGCGACCAAAGATATCAGATAGCTACGCCACGTCAGTTTGAATCACCAGCAGTAGCTGCATGAACCTACGAATCCAGATGCCAGAGCGCCAATGAATGACCCTCCGGGCATTGAAGCAGTGATACCGCCTTGTACATCAGACTTCGGGCCAGAGCATTGAGGAGGTCCGTTGGGGCCTTGGTTGAAGTAGCTAGGAGGAATCAGTCCATCTCTGCGTGGTACGCAGAAGCATAAGTGGGTGCATATTCATACCATTTGTATTGCTGTGTGCCGATGCTGACGAAAAATTAGCAAGTTGATTGAGTGTCCGCCGTGATCTTTACTTACATGGCAGACATGGACGAGATATCGAAACCAAACAGACCACCGCCGATCACGGCGATGGCTGTGATGAAGTAAATATTACCTATCTGATACATGATGGCGACCAGCTTCTCTCTCGACGTGATCAGGGGATACCCAAGGTGTCCGTGAGTTCACTCGAGGTGGAGAGGAGGAACGCGCAACGGTGGACGGTAGAGAGGAGGGTTCTTGTATTTCCACACGGGAGAAAATGCGCCCGAACATTTCGAAAGTATTGGACAAGATTGACCCTTTGCGTTGCGTGTGTTCCGCTGACCTGTTGCGGAGAAATGTTACATGGTGCCACCTCGTTTCGCCCTGCTTTCAAGGTTGACAGACCCTGGTGTACTCCAGTGACTCCGTAGGAGTAGCGTCGTCTATTGATTGTGGAGAGACGGGGAGAGAAGCTGGAGAAAGAGTACGAGGAGAATCGAGTGCATGATGTAGTGGGCCATGGGCTGTACCAGAGCGCCAGGCTCGAGGCTGTTTGTCGAATAAGCGTCTTATGCTTGTTCCCAGTTGAGGAGGCGCCACCCGGTGGAATGGACCAGTCAGACCTCGATAAAGCATATTGGCTCTGGCTAGTCGCTATTAGTATATCTTAGCCTTAAAATTTTATAGCTAAAAAGCGCCCTCCAGCACAAGGCCCCGGTACGTCATTTGCGCCACTGACCACATCCAGTCTTGCCCAGTCACCCAAACCAGGGACATGTGGACAAACAGTGGAGATCATCTTCCCTTGCATAACTGCTTGAACAAGTTCCACCACGGCTATCAAGGCACGCCAAAGCCCAACCTCATGGGGGCCTGAATGCAACAGACGTGTCGATCATCCCCTCCCATCAAGTCCTGCTGTGTTTGGCGATGCAACCTTGCCATCGGCCACCCTGGAATCACTCAAGCGCACCAATCTATACAACCATCAACGTCTCGCGCACCTAGATGGGCTCGGTTCATCTCTCAGCGACGGGTCAAGGCACCGAGGCAGATAGCTGATCCACGGCACCACATATCCGATCTTGTTCCAAATCAGACAGGGCGCATGCCGTGTATCCAGTATCCATGACTCGTGCGAGCACCTCACTGCGCACCATGTGTCCCAATTCATATCCAAGTCCGAAAGACGACCCTTTGCTCCGTCGCCGGATCGTCAACACGTGTTTGTAATTCGATTGCTGATCATGCAGCCTCACCACCTCTGAGAGCTCTGAGGTTCAGGTGGACCACCAGGAAAATTACATGGGAGGTTGGATGGACCCACGAAGAGTGGAAAAGGGTTGCAGTTCACCTATTGGGATCCACAGAGCTGTAGCAATCTACGAGCAGTCACAATGTGATACTTTGACACAACTTGACCTGTGCTCCCATCGACGCGCCCGACTACATTGTCCTCGAATGCGAGGGGTGTCCCAGCTGGCACATTCTCAACGACATTTACCCCGCGAGCATATGCAAGAATGAATTGTGTTGATGGTTGATGTAAGCGAGGCTGACCAACAACGTCAGCCCGTCCAGAGACTCGCCAACACTCGAGGCACTTCACATACTTTTTCATCTGAGGATTAAAAGAGTCTTTATTTCGCATGAATTGAACCCGCCTCGTCTTGGGTAGAAGATGTTTCGTGAACAAGGTAAGCATTCACTAATAGCAGCTTGGACTCTTGGTCGACGTCAAATGCGCAAAGAATATGATTGGCCAGCAATTGACATTGAAGAGTCATAACCCCAAGTCCACCAAACCATCATATCCTCTCCCCAGAGATGCATTCATGCCTCAGCCATCCATGGACAGAGCGCGCATGCAATGCACTGGAACGTCTACCATCTAAAAGTTGCAATTCTGCGAGATTGAGTGAATTTCCGTTGCTGGGGACTTGATTGTCTAGAAATTTCTGCGCATCCTCCCACAACTTGGGTACCGTGTTGCCAGCATATGCCGCCGTGAAGGGTGTTTCTTGTTTCCAAACAATGGCGTCGTCTTCCTCTCAGGGCCCGGCCTCGATAAGAATCGAACCGCTCACGTCTGAGGCCGACATCCCCGCTTGCGCGACCCTCGCCGACGCCGCAATGAAACCAGATGGCTTGTACGAGTTTCGGAAGCGCTACAGCAAGAATGTATACGACAACACCGTCGAGAAATTGACCGACGCACTGCGCGACGACAGGGGCCGGTTCTTCATGTTCAAGACTGTTGTGTCATCCTCTCCCAAAGAGGACCGCGTGGAAAATCCCAAGGACGCTGGCGTGACAGCGGACACGGAGGCCCAGCGGGAGCACGAAACCATTGTGGGCTTCACGATGTGGCGGAAGGGATACCTCGAGGTGCCCAAGATGGACCCGTTTGCGCCGAAGAACGAGACAGAGGAGAGCAAACCCGCCGTCGAGACGGGCGTGGTCAATGTGCCAATCTCCGAAGGTGTCAATGTCGAAGACGCAGCTCGTGTCCCAACTACGAATACAGCGATGAGTCCAGCTAGCGGTGACGGCGCCCTCAGGCCAGGAGGGAAACCAAAGCCCTATTATCCAGATCCCGACGCCGAGTTGTTTCGAAAACTAGGCAATGCGTACGTCAGCTTCATTCGCGGGAAGAGGCATTTATGTAGGTCATGAACCCTCCCTCTCTTTTCCCTTAGAGATGCGTTCCTCCACGCAAACGAACATTCTTCACACAGTTCACTGACACAATCGCCACGCCGGCACTCCTCGCCCTGTAGATCTCCATTGCCTCGCGATCCATCCCTCGTATCAACGGCAGGGTCTCGGACAGAAGCTACTCGAGTGGGGCGTCGAAGTCGCGGACAGGGAAAACATCGTTTCGTGGCTGTTTGCGCGACCGGCCGGGATCAAGCTATACGAGCGCAACGGCTGGAAGGCCGTGTTAACCGTCGACGTCGATGTGCCGGATGAGGATCTGGAGGTGGCACCGGTCGTCGCCATGCTGAGGTTGCCGTCCAGGTAGAGATGGACAAGATGTCCAGGATCTACGCGGTGCTAGAGAAACACCATGGGTGTGATTCCTCATATGGACCTGAAGGGATAGAATAGTACCGCACCTGATATCAGCCCCCCCACAAACAAAATTAGTAGGTGAAAAAAAGGATCGTGAAGCCCAAAACAAAAATGTAGATAGTATTGCCCTTGATGAAGGTCGAACCCTGCTCTTCATACTACATCCTACAAAGCACCAGGGGGCAAAAAGTTCACATCCCACCAGTCCGATGTTACCTTTCCCCCTCTCTTAACAATTAGATGTCATGGTATCTGTTGTGGTGAAACTCCCTAGGCTTGGGAGTTGATCATCACAACCATGAGATCTAATTGTTGTACGATGGTATGGCGAGAGACCCCCTGCTGCCTTGGAGATAGTACTGTTGAGAGAGCTCACATGTATCACGAAGTGTGATACAGATGAACTCTTCCTATTTACTATCTCAAGACAACAGCAAGCACATACCATCGTAGAGAAGGGGGGAAAGGCCCCGCCCACCAACCCGATAGAACATGAACCCTTGTCCACAGATCCCAGATTCGAAGTGTAAGCCTTGGGGGGTCTTCCTTCGGCTGTTGCACACCTTTGAATTGAGAAATGTTGACAGAAATTTCGGTGCCTTAAAATATAAAGTAGTGAACTGGAGGAGCACCGCTGGTAGTATTCTGAGTGACTGGCTTGGCGGGAGAAAGTGATAGATGATCCTTGTGAAGTGCTACCGGTGATCACAACTTCCAACATTCATCCCTACTTCGTCCAAGTTCACAGGCTCACTTCATCTTCCTGGCGGATACAGTTTTGTTCGCAAAGGCTCCCGAAATCTCCTGGTAGGCTTCATACAGAATCCACGAAGGTGTAAAGACCCACAACACGTTGAAGAATACCAGGTATAGCCAGAGATAGACGGGGTCATCGCCGGCTAACGCATTGTTGCCGCTCAGCCACTCAGGCGCAAACGTCATGAACCCTCCATACAGCTCTCCAGTCGCGAGCATGATCGCGGTAAGCCAGAGCCGGGGTTGATATCGACTTTTGACACTTTCATCTGTGGTGTTCGCAATCTTGGAGACAAGATAACAGACGTACACGGCAGCTGGGCCAGCCAGACCAACAGTGAGCATCTCAAGCGATATAACGTTCAAGTCTGCACCTCCCCATCTTCGATCAGCTTTTGCATATTCTTGCCACAGTCTGGCCATTGGGCCTTGCGAGTATAGTGCACCATAACGGCGGTCAGGGCGGTTGTACAGGTAGGCTTGCGGCTCACCACCCCAAGATGCTGGATGTGAGATATCGGCGGATTGTGGCGGGAGTTGCTGAAAGGAGAAGAAGCAGTGGTACAGGAAGCTGCCCTCAATGATGAAGTGGGTGAGGAAATCATAGGCATGCCACAGGAAGACATAATAAAGCTTTCGAGGTGTGGACTTGGGCAAAGCATAAGCAGCCAGCAACTGCGCCGATGGCATCAATGAGAAGGCGATGGCGAGGGAGATGGCGGTACCAGCGTCGAGGGTAAAGGGAGGCGGACTGGCCACGACCACAGCAGAGGCCATGATGGAAAGAGAGGGCGACCAAGGTCGTTCTAAGTACCTTTGCTTGAAGGGACGATCAATCTGCTGAAGAGGAACGAACACGGGAAGTTTATGTCTGAGATCAGAGGAGGAGCTCAAGCGACACCCACTGGCAGGGCTAATTATCACGGTGCTGCGGTCCACCGAAAACAGTTAAGCCTATGGAAGCCTAGGTAGGTAGGTATTGGCGGTAGTCCCTACCCACCGCCCCTAGGACAACCAAGTTGGGCGCCTAGGCAGGAATAACTGGGTACATTAGATACCTAGGTAGCTCTCCCCAGCTTTTTACCCCTCGCTTGATCCAGCTTATTAGCTCACTCACCCATCTCTAAGGAGTTAGGAAACCCCCCACCACCGAACACCAAAACGAATGACTTTCCTGGGGATGAGGGGCGTTGGAATGCCTCGCTCGCCATGAGCTTCAAATCACAAGACGCACATGTTCTCGGCGTCGCTCATGCAGCGTTGGTCTCAGCTTGTCCACACCCACAGTATTCTCTGTCGTGATTAGAACCTAGTCCAGCTGTCCCTCCCAACCTCTTCTTCTCGAGGTTCGCAGCTTGTTGTACTGCTTTTCGTGGCTGATGGTCAGGCTACGTCAATCCCAACACTTCAATCCAATGGAACCGCTGGCGACGATCATTTCTTGAGTCGAGGGCTAGAAGCGTCCCATACCTGGCCCACCTTCATTCGCGAATATCCTCATCGCAGTCAAACAATCCTCATGGACAACCTCACGCAAATTGCAGACGCCCTCGAAGACCGGGCGGGCGTTGGCGCGCAGGCCACTGCTGAGTCGCACCAAACTCTCTTGCCCTGCGACGCTTGCAGAAGGAGGAAAGTAAAATGCTCCAAAGAAGAGATCTGCGAGCGGTGCATATCGGCAGGACTAAGGTGCACAAGAGAGATTGCTCGAAAGAAGAGGGGGCCAAAGAAGGGTTCAGGATCTGTGCTGGCAAGACTGCGAGACGAAAGCCAGGCGACTTCGCCCACAGAACAAACATTCCCACCACTCGACTTGTCCCAATTGCAACTACAAATGCCCTCGTTCAACAGGACCGTGACAAGCGACAGTCCTTTGGCATCATCATTAAGCTCTCCCACGAGTTCGTATTTTGGCGACACGTATGGCCCAAACACCGGACCGTCCACCATGCCCAGATCTGTTCCTATCATTCAGAATGGCACAGAATTCGATCCTACTTCACACACAGAATTTGCGCAGTCAGGTTTTCAATTTCCAGCATCATGGCAGATGCAAACTTCTGAGCTTCTGCAGTTCCAGGCTCCTCTCTCGTCCAAGGGATACATGTCTATCCGAGATCTGGCTCAAGAAATCTTCCAGGAGTCGTATCCCCCTGTTCCACATGCAGTTCCTCCAAGGTCAAATGCACAAACCCCATCGAGAGTCTCGACGCCTCTCACCCAGCCAGCACCTCTCGAGAGCATATTGAATCGTGCTCCTCCCAACGCTCCCTCCCCAACCCTAACCACTACAAGCTCGCCCATGCCACTCCATGGACCAAAACACCTATATCGAAGCGATTCTGGAGATATTCACAGTCCACATCAGATACAGGTATTAGCAGCAGAATTCGATTTGTCGGCGCGACTCATGACCCAGTGTATCAGTCAATATTTCCGACATCTCTACCCTATACGGCCTACGATTCACGAGAGTTCATTTCTTCAGCGTCTCAATAGCTTTGATGAATTATCCAACGAAGAAAAAATCCTGATCTTATCGATCTGCGCAAACACCGTTCTTCATGCAGCACCCCAGTCTGATCTCTCATTGGATAAGAAAATGCAACTCGGAAAACAGTTTGTGGAATTGTGTTTCCTTTTACGATGTCAATACGACTGGGCAGAGTCGGCTACCCTTTTGTCAATACAAGCCAGTTACCATATTTGCGTTGCCCTGTTTGAGCTTAAAAAGCCTCGAGCTCATTATTTGTACCTTCGCGAGGCTATTTCCATGGCCTTTGAACAAGGCTTACACCTGGAATCCACCTATCTCGGCATGGATGAGATCCAAGCAATTTGTTCCAGGCGAACGTTCGCCTTGCTCTTCATTACAGAACGGGGACTGGCCATCCTCCGTAACAAACCCGCCCAAATCCCTCGATTGCCAATTCTGTCCAGTGAATATTTTGACGAGCAGGATGGGTTTATTCTGGCAGGCTTCTCTGCCCTAGTCAACCTCTTCTCCGTCCTCGACGAGAAGTTTATCCAGCTCTGGAGCACCACACCCCTCGAAAGCGCATCCTCGGGCTACGAGCCGTACGATAATGTGGCGGCTATCCAACATTCGCTTAGAGAAATGTCTTTCGACCACTTCGCCATGACAGACATCCAGAAAGCCGATGTCCTTATCACGCACCACTGGCTGAGGCTGATCTTTTGGCAAGCCTCCATGCGCCAGGGCCTCATCAGCTACAGCGCCTCCGACCCTATATTCTCGTCTACCTACCCAATCGCCATTGCAAAAGATCTGTGCGCCGCAATCTGCGACTTGACACCCAACGCGGTCCTCGTACACGGGCTTGGCATATTCGAGAAGCTGTTCGAGGTCGCATACACGCTGATGGACGCCCTGACGATCGCCAATACCAATTGGTCTGACAGCGAGGAGTTACGGTGTCTCTTTGACCTGCTGAGCGCCAGCCCGAACAGCCAAAGCATCTATGTGAAGATGCTGCGGACAAAGATTGAGACCGAGAGGAGTCCCGCTGCGAGCCCGCCACAGCCAGCACCGCAGCTGATCTAGGTCTTTAATTAGGGAGGCTAAGGCCCGAGTCAAATCAAGCCAAATCAAGTCAAGTCATGAGCCACGAGCTATCTAGTACGGATGGATATATGTGTTTGGTATGGTATGGTACGAGGAAATGATGAGAGACGAGAGACGAGAGACGAGACACAGGCAATGAAAGTACACGCACGAACGATATATAAGCGTTATACCCAATACCCAATACCCAATACTCAATTTCTTCTGCACATACTTCTAAGTACTTACCTACGCCTATCAGCCGTGAGGGCAGGATAAGTGAGTAAGGAAGGGCTGCAATGAACGAAATGTCACACCCACCGACCTGGTTTTCGGTTGTACAGTTCCATCATGATTCGCGATATCTAAAAGGCCCATCTCAGGAGAACATAATCGACCAAATCACTGCCTAGGTTAGGTACGTATCTAAAGGGGTTGACACAGTGGCGAAATAGCCCCTCGCTCCGTAGAGCCACCTGTATCTCTTCTTCGAGCCTACTATCTTTGGGGAGAAGATTCGTTCATATACCGAAGAGCAGCCCTACAACAAGGCTCTTTGTGTGATAAGAGAACATGATTCCTGTCTAGAGGAACACGTGCCCTCTTCACCTCATATCCATACCAGATCGATGCAGAAGAAGAAGAGCAAGTCTCTTCGGGTAGATTAAGTTACCCTTTTTCTCAAATATCAATATGCCATTCCAGCGATGAAACCGCCGTCGACACACCAACCTGCCCCGGTGACGAAGCTCGCCTTGTTACCAGACAAAAAGACACAAACGTCTGCGATTTCCTCTGGCAGTCCGAACCTCCTCATTGGCGTGCTCTGGACAGGGTTCGTTTCGAGCCACTTTCTAGTCTCGGGGTCCGGGTTTGTCATTGGAGAATCCACGATCCCCGGCAAGACAGCGTTGACCCGGATACGTTCAGACGCATAGTCGATGCCGTCGGAGCGGGAGACTGCCAATGCGCCGGCCTTGGCGCCACTGTATGCCGGACAGTTGGACTGCGACACTAATGCGAGGCCCGAGGAGATGTTGACGATGCTTCCGCGCTGGGCACGAGTCGGCGGGATCTGAGCTTCAGGATACGCCTCGCAATCCAGTGATTGGGTGCGCATAATCCGAAGGGCTTCGCGAGAGCACAACCACAAACCACGGTAGTTCACGCTGTTCTGCCTGTCGAAATCCTCGAGGGAGAACTCGGTTGATCGCCCGAAGACGATGATCCCTGCGCAATGTACGGCATAGTCGAGACGGCCGAATGTTTCTTTGACGTCGGCGTAGGCTTGCGTGACGCTGTCGTGGTTGGAAACGTCACATTTGTAAATATGGATTTTGAGCGAGTTGTTGTCCCCGGCAGCCTCCTCGATGAGTTTTTTAGTAGCCGAAAGACCGTCTTCGTTCAGATCGAGCAGTGCGATGCGAGTGCAACCGGATTGCGCAAATGATAGAGCCGTTGCCCGCCCAATGCCCGAGCCTGAGCCAGTAATGAGCGCGACTCCTGGGACATCTGTTTTGCCCGTCATTGCAAACGTTGTGGAAGGTGGCAGTGTCACCTAGTCGTCTGAGGAGGTTTTGAATGAGTTGAATGTTGGTACATGTGCTGAGAGGAGATATGTCGTCCTCGTCGAAGGCCATCTCTGGCTTTATCACGCTTGCCACGTCAGAACGGCTGCAGCTAGAGCTGTCCCAAAGTGCGGAGTCCGTGCATGAAAGGATAATGTACAAACCAGGGAGCGGGGTGTCACGTGCAGTGCGAACATGAGCTTCTCCAGAGTCGAAAATACCCGTAGCTCGCATAAGGTGTGCTTCGGTTCCAGTAGGCTGTACAGTAAGCGCATGAGCTCACCAGATTTAGCGTTGGGAAAGGACCGAAACACTTTATTCCTTGTTGGGGAAACTCTGTTGTCCTCAGAAGAAATCGTCGTCGTCATCATCCCGTCCTACCATGATCGGACGTTGCTGTCTAACTTGGCCCTCCCTTCCGGGCCGTTGGAACGTAAGAGCTTGCTTGAACGCGTCCTCGAATCCGCTTGCAGTACCGCATCCTGTATCAGCATAGACTCTCTCGGCGTCTGGGAGCCACTTCTTGATCTGCTCTGCACGGCTGGTGTGGCTCGGATGCGTTGATAAGAACTGTGGAGGTTCCAATTCCGAAGCTTGCTTCATGCGTTGCCAGAAGTCCAAAGCTCCTCGAGGATCGTAGCAAGCCTCGGCCATCATCAGAAGGCCAATCCGGTCTGCTTCCGCTTCTTGCGTCCTTGAGTTCGGAAGAGATAACAGCAGGTCAGCGATAGCCCTCCCAGATTGGCCGCTGATATCAAAAACGAGAGACACGGCCCAGGCAGCGAGAAGGATGATGCTGGACCTTGACGCCCTCTCGGCAGCGTGATGGGCGACATTGTGAGCGATCTCATGGCCCAGGACGGCAGCAAGACCAGTCTCGCTCTGGCAAATAGGTAGAATGCCTGAGAAGACAAAAACTTTGCCGCCGGGCATCACAAAAGCATTCTTCTCCCGAGGTTCGTTAATGACATGCACCCGCCAGTCATCACCCGCCAGACCACGAGTAGTTGGAAGCAGCCTTTCGACAACTTTGGCGACCTGCATAGTTAGAGGGTGGTCGGCTGGAAGAATTCTGCCTTGGAACTCTTTTAGTACAGATTTGTACATTTCAGCAGAACCAAAGAATTCCTTCTCTGACGTGGGAGACAGCATATTGAAGCGTCGTCGGTGAGTGACGGGGACCTCTTCGAGGTTGTAGACATAGAATGCTCCGCCGCCCACACCAACCACAGTCAGTGGCGTCTGGTAATTCCGCCAAAGGTACTGCATACGATAGACGGGACCAAAGTTGCTCCACTGCTGGCCCTTTCGCTGTTGTCCCTGTCCATACCCGGTTCCATCGTCAAATCGCCTGTAACGTGACCTCGGACCCCAAGAGGCATATCGCCGTGGCTGAAAGCGAGGCGCTTGTTTGAAATTGGGAGCAGTTTGGGAGCTTGGTGGAAAGCGTTGGCGAGCTGCTTGGCTGGCAGCTCGCTGGAATGCCCGGAAGGTGAACATGGGAGGGCAGAGGCGTATCGCAGACTGTTCTCAGTGATCTCCTGACCCGAAGGTTTCCAGCTGTTGCGCAGTGAGATAGCCCTCGCCACCCGTGACAGGCAAAGCACGATTCTGGTCGATGTCCAAAGATCAAAATTTCAGTATCATGAAGCTCTTCGAGGAAAGGCAGAGCAAAGGCAGAAGTTGAAATGACGCAGGGAAATAAATCGTGAAATCATGTGACCTCCATGCGAGCCTCGACTTCTTCCTCGCCTTCTTACGTCTTAAGCCAGGCTAGACTTGTTACCCTCTGAGACATCCCAAAGATATCACAATGGCGCTGGTCGCATACTCGGATTCCGAGAGCTCGGACGACGAAAAGATCTCATTGCAACCTAAATCTGACAAACCCTCGACGAAGACTGCGACCAACCCGAACACTACCTTTACCATCAACAAAGCAAACCCTAGAAAGATCCAAGTCAAGCTACAAGATACCCCCGTAAACGGCAGCTCGGATGGAGAGCCTGCTCCGAAGCGGCCTCGAATTGGTGGCGGCGGTGGAACATTCAGTGGCTTCAACTCAATGCTGCCTGCGCCCAAACGAGATGCCGATGCAAAAGCCCCTCCGAAGGCTGCTACAAGGAAGGTCTTTAGCCTGAAGACTGGCGCCGAGCCTGGATTCAGCAGAGAGGCAGATGAAGAGCTACGGAGTCTATTTGCAGAACAAGAGCACCAACGGCATACTGCGGACCCTGATGCCGACGAGACCATACCTTCAGTCCCAAAACGAACAGAACCCGCCACAAACGGACCGAAGCAACCAGCAATACAAGGAAACCCCTTCATGTTCAAACCCCTCTCCGTGGCAAGGAATAACAAGAAGCCGAAACGAAAAGCCAACGGTCCGAAATCAGCCATCACGCAAGGGCAAGATGTGCCCACACAATCTGGGTTGGGGGATACATCGTCTGCGACGGTCCAGGTGACTGAGCCTGCCCCTCCGTCGAAGAAAGTCAGTCTCTTCTCGATGGGTGAAGAGGCACCGACGGTGCAACTGCCGCGAGATACGTCTGAGGAGGACGAAATCGTCGAATTTCTGGACGATGCTCCTGACGAGACATTACCCTCAGCAACAGAAGGTCCTGTCGATGAACCAGCGCACTACCAGCCTCAGTCCCTCGATTCTATTGCTTCCGATCTGAATCTCTCCAAAGCAGACCGGCGACAGCTTTTTGGTCGCCGCGGCCAATCAGGCGGTACAGCCATCAACGTAGTCAACTTCAATACGGATCAAGAGTATGCGGCGAACGAAGCACTGCGCGCAAGCGGCGAGCAAGTGCAACACAATCCCGTTCGAGCCATCGCTCCAGGCAAGCATAGCCTGAAACAGTTGGTGAATGCGGCTACTGGGCAAAAAGAGGCACTTGAAGAAAGCTTTGCGAGTGGCAGAAGGAATAAGAAGGAAGCTGGAAGCAAGTACGGATGGTAATATCATGTATATTGGAGATGGAGACGATCCACGTTTCAGCAACTCCGTAGGTGCTTTTAACCACAGGTCTTTACGACAGACGACAGCATCGATGTTCTGCTATCCTTCCTTGCGACCGAGGGCGATAAAATGATCAAATCCGGAATGAAAACAATAAGAACATCCTGTTCAAGGTCCGCCAGTAATCTCCCTTGCTTCGAAGCACGGGCGCCAAAGAAACTCCTAAGCGAACCAGTTGTGTGGGTTTAGGGTCAAGAGTTCATGGTGGAAAGAACAGTCCAAAAATCAATGTTCGACATTCTGCTCCCAGCTCACAATTGGTCCATGATGCTATCGTCCTGTTCACTGTCGCTATCACCATAGTGGATGCAACACGTTCCTGCTGTTCAACAGTCTCATCCGAAGTCCGCTCCGAGTAGGATTGTATCGAATCTGGTTACCATCACCACGCTTTTCCACCTGCGGAAGTCCGCGAGTCGCGTGCACACCGTGCCAGAAGGGGTCGCTTACTAGATTGCTAGACGGTTCTAACCTATGGGTTTCATCTTGCCCACGTACAACATGATTTGCAGCAGTGCGCAAGGTTGGTTGCTCTGATCGAGGTGGATGTGTCCTCGCCTTTCGAGACTGGCTCAGACCTGTGTCGACTAATCGCTGTTCCTGTTGGCTCCGAAGTGGTTGGTGGGGATGCACGGTAAAGGACACTCGAGCTCTGTTTCAGTGGGTAGCGTTACCTCTTCGGATCAAAAGAGTCCTCCCTGTCTGGCTCAAGCGGCGGCACGCCTTTGAGACCCAATGCATTGCGAGGAGGAAAGGGGTTCCGTGGATACCGGGTAAGCAAGGTGCTGTGGTTGTGTGTCTGTTCTGACGTCGATCATGACTCGACCATATCTTGGAGGTACTCCGCGGTGGGTTTGCAGTTGGACAGTTTGGCTTGTGGAATTCTGCCATACTTGGAGCCATTGACAATGACTTCTGCTGGCCAGGTTATTGCACTCACTTACGGTTTTGCGGTGACTGATCTCACCGCTCTCGTCAAGACAGTGAAGGTGTTGCATTCGGATGCCTCGCTGCCAGCAGTTGACTGCGTGTCACGGGCCCTGGCCATTGACAATCAGGATCGCGCTTCCTCTGCGCACAGTTGCCACAGACAGGCTTCACCGCGTCGCATCTTTTTCGATGGAGGATGCAACGCTGGCAGCGTTCGCCAGTCTGTTGTCTTGTCGCCTGAGGACCGCCGCGCGGATGTTGACCACCGCCATCGCGACCTGGGCTGCTGCCGCTCACGTGGACATCATTGATGTTCGCTTGTTTGTCCTTCTCAATATGTTCTTCATCTCTGTGGTCTTGTGAAGGATTATCTGAGCCAGAGTGACCAGTGTGCCGCGTTGATCCCCCACTGACTCCCGGCGCGGAAACACCCTCCGAAACGGATTGGTTCTGCAATAATGCAAGCTGTGTCAGATGCAAAAATGCTAACGGGAGACAGCTGTGGAGTGGTTGCACACCACACACATACCTGGGATTCCCAGTCGCAGCCCAGCAGCAGCAGAGCTTCCCGTGCATGCTGGACGAGGCTCCGGTCTCTGCTCTTGGGGACGACTACAGCGTAGAAGCTGGAATGTTGGCGTTGCGATTGAACTTGCCCTCCACAGTCATTCGAACCGGATCGCATCACTAGAGTAGAAGAGCCGGGATGACGAGGGGAACCGTTGTCGTGGTCGTTGTTGTCTGAAGCATCCATCTTGGTAGCACACAGCAGATACTCCGAGTCCACGAATCGTGTCCCAACGAGACGAGATGAGAGGATCTTGGCCAGGTAACAGACAGCAGAGTAGAGATGTACGAGGATGTGTACCTCGTATGTGTTTTGGTATTCTGTTTGATGTGTTTGGAGACATGCATGCATGCCTCACCTTTTTACGGGGTGATGGTGACAAGGATGGAGAAACCAGAGTCACTTGATTGCTAGCTTACTTACTTTGTTACTGTTACTGTTACTGTCGTCTGTCACTGTTACTCTTGTTACTCCTGTTATTGTTACTCTTGTTGTTACTGTTACTACTACTGCCCGTGTCTCTCTCTAGTCACTCACTACGTACGTACCTAGCTAGCTAGTACTTAATACCTATCCGCCCCCATCGCCATCTAATATGTATGTATGTAGTCAGAGCATGCATGTCACGGCCCATTTTCGTACTTTTACAATTCTCTTTTCCCTTTTCACCTTTTTTTAGTAGTGCGTCATGTCTTCCTCGTGTTCTACCACACTGGTCGAGAATCAGAATCTGAAGCAGATCGAAATTGGGGGATGTGGGGATATAATTACATACTCGGTTGTGACCGCGTACATTTATCTAGCTATGGAATCTGTGCGTGTATGTACTCTCCTCGGGAGGTAGATATATGGTGGATATGACTGCTCTTTTAGGGGGTGCTACTATGTGCGTACGAGGTAAGAGAAGAGGTACGAGGTACATCCATATATATCATACTAGGTAGTAGAGTAGAGGTATCTCTCCCTATTACCTCCCTATGTAGACTACCTATGTAGATATCTACTAGGTAGGTATGAATGCTTAATTACTAGCTAACAAACCCACGACCGATTTATCCATCTACCCATCTACCCTATTATTACCTGTGCCTCTCCTACCCACCATGACTCTCCTCTCGCTCCTTTGGCTGCCCGCCTTTCATGCCTATGTGACCAAGGTAGTCAGTCAGTGCCGTCAGTGATGTGGTCGGTCAGGTCAGATCAAGATCGATCACCCCTGAACGTCGACGACACTCCCAAACCACCCCTTCAACGCTGTCGCCAACACACCCGGCAGATCCCTCACGTCCCTGACGACGAGATAATACGGAAAAGGAAAACCGTCGAGGTATCGCTTTGTGCGGACTCGCATTTCGCCAATCCCTTGACTGGACGAAGACGAAGTGCTGGCACCCCCCAACAAGGCGTGACTGGGATCGGGCTCAAACACCGCTTCCTTGAGATCGAGGATGCTTTCGTCGCCGGCGTCGACAATGACAAAGACAATCACGATGCGCTCCTCGTCGTGCGCCTGGCGGACCAACCTCGCAATCCCGGCGTGGTCTGAACAGTGCCCGTCGCTGACGATCAGTTGGAGCTGCCACTGCTCTTGTCCATTGCTGCGTCCCGACTGTTGCGTCCTCGCGTCGCGAAACAGACGGATGCTCTGTCTGAGCAGGCTCTTGACGTCCGTGCCGCGCTGCTCGAAGCTGAATGAGCGAAAGACCGGGGGGCCCGACTCGGCCGGCGAGAAGGGCTGGCCAAAGGGGTGCGCGACCGTGATGGTCGGGGCGTCGCCGAATCCAACCACGCAAATCTCCCCAACCTCGAGCATGGCCAGGGACTTTGTGAGGAGCGCCAGCGTCTCGAACGCGAGGACGTCGGCCCCGGACTCGCTCATGGACTTGCTATCGTCCACGGCCACCATGATCTGGTAGTTGCGCTTGCTGGGCACGGAGCGCCGCATCCAGATCTTGTCACGCTTGTAGTTGGACGCGATGTAAGGGATGATGCGTCGGATGTTGAGCCGCTTCCCGGTGCGATAGTCGCCGCGAAGCTTCGTGGCGGTCGTGGGCGACAGGATGAGGCGGAGTTGTTCGGTGAGCACGAGTGAGAATTGGTGCGTGCTGGCTGAACACTGCTGCCAAAGCTGAGCGGCGTTGGAGCTGCTTGTTGGAGGAGAGGCTGGTTGTGCTTGGTCGCCTCGGAGCTCGAGGTGTTCGATGTCAGGCGACAAATCCTCAGACGCGGTGTCGCCAGACTCTGGGTATCCGTCGTATTCTTTGGGCTGGGACTGATGGTCGGGGACGAAAGCACCTGCATCTCGCGCTTCTCCTGTTGGATTTGCCTGGGCCTTGAGACGGCTGAATCTCTCCACGATATCTTCCTGCATCTCCGGTTCCAAAACGTCAGGAAGGACTGTGTCCTCATCCACCGGCGCGTCTTCGTCTTCTATGGCTTTGCTGGGGTCAAGGTTTTGAGCCTGGTCTGCTGCCGCGGCACCAAGAGCCTGTGCATCTCCCTCATCTTTGTCCCGAACATGCTCGAAATCGACATCTGCCATGTCCACATCTCCTTGATCGTTTGCCCCTTCTTGCTCTTCCGATACTGGCAGGATTTCGCGACGTTGATGCCATCGGTCGAGTACATCCGCCAACTGCTTCAACGATTGGTTCTGCTGATACTCGAGATCCTCTGCCCGTCCGGCGCCGCGCTCAAAGGCTCCAGTGCCGGTCTTGCCTTGCTCTTCATCTTCGGTCGCCTTGCCGGGTTGAGATTGCTGTGGATTCGGCTCCGTGTCAGCCTGATTCATACCCTCGACGTTCTGTTCGGCATCGACGTTCTCCTGGACCTCGTTTGCCGCTCCAGACTCCCCACCAGCGGTTTCCTCCAGATCGTGAACGGTATCGTCTTCTCGGGTATCACGACCGCCCTCCTCTTCGTCTTCCTCTGCTTCGGGCTGGTCCTCCATAATCTCATCGTCTCGAGCCACCCCATTCTCCGCCTGTTCTTCTCCTATGTCCGTTTCGTTCTCGTCGGCGTCTTTACCGGACTGATCCTCCTGCTGGTCGGTTTCCTGGGCGTCCTCCAAACCATCGCCGTCGACTTCCTCCTTCGGGTTGTCTATATCCGACAACTCTTCCATACCATCGTCTGAAATATCATCGTCCTTGATCTCCTCGTCACCGGCCAACTGCAGCTCTTCGGGAAGGTCCAGAGCCTTCTCTTCCTCGACATGTTCGTCCATTTGTTGGCCTTCAGGCCGCTCTCCTCCCTCATCTTGGTCTTCGCCGTCTTGGTCAATCTCCTCCTCTAGCCCTTCCATATCTTCCACGTCGTCTCCTTCGTCCCGATTTCCCTCTCCTGCAGTCTGATCATCTGATTTTTGGCCCTTGGCTTTGTCATTCTTCATCTCCCTTTCTTTCTCCGACTCGTTCTTGAGATCGTCCCAGAGTTTCTCATCCACAGCATTGGGGTCAAGATCATCAACAGTGCCTGTCTCTTCGTCGATATCATTTTGCTCTTCGTCTCCAGACTGGTCCTGGTCATCGCCTTGATCCGAGCGTCTCTCATCAGAGTCACCCATTTCACCTTCCAGGTCCTCATTGTCCATGTCAACCGCATCTTCTGTTTTCTCCATTTCTCCGTCTCTCTCTTCCTTTTGCCCTTCGCGTGCAAGCTCGGACAGGTCTTCATCATCTTGCACATCCTTGCTGATATCCTCCGCACCTTCTCCTTCTCCCAGCCCGGTCCCAGACTCTAGTTTGCCTGACTGCTCCTCACCATCTGCAGGCTCCGAGGGACGACAGAACCCCTGTTTTGCGATCGACGTGAAAGACCTGGCCAGCTGCAAGGCAAGGCGGGACGTCTCCAGGTACAGCGCAACATGCCGCTGATGGAGATGCTCGCATATGGAGTAATACTGGTCCAAGACTGGCATTGCCACGAGTAACAAGTTCTTGGCGGCTTCAAAGTCCTCCGGAGCAAGGAGCTGAAGTTTGTGCATCACTGACACCTCAAGGCGGCTGGTGATAGTGCTCAGCTGCAGCACGCGTAGTGCCTCAACGACGTGCTTGTCCGAGTTTGAGAGCCATCCTTGGTCTTCCTCCGAGCTGGGCATCTCCAACGAGAGGGAAGACAGTCGTTGCATTGCCACAAAAACCTGATCTACCACGTCCTTGAGGTTCTGGTCAAGCTCTCGAACAGAGAAATCCGCCAGAGAAAATTGTGTTCCGTTCGTCGTCGGTGGCGGAACCGTCTCTGTCCAGGGAACGATCTTGCGCATGAGGTACTCGATACGAGGCTCGTTGACCTGCCATACCACGAGGAAAGACCTGAGTTGACAAACGAGGTCGCGAAACTTCTCCATCAGTGCCTGTGACGTCTCCCACGCCATCCCCACGGGTGCTGCGGGCAAATCAAGAAGACCGAGTCTCAAGTCTTTGATCTGATTAGTGTAAGAACTGAGTGAGTCCAAGCATCCTTTGATGTCAAACTCTCCTTGTTCTGCCTGGAACGTCAAGATGCGACGGGCAATATTCAAGATCTCTGCGAGCCACGCGAGGCGTTCTTGCACAAAGTCGATATTGTGAGCGGAAGCGGTAGATCGCAGAATCTGGCCGGACGAAGATGACACCATGGATCTGAGCATCGACAGTAGAGAGCTCAGTCCCTCGGTGTCGGACGCTTGCTGTGGACTGACTTGCCGTTGACGGATTGTTAGGGACAGCAAGCCTTCCAAAAGGCCAACAGAGCGATTGATTTCGCCTTCGGTGAGGTCGTCAGAATGATCCGCCCGAGCTGCGCGAACTTCAGGCATGACATCGAGTAATTGGTGGAACGAAGCGTTGGCACCGGATTCGGCTGACCCATGAGGATTCACTGGTGAACCCGCTACCAATGCGAGGATGGTTGCACACGACGATTGCCGCTCAAGCTCAGTGGTCGGGAGATTTCTTCTAATCCCCATGTGCGCAACTGCTTTCAGTGTATCGGCGAGCAGTCTTCTCTTCCTCTCCTGCAGGTGCCGGACGAACGAAGCGTTGTCCTCTGTCAATGCTGATGGAGTCTGCGTCCTCAACTGCTTTGACGCTTCAAGCAAGTCTTCTCGGAACGAGGCGATCTCCATGTGCGCTTGGAATCCAGAATCCTTTGACTTGTACACATGTTGCATGCTTCTCACTGCGCCGAGCGGCTGCGTCAGACGC